GCTAAGTACATATCGGAAATTCAATATGTCATGTTGGCTTTCCAAATATTTTTTTGAATATTTAACTAATTCTATGTGTTAATGCATTACATTCCACGTTCAGAAATCCAGTTGAAACTTTTCCTTTAATGCACAATTTTTCGCTACAGCGAATTGGATATGGCCGTTTTCCTATAATCGTAACTCTCACTAAATACATATCGGAAATTTCAATATGTCATGTTGGCTTTCCAAATATTTTTTTGAATATTTAACTAATTCTATGTGTTAATGCATTACATTCCACGTTCAGAAATCAAGTTGAAACTTTTCCTTTAATGCACAATTTTTCGCTACAGCGAATTGGATATGGCCGTTTTCTATAATCGTAACTCTCGCTAAGTACATATCGGAAATTTCAATATGTCATGTTGGCTTTCCAAATATTTTTTTGAATATTTAACTAATTCTATGTGTTAATGCATTACATTCCACGTTCAGAAATCAAGTTGAAACTTTTCCTTTAATGCACAATTTTTCGCTACAGCGAATTGGATATGGCCGTTTCCTATAATCGTAACTCTCGCTAAGTACATATCGGAAATTCAATATGTCATGTTGGCTTTCCAAATATTTTTTTGAATATTTAACTAATTCTATGTGTTAATGCATTACATTCCACGTTCAGAAATCATGTTGAAACTTTTCCTTTAATGCACAATTTTTCCCTACAGCGAATTGGATTTTTCTATAATCGTAACTCTCGCTAAGTACATATCGGAAATTTCAATATGTCATGTTGGCTTTCCAAATATTTTTTTGAATATTTAACTAATTCTATGTTTACTGCATTAGATTCCACGTTCAGAAATCATGTTGAGACTACATCCAAATTTCTTTTGTCATTTTCAATATTCATTACTTTCACTTACTTTGTATCGGAAATTTCTATCTGTTTTGTTGCTTTTAGGAATATTATTTTGAATATTTATTCTATATGTACTGCATTAGAATCCCTTTTCAGAAATGCTTTGGAAAATTTTCCTCCACTGCACAATTTTTTGCTACAGCAAAATTGCTTGTGTCGTTTTCTATTATTGTGACTCTCACATACTGTTTACCAAAAATTTCAATATGATATATTGGCTTTCCGAATACGTATTGTATTTGTTACTGAATAAGGTTACATGTTCAATCAAAACTTCGTTTCATTCATGTTTATAATGTTATAAATGCCTCATTCACAAATGCTGTATTGTAATTTGTATTTTCACCAGCTGAAATGGCCTTATCTTATATTGTTTTAAATGTGGCAACTGGTATTTTTTTCGCTATGACACCCGGATGTAAAGTTGTATTTTTTGTGCTGAAATTGTGGCAAGATGACACCGGTTTGAAATGGGTCGATATCATAATATGAAACCCCAAATAAAAAGAAATACGATCATGTCGGCTTTAAACATGCATTAGTGCAAAGAATGGGTAACTAATCATACACGCGTCAATGCTAATAGAGAAGATTACGGTTCGAATTCATAAATAGGTCCTCGTTATTTTGCTCGCTGAAGATCCATACAGTTCAAGAGATATGCTGGCTAACGCGGTGCTGCATAATTTACTTCTTTACTACATTGAACTGTTTAGATATCAATCAACAGCAAATATTAGTCGTTTTTTTTAAATGAAAAAAATGGTCTGAAATTCACACTTTTGTTTGGCTTTTTTTGCTCCCGTGTTGCTTCTTGGCTGTATTTATCTCTTTTTCTGAAGAAATAACATTTACCACCCTTCCCATACATCATACAGGCACGTATCATTGGCCGGAGCAACCGGTTTCAACTATGGTTTTATCGATTGCAACGTCAGAATAAATGTTATTTCGATTTGTTAATTTTTTTAAAGATAATTTCACTACGACTATGACGCCATAATGCAGTCATGTGTGGGCGTGGCGCCACAGAGCGAGAGACCGACGAAAAGCCAGAGATTTTTTTCAAATAAGTTATTCTAAAATTAGTTCACTGCAAATCTGAGAGCAATAAATTCACATTCCTAGCTGAGACTTTGGCCTAATAAGTGCGTAGATTGATAAGCGCTGATCTTGGGTGATAGAAAAGTCGATAATACTGGAAATCGCTGATCCTCCAGTATATTGAGTTACGGCTACGAAACTCCGCCATGCGAAAAATTTCCTACAACTCCCCGCCGTTAGTGGAAAACGAGCTTCAGCACATTGTATAAACGTGCAAAACGATAAAATGAATTACTTATTTTTATAATTATTCAACTGTTCGAGACTCCCGTCCACGCTACAGTGTTAAGCCACACCACAAACTTCTCACCTGAAACAGATATTTCTGACATATCGAAAAATGGCAAGATCTTGTACATTACCCATATTTGAAACCGTTTCTCGCCAGTTTATCAGCCCTAACACTGCAAATACTGCTGGTTTGATTGCCACTGGTCCCATTTTCTAATTCCAGACGGAACGTTGTTACACAGCAAATTTACGAAGTTTTGCATTGCGTAGAAATCAATCAATAAATAGTAAGGCAATGATAAAAACAATTCCAACAATAGAACAAAAGTGATGCGTTTATTGGCTTGATTGTACATCGAGAAATGGCAAAAAAAAGAACTCCAGATCCAGAATCTACTGGTATCGTCATCCAAATTTATAATTCATTGCTATTGTTATTCCCATTCGTGAATTTATGTCATATATGATATATATGACTGAATGACACTATTGAAAACTGCTTGTTAAGGTTACTATCCGAATTTAATATCATAAACATAACAAAGAGCCAATCAACTCAATACCTGAAATTACCCAACAAGTCAGAAAAAGGAGACATTGTGGCAGCACCGCAACGAAGGACAATTTTCATGGACACCGTAGGCGTAGATATTTGGCCAAGAAACACTCGTGATCGGCAAACAGCGCAAAACGATCGATTTGTTTAGAGGTGTGATATGAGAAAAAATTGTCATGTTTTGTGCCCAATATTTTCTACCTTAGACCCACTGGATGAGGCGTTATAAGCTGCAGTTAATGGACAAATTGTGCAGTGTTTTGGCGTATTTTTTCCACTACGTGTAGTGTTGGCTAGATATGAATAAATGCGTAGGCTACCAGGAGTGTATGTATAAACAGTAACATTCAGATGAGCTCATGATTAGCTGATTTAATATATCTCCATACATTCAAAACGAAGTATTTTAAAATATATATAGAAGAATAATTTAAATAAATAGCTTCATTTGTATGACGACTTATTTTGAAAACGTCAAGAAGTATGAACATTGCCCTACAACTACCAATTTTAACAGCTGTTGAAATTCATGTTTGCATAATAAAAAAATTATTCTAGTTAAATTTTAGTTAATATTCTAGGAACATTCAAATATTTATCAATCTCGCGATCTGCAATGATTCATTTCACTTACAATTGTATATTTATTACTCATTTTGGATATTTTCATTTTAAAACTTTTCATTTTACTCAATATTTACGTTCCAACAACGTATTTTCAACGTGTTTTTGTTTGGATATGACATATATTATTGTTAGCTAGATATTTTTAAGGTGTGGCAATTTTTTGAAAGGTCGCGCAGCTTAAAATTTTTGAGAACCACTCCTCTACAGGCTTGACAGTTAACAAATCGTGTCTCGCATACGAAGTCCATCCTATGTAAGCGGTGAACGCAAAAACTCATAAAAAATATAAATTTAAATTCGCGAAAAAAAACATTTTCCGCGATAAACGAATGGTAAAGTTATGAGGCAAACACGGGGAACCAATAGTATAATGTCAAACTGCAAAGAAGTATAGGCGGGTATTAACATTTGGCTTGTTCCAGAAAACAAATTTAAGTATAATTAGCAGCGAACAGTTTGAAACTAGACATGACATACTGTCGCAAACATTTTTTCGCATATCATTCTTATTTTTACGGACCTAAAAGGTCAGTTGATGTGGAATCGGGCATTCCCACCAATAATCATTTCTTTTCCCACATCAAATATATTTTCATTTTGACTCCGTCGTCGTCTGTGTGCGTCACTGGAATAGGCCTCGACTTTGTTTTCGGAAATATCGAAAATATGAATACATGTCGTCAATGTCAAGATTTCCAAGAATCGGTATAGAGCTCGGAAAAACTGATCAAAAACAAATTCGTATCTATTTTTTCTTCACTTGGAATGGTATTTTTAAAATATGAACATACACAATTTTCCACTTCAATTGCTCAAGACAGCAAGTAGCGCAAGCACATATATATATATACATAAATAATTTGCGTGAGAGTACAACTCAGTTGAATGTTTTTGAGTTGCTTGTTGCCTGCAAAAAATTGAAACATCTGTTTGAAGAAGTACTGTATTTTTGTTGCGGTTCTATCGTAAAACTCACTTTCCACATTTCCATCGAGTGTTGTTGTCGAGTTATTGTTAAGTTTGGAGAATAATTTAGTATGGTAAAATATGTTACAATGGAATAGTATAGTCAAATAGAAATACGGTAAAATACAGTGCATCCTCGCAGAAAGAAACAATATTAACTAGAAACAAACGCCGAAAGAGACCGAGCAAAAAATTAGCGCTTCAAAATGGTATTGAACAATTACTTTGAAGAAAACACACTCTATATTAGAAAAGGATCATGGAAAAAACTAGATCCTGGTGTATCGTGAACTCCGAGAATAGACGATGTTTATAGATAATAAAAATGTATTACAGAAGCACACAGTTTCCCACTTCCCAAAGAGGAGCCAGAAAACCCACATGCATGAAATAGTGGGAACCATAACACAGCACACCACAAATTCGCTACTATTTTGTAGTTTTTCTGTTATTACTTCAGTCTAATCTTAGTCAATTTTGTTATTATACAAGTACTATAAATCGGATATAATGTATTTCATAAAATTGCTAATGGTATTTGGTCTATTAGGCGTCGCATATTGCCAGGACCCTGGCTCTGTTTATGGATTTTGTTCTCAAGTTTACGCGATGAATCGATTCTGCATGAATCAAATAACAGGGTCAGAAGCTATTGGACACTCTGATGATGTAATGCAGCAACCTAAAGTTGGAAAAGCCGGCCCAAAGGGTGAAAAGGGAAATCCAGGAGATCCTGGTACCGTAAAATACACTGCTATAGAAGAGACCATTGAAAATAAAATAGAAGGTACCTATATGTCCGTAATATGAATCTAATTTTGTATTATTTCAATCAGTTGGTCTCGTTGAGAATTTGCTATAAATCAACGTTTCGTATAGTTTCGTTGATTAAAGCGTCACCGTTCCAAAATCACACAAATATATTTATTGAGCCATGTGAATAGAAGTTTGAGTTGGTAGACTAACTCTACTCATTATTGCTTAACATTCTGACAAAACCATTTCGTCGAATCGAATTGAAAGCACATAAGCTATGCGTTTTTATTTCATGAGTCGTCGTCAATAATTGTCTGAAACGCCATACGGTTTAAAATCAAATCAACTCTTCCTTTAGGTATGGTAACTGAAAATCTAATTCCTAAAATAATATCGATTTATAAACATGGGAAATATATATCTCGTATTATAGATTCATAAAATCTTCAAATTGTATAACATCATACTAGTTTATCGTGTTCAATAGTGTAATCTAAATATAAAGCTTTTCCGGTCTGTGGTATTATTGGTATTTTTTTTTAGAAACTGAAAACCGGATTAACGTGAAGATCGAAAGATTAGAACGGTTACTTGAAGAAGAAAAAATGAAAAGCGAAGAAAGATATGACGAGATGAAAAATGTCACAGATGAAATAATAAAAGGTATTTTATGTTCTATTTCCGTAATAATTTTCTACTTGCAAAACGTGTAATTTGTTGTGCAAAATAATAAAGTCAAGATATGATAATATGATGCTAAAACCGGTCATCACAACATGAAAGCAATTCAAAATTATTTTGACACATGAGATTCAAACAGGCGAACTCACACACAATATGTAGTTGTGAAGCAGCACTGTTTTTTTTTATAAATATTTGTTTTCGTCTATAAGACAAAATGTCCCGTCGTTTTATTTGTCATTTTCCAGCTGCAATTCTATGTTGAAATATATATTGTGGAACTTATTTTACTCGTTCAAATATCAAAATATCTCTCCCGATGTCTCTTTGGCTTAAGAACGGCAACGCCGGAGCATTTCAGGATGTGAAGAGGTGTCGCAAGATGATGCAAAATTGTGGGATGGCCGTGGAGGAGTTTTTGATATTTATCGCAACAATAATAAATACGAAGTTTATTGCGATCTTACCACTGATGGAGGAAAATGGACGGTGAAATATTTCTTCTTTCTTTAGTCTTGTGAAATAATCACCCTATTGCGATAGTTAGCTAAGCTAAGAATGGATCAAGTTTATAAAATTACGAAATCTCCGTGTTTGCATTCTTAAATATCTTTGTTTTAGATTCTAATAGCCAATTGATGCTTAGATGCTCTAAAAAAATATTTGTAGCACCATACAAAGCATATACCTGAAAGAGATGAGCAAGTCAATAGAGTCTTCAGTAATCTCAATGCTAAAAATGATCTTGTTCAGCTGACTATTTATACAATTTATCAGGTGTTTCAACGTCGAGTAGATGGCACAGAAAATTTTCATCGTGTGTGGGAAGAATATGATGACGGATTCGGAAATAAAACAGGAGAATTTTGGCTCGGTAATAACAGATATAAATGTACATTTTTTGATTGTTATTGCATATTATTCAGTAAAGTTGAACTTCCTCAAATAAATGGAAGAATATGATATCGATAATGGGGTACTCCCGTAGTATGTGTAACAGGTTAGGGTTAAGACATAATTTTCTTCCGATTTTCCTTTTTCTAGTTCTATTACAAGTTTGGGGACTGTCTGTGTTAGGCAAGTGAATATAACCTCTTGCTCATAGGTTTCAATCCTTTTACACAACTTGATGTAAAATAGACGAACAAAAATTAGTTACCTTCATATTGGTACACATACTTCTGAAGCGGTTTAGGCAGCCATCGTATTGCCACGGGTTGAGATCGAACCCGAGATATTTTACTTATTTGGCAACTAATTTACTTAAATGGCACTCAATTTATTGTAAGCTAATTAAATGTCATAACATGAAATACCCAAGGTTTTGTTATCCAATCTTTTTTTCATTTCAGGTCTTGAAACGATTCATCAATTGACCAAGGATGGAACTTATGAACTAAGGATTGATTTGTCCGACTGGAATAATAATGTTGCTTATGCAAAATATAGGTTTTTTTATAAAAAAAGGAGTAATGAATATTATTTATTTTTTTAATATTGAGTACTATTCAGATAGTACTCACAAAATTTTTAAAAATAAACTAAAACAGATTCAAAACAATTTGAAAAATTCTGCTTTGAGATTGAAATGGACTGATCACCGAAGCCAATATCACAAATAATACCCTAATCTTATTTCTTGTCTAGTACTTTGAAAATAAGTGGAAAAAACGATAATTATCGACTGACCATTTCTGGATATTCTGGGACGGCAGGAGACGCTTTATCAAATCATAACAACATGCAATTCTCTGCTCCTGACAAAGATCTGGATATTTGGAGTGACCATTGTGCGAAATATTTAAGAGGTGGATGGTGGTTTCGTGCTTGCAAACATTCACATTTGAATGGAGAATATCTTAGAAGCCCGCGTGATACCAAGGCTGCAGAAGCTGGAATCATGTGGCATCAACGGAAATCAAGTCAAACGATGAAGACGTCGGTGATGATGTTGAGAAAAACTTAAATATCTAATTTTCATATTTTCATTTCGATGTGCGTGTGCTGTAAAACCTCTCCGTATCGTAAGTTTATGTTAATAAAGTCAAATTTTCCATTCATCGTTGTCAGTATTACAGATGCATCGTTGGAAATCGCCGAGGTGTGCCTTTGGATTCTAAAATCCAGTCGGATTCTAGAAACTAGGCTCCTAAATGAATTTGAAAACAATGAAAGGTTAATAATAATAGCTTTCTTACGATCTCTTTCATTTCTGAGTGCTAAATACTAGAAAGAGGTTGGAGTTTTAGTTGCGGAGAAAGTCAATTTCCACAACAACCCCAAGATCAACAACAACAAAAAACGAGAATATCGTTCAGAGACCGAAGACTTATCGATCCCCCAAAACAGCGCTCTTACTCCATAGTGACACCTTGTGTCCCATCACTAATTAATTAATAACTCGCTAATTATACGACATAATTCATCCAAAACCAATAGGCTTCTGGTACGACATATGATGAATGCACATGCAAAATCTGGAGCAGATTCAATCTCGCCTTCGTGAGATATCGCGTGCATCTAACAGACAGACAGACAAATACCTATCAACATACTTACGGATTAAAATCGATAAGTAATTACATAACGAACCGGTTGTACGCTTCGCGTATGAGTAATATAATTTATTGACATTAGAAAACCTTTAGAATTTTAGCAATGTCTTGTTCAAATCGGGTCTAAACAGTCTTTTTAGTCTTTTGCTTTCAAAAATTGAAGTATTTTCACCCGGAAGTGTGAAAATCACCATTGACCGATGATGATCTCTACTGTTACCACCTGAGAGTAAGAGATAAATGGATAAAAACGGGGCCCACTCTGAAAATGGGCGACACCGTTGCATGCAATGTTCATATCAAGAACAAAGTTAAACTATACTAATAAATCATTCGCATGCGGAAAGGATAAAAACGAGCTGATATTGTAGCGTGTTTTACCCATAAGTATAAGAGAGGTCACCGAAGCGTGTCAAAATTCAGAGATACCAGATATATATTAAACCTATTTTAAAGTCTCAAAAGCAAAAATGTGATTGTATCCCAAGTATATTATAATTACAATAAGGCTTTAATTACCGTAATAATTAAAAACAACATATTTGTAAAAACGTCATATTTGTATCACGAATAAGAATCATAGATTACAGTGTTTAGCCGAAACTTAACCGTCGTTCCTAACGGAAATATGGAAACTTGAAGCTAAACCGCAGTAGCCAGAAATAAACTGTCCAAATTCTTTCCTCAAACGCTATCGTTGATGATAATATCGTTTAATTTAGGTTGGCGGGATTAGTTTATGAGAAATATAGAAGCATCACACCCGACAAGAAATATGTACACCAGCGCCTTTTGAAGAACTTGAAACGCAATTTTTGGTAATACTGCTTGTTCGGCAGATGGAAATATTTGAGTATCTGGTTTACTCTTTTTATCATTATTTTAATATCTCGTTGACGATAACAGCTGTGAATGAACGTACAATTTCGCGGGAAAATAAAAATTAATTTACATGTCAGTGGCGGAACACGATTTCATACTTCACGTGGTCACCAACACTGTGGGCGACCAATTAATCTACCTACACACTCTAGGACAGGGTCGTCCAACCCGTGGCCCGCGGAAGCATTTTGACTGGCCCGCGCTGTATTTTTCAGAATTGAATAAAAAAAAATTGGAGTGAAACTATTTTTCGACTGATGTAGTATACAAAGATGTATACAAACAAACGATTTGTTTATTTTCCCGAAATGCGCTCTGCCAGCCCTTTCGAACGAGCCATTCGTGTCCTTTTGAATCGAAACCAACTGGGAGGAGATATCGATAAATAAATGTGCCATATTCGCTTACACACTTGGTCTTTTACTACTCTATATGACGTTATCGCAAAACAATCAGAGCCATTCTCAGATTGAGAATTCGTTAAGGAATGAATATTGTGTATTGTTTGGGTTGCCAATGTTTTACGTCCGGAAATAAAAGAGGTGTTTGCGAAAATAGCCTGTCAAGACAGAAGACCATAACTCGGTCATGCCGAAAAGCTTGAGAACTCTATAGCGGGAACTTTAATTGCAAAGGCGGGAAATTACTATCGTATTCCTTGGTGCTTGACGAAAGCACTGACGTCAAGGTTACTGCTCAGTTGGCAACTTGACGATAATAATGATTTTGAAATTACCGCAGAGCTCGCAGACATTGTCCCTATTAAGGGAGGGTACGACTAGAGCAGTGGCTCTTAAACTGGGGGGCGCGAGATGCTCACATGGGGGGTGCGAGAGGTCACAAGATGGAATTGGAAATTTACATGTAACGGCTCCTGAAATGGTCTCCGCGTTTGTTAAAAATACCGGCTTTTTCGTGGTATAATAAATTTTTCTGTCTCGTAATAACTACAAAAATTTAAATGTCTCTCTATTTTAGTTCATTTGTGTTCAAGGTAACCCGCGGTTGCAGCGACTCATGTCAAAATAAACTCAAAACCATTACCGATCTAAAATAACACGCCAATCTGCGGACATATTAAAGTGTGATCAACTGCCCGAATATATTTAGTTTTGATATATATTGCACTCATGCGAATTCGTTGTCTTCGTTAGAAAGATCTGGTATAATATCCCAGAAAGCAGTGGCGGCGCGTGGTCATTTTGACAACCGGGGCAAGCTACTGCGGGACCAAGTCACCCCCATCTACGGGGACAGGATGAGCGCTGTAAGTTCTTCCATCATTTTATGAGTATAAAAACCATTCCATCGGTAACAACCAATCGGCAAAAGCGACAATATTTAACGATAAGAAAGTGTCTTTAAAACCGGTCCAAGTCAAGGGATTAATAAATATAGACATAGTTTATTTTGAAACCTCTTTCAAAAGGAAAGGCAATATTTACCCAGATAAATACAATGACATATTAACAGAAACTTCGGGAAAGCAGACAAAACCTAAAATAAGGTTTAAAACGTTAGTATGAAGAAAGGAAAGCTAATGCAAAGATAAGGACATGCGTCGCTCACTCATAGATATATATGCTGCTAGACTTCTACTGCTTGAACATATATGCAACACGCCGCGGTTTCTTGGAAGCAAAATGCTCAATAACGCGCTGATTAAAGTCATGCATCCTCCTCCTTGGGCAAGAGCAAGTATAATCAAGACTAGACTAGATCCTCCAGACTACGCCAGTCGTTATAAAAGCCGACTTTGTCAACGGATATGTAAGAGTTTTCCAGTTGAATAAAATATCAATCCATGACCGATATACTTATTTAAAATGGTGGCTTTATTCATATTTAATTGTGATAAATTAAATCTGCGATTGCGTCGATAAAATAAAAGCACCACTACTCAAAATACCACGGCAATCCGCAACCATATAAATGTGTGGCAAAGTGCTCCATTACATTTTGTTTTGATTTGTATTTTTGTCAATTTCCCCATTATGAGCACTACTGGTGTGCCTTTTTTATAATCTCGCTTTTACAATAAAGAAATATTTGGTTGCAGGTTCACTACTTTATTCCTTTTTTGAGCATCTTGTCGCTGATGATTATATAATAAAAACTAACTCGTTTTCCTCAGAGGTGTCATGGTTCCATTCGAGAACAAAAAAGTAATTATTTAATTGTCTTCATGACACAAAAATATGTCGAGGGAAATTTCTGATTTAGGGAGAATAAACAGCGAAATCAAAATTTTTACGGCTTAAATAGCACGCCACGCTTACGAAAACAATCGATATTTAAACAAAATGCAATCGCAAACGCCTTAACGACTTTTTTTTAGTGGTCAAGGGCCGGGGAACGTCCACATGCATAATACCTTTAAGAAATGAACTGCTTTTAAATTTACATAAATTCATTTGTACTTCTCCATTTTGTTTGAAACGTTAGGCAAGCCAAGAAGTCTGTAATTGTTGCTTATTTTTAACACAGTAAGCAATTTTGGCATCGTTCAATAGTGATGAAGTAAACAATCGATTGAAATTTTACATGTCTTATGTAAACGATTAAGCAGAATATAGGTTTATTGCGTGTTTAGTTTTATTTAAAAATTATTTTTACTTTATCAGGTATTGCAAGCTGAGGGGAAAAACGAGAACGCATGATGACCAGCCATTATTTAGCTTCATACATACGACAGTGAACGGCGAAGTTGGACTCCGAAGCGTTCTATGTCCAAACAATCTGAGCATCTTAATATATAGCGACCTGCCCACCACAAAAATTCGTAAAATTTTGCAAAGGGGGGCGCGGCTCGAAAAGTTTAAGCACCACTGGACTAGAGGCATTGGGTCTGCTCGGAGCTGTGATGAAAAAGATGAAGCTGCTTGGCTTTGGCGAATCTTTCGGAAATAACTACTAATGGCGCCCCATCAATGGTTGAGAAACATAAGTTTTATTGGTATAATATTTGTGAAAGTTAGATGTACGGGTATCGTTTGTTTTTTCACTAACCTGTAGTCAGTGTAGCAAAACTAGAACAAAATGCCATATTAAGTGTCCTGCAAAATTATTAGTAAACTACATGTGGCCCTTCGGCCAAAAAGGTTGGACGCCGCTGCCCTAGGTGTTTGCAGAATAAGCCCACTCAAAACTATGTAAAAATAAGAACACTATGTGTACTCTCCAGATTTATTTTTATATTTTATTTTAGAGAACATAGCAAAGGATTTACTTCTTTGCCTTTGCTTTTGCCAACTTGGCTCTGTGATCTGCCTTCTCCTTTTGTCGTTTCTGTTCAAACAAAATTGCTGCTCTCTTGAAACTTGCCGCTGCTGGGTTGAGTTTCATCATACATCTGAAATTCTTGAGCGGATTCTTCTTTTGCGTTCTGCGTACGACTCCTCGCTTAGGTGCACGAAGAGCAGAACGCAATTCATCTGACTGGAGAATCTTGCTCAAATCAGTGCATGTCATCTTCGGCATTGGCAGGTTGTAGTTTTTCTTTTCAGTAGATTGCTTTCTCCATGTTCCATAGAACGAATCCAATCTTTTGAAAGCACTCTCTGTCCAGATAAGGAATCTTCCAACATGGCCGCCGGGTGCAATCTTCAATAGGTCAAGCCTATCTACACTGATCAACGTAATTCCAGGGATGTTTCTGAAAGCTTTGGAAATACCCTCGTCTTTATCGTAAATGATGCAAGGTCCACGTCGCATGGTCCTGCGTCGGTTACGCATCTTTCCTTTTCCCGCACGGATGCGTTTGGAATCCTTGACTTTCTTGATATCCTCCCAAGCTTTCAGTTTCTTCAACAACAGAACTGCTTCTTTAGTCTTCTTATATTGCTGAACTTTGTCTTCAACAACAAGAGGAACTTCAGGAATCTGCTCAATCTTGTGTCCTTTCGACATGACGAGAGCGGGAAGAGCAGATGCTGCAAGAGCAGAACACACAGCAAATCGTCGCTGATTGGTATTACATTTTCTATGCCATCTTCTCCAGATTTTAGTAGGAGCATACATACGTCCACCACGACACATATTTCCAAAAGCAGCTTGACCAGATCGATGGGTACCTCCCCCCCTGTAACGAATAAAAGAAGAAGAGTATTAAAAACTGTAGATGTCATTGATTAGACATATCTAATCAATTCACAATTATATATATCATATACACAATTTGCAAGTATTTTGTTAAAAGGAATTTGGAAAGCTTCACGCACTACTCAGATCTGTGGGCCGAGATAAAATTCACACCAGACTAATAGATTAATAAAACTTTAGACTAAAACTTCAGCTCTGGTTAAACAGAAACACAATATTCATGGAAGAACTTCATCGTACCCGTGTTTCCTCAAAAACAAGAAATAGTCTGAATATCAAAAATTATTTTAATACAAGTCCTTCCCTTAAAATAAAACCTAGTTAATAGTACAAAATTTCTTTTTTGACCTAGTCAATAGCAAAAAATCTCTCCTACACATTCTAAATGAATGGTCATTTTTGACGATCAGCAGTTCAGCATTTCTATGTCCAGCAGTTTTTTTTTAAATAAAACATGTTATCTATAAGTACCGGTAAATGGATATCAGTTTCCATATTTTATATATTTGAAAATCTTGTAATTCTCTACTTTGTAATTTTGTTTTTGACAAATAAAATTAAAAACATCCCCCAAAATAGTGTTATTTTTCAAAAGAAAATTGAAACAAGACCCTGTGTTATTTTCGGGTAAACACGATATGTAAGCTCATCTTTGTCTGTTAATTAAAAAATACTAAGTCAGCATAAATGATTTTGAGTTGACATAAAACCATTTAAAATTTGACCCCAACAAATTCAAATGATACTATGGCTGTTTTTAATTGAATTAAACTGAATGAACTTTAATTTTCCCTGATTGATTCTTCAGAAAAAAATCAAATGACGCTATTGTATTGTAAATGTGATATCTAATGTAGGTGCAGAATGAAGTAGAAACGCTAAAATAATTGGCCACTCAAGCATTTAGTATATAATGAATACCTAAATTAAACATAATCATTAAATTCATATATTCACGAGAATTAAACTAACACGGAGGCAAATTCCAGCTGGCCTGTAATTCATAATGCACATTTGAAAGCTTGGGAACATACAGAGACAAAACTTGTGTTTATTCTGAAGCATGAGTGGCAACTGCATGTTCGAACCACCATTTTTTCGAATTTGCCTCTATTTTATACAGTTTCAAACTATCCTTATTTCTGTCCTACTGATGCTAGTTTTAAAAAATTGGACCAGATTGGTAAAGATAAGTATGTTTAAAAGTGAAACAGATACATTTTAATCAAATTGAGTTATTAAAATTTGAAGAATGTACAAATCATAAAATATATATGATAAATGGTCATTTGAATCAGGTTGAGTTATTAAAATTTGGAGAATTTACAAATCCTAGAATGAATATGATAAATGGTCATGACTATAACTGTGGATCCTATCTAGTTTTTGTGCCTGTTATTTACCCAGTGTATCATATATGCTACACGCACCCACTGTTGTGTAATATTCAACCTTTGAGACTAGAGACCAAATTGGGAAATGATTATAACAGTTCCAGGGATCTGAGTAGTAGGTGAAATAGAATGTGTGCCCCCAGAAATTTGACAGCTATCCATATCATCAATGATCAGAAAGAAAACCTTGCATCAAAAATTTAAGTGCTGAAGCCTGATACAAACAAAATTCTCAGTGAATTTGAAATGACAATGATTGCAAAATACTTGAATATCTCTTATCAAAAATAACTTACCGGAAATTAAAAATCATGATGTTTTTCAGCTAATCAAAGTTGGCAGAATAAAACAAGTGTTATGATTTGAATAATATTAAACAAATTCTTAATATTGTAATACGAAAATGGTCGCTAAATATCTTTCATCTAACACAATAAGATAACAATAAATACCATAATTTTGGTTATTCAATCATTAATAAACAGTTTATTTTGATTCTCCGCAAAAAAATATATACAGAACAGAAAACACAGAAGATTGAAAAATCTCGAAAACTGACAAAACCTCAAGGTAAAAATACAAGTTATAATATGGAGAAAAAAATTTCAATGGTGTAGCTCATGTTTATTGACATGCGTCATACTTCAATTCATAAGATTAATTCTAGGTGAACAATTGCAAACGTGATAATACTCACCGTACACGTGGAATACGAGCGACGGCACGACCAGTTCCCCATGACTCAGCACTTGTTTGTTCCCCAGCAATTTTCTTCACAGCATATGGCTGACGATGATTTTTGCTGACATTGGTATGAACAAAATTCACAATGTCAGGTCGAATTGGTGACTTGAAAACTGCAGGCAAAGTGACGGTCGTCCCAGATGAAACTCCTTTTTCATTGTACACACTTATCAGTGGCCTTGCACAAGCCATCTTGCGATATCGAGCCTGTGAAATAAAGCAAGGATTTAGCTCAACTTTCAATTAGTGGTATACGCTATATCTAAATAAAATTTTAAATTGCAACAAGAGCCTTTGTGTAGCTAGTGCAATATTGTGAAAAAAAACAATCATACTGCAGTACTGGTAGACTGTATTACAATATTCAAAAAAAAAGAGATGGGATAGGATAGGATTTACATATTTATCCCGGGGGAGAGGAAAGCCGATAAGACGGCTTATCCATATGGCGAACCACGGCCTCTCGTCCGGTTACCATTCCAAGGCGGGTATGGGATTAGTTATATTGTTTGTTTTCGAAAGCATGGACTTGGTGGTGGAGGAAGCCGTAACCGACCAGCGGTTACGTGAACTACCCAACACCGCCGCGCCAAATAATAAGATAATACTGCTAATAACACAGTTTTACTGGGGAAACAGGGAAAGGGAGCTGTAAGGAACCAAAGCTAAATTGTAGTCTAGTGTACATGAATATAAATAAATAAAATATTTTATCAAGAAGGGACAACCATACTGGTAATAGGAAAGAGATAGAACGCCATTCACAGATTTACCCTATTTTATAAGTACGGTAATCAACGTTTCTTTCCTAAACAGACATTTAACCTGGGCCTAACAATAAAAAATCAGCTCAAACAGTGTTAATGAAATGAATAAGCTTACAAAAAGCCGTGAATAATGATATATTTTTAAAAAAATTGGAAATAAATTGGCCAAAGAACTAAGAGCCGTCAGCTCACCTTAGACCCGAGATAGAAAAGGACAGGCACGTTGATCTGAATGGTGATGCCAGATTAGCAAATATTTTTTTCCAAATTTCCAAGCATATAAAAGAATTATTCATCGTTGAAACAATACATATTTTAAATTTAATTTTTATATTGAATTTTATTTAACAAAAAGAGTATTTATGTGATATATAAAATATTTCAACTATAGAAAAACTGGCATGAAAAAAAATAGATGGAGAGGTTGTAGTCGGAGCAGCTTTCGTGATCGGGTAGCAAGAATTGGCATCTAAATACAATACCACTGATGAGGTACAGTCTCCGAAATTAATATTCAATAATAAATTAATATTCAAGTTCAACTATTATACAATGCGCATTTCTGTTAATAGTATACAATTTAAATTCAAGAACTTATCTCATAAAACATAGATTTGGGTCTCAACATGGGTTGTGATTTCGGGATTTTGCTGATTGGATTCCGGAACTAAATTTGAAATTCAGGGATCGGATTTTTGGAAATTTATAAAATTTGGCCAAAGTATGCATGCAATGTTGAAAATTTGAAACGTACACACATTAATTATTGTAATATTGGCGCAAAAACAGGTAAACATCGAGGTTGTTGAGTCTAATTTGACTGAAAAAACACATCCAACTTTAACAGGTGTAGTTTTGAGTGCTTCATGCAAACTTTGTAATTGGACACGTAGTGGACATAACGATCGTTTCAATATTATGTTGTTGTTGTTGTTCTTGTTCTTGTTCTTGTTCTTGTTCTTTGACACGTTTTCAAAAAGTCGCTTTTCTCTTCGAATACTGGACCAATTGCTTTGAAATTTTCAGTGGTTAAAGATAAAAATTTTCTCCAGAAGGCTATTACTTTTTTTTCGCTATGACGTCATCAAAATTATGTGACTCTACGTGTCCATATATTTGAGCATAGCTCTCTTGTTTATTTTTATGTTGGTTTCATAAAGAAAAAAATTCTGCATCCCATTAGCAGTGGGCAGTGGCGTATCTACGTAAAATGGGGCCCATGGCAAAATTTGAAATAAATGCGCCCCATTGATCGTTGACTGGCAATTTTCAACGGCTGCTGTTTAATTGAGATACTTGTACGTTATTATGTTAGCAAGAATACGAGTTCAAAATTTTTCGATTTAAAATTATTTTATTATAATTTACGATTGAAACTTTTTGCTCTTTTTGCGCCCCTGTTCATACGGCGCCCATGGCACGAGCCATGACTGCCACACCCTAGATACGCCACTGGCAGTGGGGCCGACGGAAATGTTGTAAAGACACAAGGCAGTGTTTGCTTTTGTCGGGCGAACTTTTTTTAACCATCCAAATATGCATGGCCAGTTCGTCCCTGGATAAGAGGATAATTTCGGCACCTTGCGGTCACTCGATCGATGTCTTCCCGACAGTGACGTAACAATCAAAATCTAAGCAATTTCTCTGGCACTTTGTTCTGTTAAGCTCGCCATAAAACGTAAAACTATTGGTATTCGAGACAATCACGCGGAACGAAAATTCAGAAAAGTTGCCTAATCTTAAAATAAGGTTCAAACAGGCGACATGAAGAGTTCTTACTAATTAGGCAATCTCACCTTATTACATCGAATATACACCACAATAGCCTACACCACGACGTACTTTTCAATTGACTCAAGCTTGTGAGAATCGTGATATATAATACATGCGTGGACACAAATCATGCCGGGCATTTTGGGCCTTGCATCTCAAAACCAAAGTTACACAATTGATGTATTCATTTTTACGCTGAACTTGAACAAGCAGTACGAAATTTGAAACAATGGTCGACAACATTAGGAATAAATTGGTTACGAAGACTTTCTAATAATTGACGTATCGATTACGATTTTCAATAATGTTTGTAAACATCGATGTTTTTGTAGTTCTAAGTAGTTTTATTTGTCGCTTTTATTCTATGTTACCGACATATATATAAACTGTATGTATAAATCAAATATTTCAACGACCAGTTTGTATCACTTTAAAACTGTGGTAATCAAAAAAACGTTTCGAAGCATCTACGATATATTACGTTAAAATGACTTCACAGCCCTTATCATGGCAGCTGCTTTAATTTAGCAAATAATGAAGTATAAAATAATTTTTGGTTTGGTTTGGTTGTGGGATTCGGGAGTTCGCGCTTCTCCCGTTTTTGATATGTCTTGTTATAATCGAGAACCTGAACTTGTCTTTATTTCTCTTTTTTGACGTTGTATGATAGCATCAAGTGGCTAACTAACGCCGCAACTGACGACGAGCGTCAAATTTGACGTTTCGTAAGTTATGTAATATTTTTATGTGTCTGTATTAAAGCGTGTCATGTTAATGTAGCTCACATAATGACATACATGAGCGAATATGGCGAAACTACCATGGAGGCTATCTTACATTCGTTCTTGTGTTGTTTAGTCCAGCAATGGCCAAGAACACCTCAATAAGAAAACACACTCGATCCGAGTGCCGCTCACGTGAATGTGGTTTTTATTTGTATCCATGTCTTTTTTCCTTTGAAAAGGCGTTCGTCGCAAGTCTTTCCTTACCTAATCCAATTTCCATCTATTCGTTAGAAACGAAATTTCTGAAAATTAGTACAGTTCTTGATTTATAAGTTAGGCATAACTGGTTCTTAAAACGTTGAATCCCACCACTGTTTGAGGGTTGTAGAGACATTAATCAGACGCCTGTTATATCCGCAGTCTGATTTGCGTGTTGCGAGCAGACATCCTGTCAGCATTGTTGCACCCACCAGGCTTATTGCCTTCCGTTTTACCGGCGGTGGCATATTGTATATTCTTTCGACGCTGTTTTTGTTTTCATTTATTTGATTAATTATTGAGCTTGTCAGATTTTTCCCAATTTTCCAATTTCGTGCCCATACACTTACTCATAAAACAACTTTTGTATTGAGGCCTTTTTATACCAAATGCACTAGCGTGAAACCACTGAACTCGAGTAGAATCAGGCTACGTAGTCGCCGTAAAACCAACATAATAGCCCAATGTACGTAATAGAAAAAAGTCTTTTATGATCGGAAGAACAATATTCTGGGGGACGGGACGTTTTCATCTCGTTTGTACTTTTGTTACGCTCAGAGGTATGCATATAAAATTCACGTGGAACGGGATAGTGGAAATTATCGAAAATGCTCTTAAGAAGTTTTTAGTGATCACAATGTTTCACATACCTTGTTCATAAGTGACTAAAAAGCGATCTTAAAAGGGTAAACGTAAAGCGTTTGAATCCAGAATGTGTATACCGTTCCGATGTCGTCAAATACATCTTTGAACCACTCTAGGGTCATTCTAATTATACGGCACACTGATGAGGAAAGAACCGACAAAAAGAGACGTGCTTGTCATCTAAGATTTCATCGAAAGTCTTAAGTATTGGTTTAATATGAAGATATTGGCGTCTAATGCCATAAGCGTGAACTGCGTAATCAGCCATATGTTGCGTCATGATAGTCTTGATTGTTAAACGGATATAAGCATCCTCGACAAAGCTCACGATTTACAACATACGCTGATGATAATGGCTGTTCTGAGTTTGATACTTTCGCTTCATATTATGATCGACTGTTGTGGTGAAAGGCTGCGCTTTCCATATCTCGTCCGAGACTTGGTTTGATAGACAGCAAACATGTTACGATTGAATTGTTTGCTACTATCACCAAGATCCTGTGCGAAAGACAAAACTTCAATATTGGCCTGAATTGTTCCACAAAATAAATCAATTGTGCAGGTTTTACTCAGATGTTCGAATTTTGCGATGCGCGCAGTAACTGGGGACATATTTATCGAAGTTGTTGAGTAACTTGGTCGGCACAATTTCGTTGGCCTATCCGTTTCAAAGCTCGGTTGTTCGTGAAAAAGTCTTGAAGAAGAGTTCTCGAAGCAGTATCGACGGCTAATTTGAATTAATTTTGAAATCAAGTCGTAAAATACTACTCTTTATAACTACGACAGAATCACGTTTCGGCGTTAAGGCTTCAAGAATCGCCCAACCACATTTCCTTCCTCTATTGATACTGTGTTTTTTGGAAAGCCCGCTACGTTTAACAAACCTTCGTTTTTTAAAAAAAAATACAACACTTGCAAAATTTTGCCATCGTGAAACTTGCTTACAAAAGAATCGTTTTCGATGCTTCTGACTCATGAAGTTGTTACCCGAATAAAAGTGCTATAGCCTATACGACCACTTGTGTCTGTAACATTAAAAAATAGTATTTCCAGTTCCAGTACAAACTCACAAATAGCATTTCAGCATTAGAGGCTTGTAAATCAGTATTCACTTAACTCTTTTTGCCATCTCCCCAAGTTAATAGCTGCATTCCCATGCGGCGGTCGTTTGTGTCTCTGATTGGTATGACCGGATGTTGTCAGTTTCGGTCAATCGATGTATATATATTATAAAACTTAGGACTACCGCGGATTTTTTTGCAATAATCATCTATTTCATGCCAGTGGAAATTTTATTTGAAGTTTCCCGCGGAATGTCTTACGAATTGTTCTGCCATCTGCCAATAAATATCAGAAAATAACAATGAGAGATATCATACATCGTACCATTGACCCTAAAAAGTTCTTAAGTAGGAAATCCTGAGTAAATGTGTATATATACATTCAAGATTCAAACACACCATCCATAAGTAGTGGCGCACTAGACTCTACGTCCTGGAAAATGTTAAGATAATACATAACTGCCCATAAGTCACCTGTGGACTAATGTGGGACCAATTTAATCGTTCTTCATACTTGATTGGGGATGTTGGGATCGTTCGGTGATGAATAATAGGGATAATATGGAATCAAATATATGAGCTGTTTAAACAATGATAGATGAAAATAGCCTAGAAAGACTCCCTATCTACCTTACTTACGTCGAGTCTCAAATTCACTTTCTTTCCATTGCAGAGTCGTTGAGTTATTATACCGCTTGCCAACAAGTCCATGTGCTCGAAACAATATATATACTACTTAGATCTTCCCATACATGCCGTGTTTACTGTGCGACCTGGTTCACTCGCCATGCGATTAAGAAATATCATCATTGGGGCAGGAAATCCCACTGCAAACACTTTAATGGATGCATGACTTCTGGTGTCATAAAGTGAAATTTAGGATTGTTAAGCCACAATGTTCCTAAAGCCATTTCGCAGTTATGAACCTCTGGAGCGGTTTAAATATATTGTGGGAATGGCGCAAAGACATATGTGTGCACCTGCTACCTGTGTACAATCAGAGTGCGTATACTATATATATGTCCATATGATCATTTTTAAAGAAATTGTACAGTCTAATCTAAAGGAGGGGTCGGCAACCTTTTGCCGCTCGCGAGCCAAAATTAAGGGTTGCGAGTCTTGGCGGGCACGTATTTTTAGAGAGTTGAAAACCGAACAGATGGCCGATAAATTTCACACAGAGCAGAGATTTAAATTTCAAGCAGCGCGCGAAGTCTGCGACGACTCGTGAACTCAACTTTCTCGTCTCGTCTCACTTAAAGAAAAATTACAAATGACATTCAATGTGACACCTTTTGCTGCATCATGCTTGACACATCACTAAATGGGAAACATTTTCTCAATGGAACACTGGATGAAGCCGAGATTAAAACAGTTTATAATTTGGAATCACTAATCCGATTTCTCAGCTTGTAGGACACGTTTAGTGGCCATAACGATCGTTTCAAAATTTTGTTGTTATTGTTATTTGTCTCCGTCTCCATTTTTAAAAAATCGCTTTTCTCTTCGAATACTGGACCAATCGCTTTGATATTTTCAGTGGTTAAAGATAAAACATTTTTCTCCAGAAGGCTATCACTTTTTTTTTCGCTATGACGTCATCAAAATTATTGCCACTGGGTGGCGCTACGTGTCCATATATTTGAGCATAGCTCTCTTGTTCTCTGTAATGTTCATTTTCGAAATGAATTTTTCGCACTCACGTGTATTTCCAAACATCGATGTGATTTTTTTTTGTGTGTATCAAAATCAGGTTAGAGTTTTTTTCCAATAAGATACTTTTTACAAAAATCAAGCAGTGATACATCTCTCGAATAAAAAATAGATTATTTCCGCATTGCATCTCAAAAAATTCCATTTAAATATTTTCTGCGCAATTGAACCCTTCGCACTTAACATAAACTTTTTTGCGTTTTGTTGCCATATGCTCAATTATAATTAAATTATAGACTCATATACTTGCCGTGGATAATATACAGCCGTTTTGTTACTATAATTCAGTGAAGCGTCGCGGGCCCGATTATCTGGCCCGCAGGTTGCCGACCCCTGGTCTAAATTATTACCGGAGGTATCAGTTAAGGGTCAAATAATTGTAACCATTACCCATCTAAAACTGGCTATCCGATTACCCATTCTCAGCCTTACTGGTCATCCATGTATTTCTCAGCAAAAATTATTCCCGCACCCCTCAAGAGATATCATGGGATAAGGATAATTATGCTCAAAAGTATTGTTCCTCGCCGTCGTTGGGTGGTTCACGTAGCCGCCGAGATATATATATACCACAAAGTAACCGTTAAACCCGGCATGTACTGGGAACAGTTAACTGGACGAGAGGCTGTGGTTATCATAAACAACATGCACGTTTATAAAATAGTCAACAAATTCAAGTATAGTTTATTAAAAGAGGGCTCAATGGAGATACATAGGCTGGCGGGACTTAAAAAATCGTGCTTGGAAATTCCCTTAGAACCATGTTTCAATCGCACGCAACCTTCGGATCATTCTTAGCTTCACTCAACACGTGATTTAAAACCAAAGAGTATTGTACAAAGAGTAAATGGTATTTAACATTAAATATATACATATTGACCCTTGTCGCATCGTGCAATTAGTTGGGAATACGCATGCCATCCCCGATTACCCTCCATGGTTTCATATTCCGTGGAGTCCCCTTATCAGCTTTCCCATTCCACATGATGAATACGAAAAATCCTATCTATTGTATAAAAAAACTGGAGCTCCCGAAGTATGTGCACCAAGATGGAGCACGACCGGAACCCCAACCTGGTACACATACTATGTTCAGGTTGCGCGCCATCTTGGTGCGCATACTCCGGGAGCACCAAAAAAACTACGTTTTTATAATCAAACGATTCTAGCACAGAAATGGCGTACCTGATAGCACAAGCCACTAAGTGTTAGTAAGTATAACTAACCCAAACATAGTAGAATAAATATAGCGTTCCTATGCTACTGTATTTATATTATATTTTATATGTAATAATAGAAACATTTCTCCGAACTCAAGCCTAGGAAAAACGAAATGAGAAACATTTTAAATAATCACTCTGCTCATAGCACAGCCCCCATAAATACAATTTTGCTGCCTTACTTGTTGAAACGTGATGAAGAAGAGTCTGAAAATAGATTATTATTACATGGTTACTTCATTAGACCAGGTGTTCTCAAACTTTTTGTGTTACGGAGCCGGTGAAGAGGTTGATTATTATTTACGGAACCCCACAATGAATTTGTAATAATGAACCAAAACACATTGTTAAAACAGAATTAAAATACTTAAACTATTGGAGCTTTTAGATATTGTCATATTTAAAGTACGGTACGGAATTGTTTCCACATTTTGACGCCGCTGTTGCTTAATTTTATTAGGGTTGTTATTGCTTCTTTGGTCTGATTCAAAATTAGCCAAGTCAGTATGTTAATAAGTGAATAGCTTGTGGTGCCTTAGGTTTTTTTAACCAAGCCATGGGGCTCCGTATGAAGCACTTTTAAAATCAATGCCCTTGTCTATACTAGTCCGGCAGATAAGGGGCCTTTTTGGGCCCAACCTTGTTTTCAGACAAAGTTTTTTTTATTTGTGATTATTCATCTTGGGCTCATTGCCCATCATTTCTACATGGGTGTGGAGTTTGCAGCCTTGAGCAATTTTTTTACGGCTTGATATTAGTATTAGTGTTTTTCGTCAAATCTGTGCACCATAATGGCGCACAACCTGAACCTATTACAATACTATGTCCAGATTGTGCGGAAGCACCAAATGTACTAGGAAATAAAAATCAATAACTTTTAGGTATTTTTTGAACCCAGCTTTGGGTCGCGACCTATATATATGGTTAGGGTTACCATATTTTTGTGACTTCAAATCGGGACGCCTCGAAAGACAACGACCCATTAGCTGTGATTTTGTAACTTCACATTTTCCAATTTTACTACATAGGCCTATATTCCTACATTTAAAGCTGTCTCGGCTGTCTTTATTGATCATATTGTTATCGAAATTTCATGCGCTTATTCTCTGTCTAAATATCGAGTGTAGTTCGAAAAATAGGAAGGAATTGACGTTAACGATACCGGTACAAATAATTCGAATTTAGACTAATTAGTATTAGTTTTACATGCGATACGTCTGCCATCGATGGGAATCAGCGGGAAACGAACGCATTCACCTTCAGTAAGAAGGCTAGCGTTGCGCTAAACAGAAACAAGTAACAAGAACATGTTTGTGTATTATGCTGAAAAAGTGGGACTTTTGGCTGACTTATCGGGACGGCGGGACAAAACGCTGAAAAGCGGGACTGTCCCGCCTAAAGCGGGACGTATGGTAAGCCTATATATGGTAATACTGTTGAAACATACGCGTAAAATAAAGAGTACTATTTCAAAATACCCGCTTTTGTTGCAATTAACAATACAAGCCTACTAATGCAGACGGCAGTGGTTCAAGTGGATAGCCTATACACCCGGTGGAGAACAGTCAATTATTTGCTAGCAAGGATTGTTATGCCGCGGGATGATCACGACGATGCAGTGAGAGATAATGCTATCACGAGAACAAGAAAATTGATACATTTTATAGTATTCACATGGGAATAAATGTAGTTCATTCTTATGTTCCATGCAAATGCTTTTCAAACTACCACAGACTTCCAACACTTTCGCTTCTTCTCTTAAAACACATTGTTATTATATATTCGCATTTCCATCTGTTTTTCCGTGCTCCCAGATAACCGATCAGTGGCCTCCAAGGAGGCCGGGGTCCCCTTTTAGGAAACCCTGTCATAAACTATAAGAGGCTACCGTGCTTCTATTGCCTGTTGTCATGCTGTTCCTCGAATTCAGCTACAACAATAAATTCACGAAAACGGGTTTTAAATTTTATGATTTCATTAACATTCTCGACAATGAATGATATATATACGGGTGGTAAAATGCCGAGTCATTCCAACAACATGATCATGTTTTGCAACTTACAACCAATATTTTGTATGTAACTTTGTTTGACAGAGCCTCAAGAGATCTAACTACAAATAATGTGAGGCTGAAAAAGTTACACTACAACATAGCCAAATGTGCTGTATTTACGATAGGTAACAGGTTTACCAAAAAGCATTACATGAAAAATGGTAAAATAAAGATCAATTTAGCACTATCTACTTAGGACTTGGTGATATACATCTGTTAATGGTTTTATCGTTTGTTTCGGAAGTTTAATGACAGACTTAATTGTGGTTTCAAAAAAAGTTTGGATGGAAAAAAGTTTTTACAGAATGTCAAGGTTTAAGAGTAGTAGAAAAAATACTCCCATGTGTTCTTCTTTTGATAACCACACCACAGAACTAATCCGATAAATATACGCAGCAATTGCGAGAGGCAGAATTGCCAAGATGAGATTTCATGGCATTGCAAACCAATATTAGCGATTCTTAGATATATTCGCGTATTCCTATCTGAACAGCGTGGAAAAGATTATACCTATCTACACACTTGAAAAACTATGTCAGATGAGCGTCCTATTATTTAATATCAGTAAAGGAATAGTGCAATGGGAAAAGACATATATATGAGGCTTATCTTTCAGTAATATGCAATCAGATAATCTTATTGGAGAATATATATTTAAAAACATTTCGTCACGCCAACCGCAGTCCGAAACTTTTTGTCTCTGGCTGAGCTTAGATACAAATTGGCACTCATGTAAACTGCACTGGTAAGAGGCACGCGATGGAACAGATAATATGAGTAGTCGTCCCCCAGCTATCATTTGAGTGGGTACTGCTGTTTTTATTGAAGATGATACTGACTTTTTTGTATTAAAAATTTACTGGCATCAACGATTTAAGGATGTCAAGTGATGAATATAAATAAACCAGTTGAAAACCAACACGCAGTATTACAGAACTTACTTCCAACACGCGGTTTGAATGAATATAAAAGCTGAAACTAGTATTCCTTAGAACAGCATACGAATTCTATGGAACGAAATCATACACAAAAGCTCGTCAAAAAGCTATAATTCAATAAACAAGTGGAATTTGATGCATGTTCGCAAAAATGTGCGCGTTACTACGTACAACCGGAGCACGCAGGAAAATGTGTGCGATGTACTAGTGATCAAAATGTTTGACTCAACTATGTTGGCATAACAGGTGCACATCTCGGTTTCGCATACGCATACCTTCTATCTCCACAAGCATATATTAATTTGGCCAGAGTCAATGCTGCACCTGAAAGGTTCCGGTTCTTCCAAAAGAAAACACATTACACATCGTTAGATACCAGCGGATGGTTTTACATGGCCTTGTTCGGAGTGAAAGACGAGGTCGAATATTCCAATCCATTTCAACCAATAAAATATTTCCCAAGTCCCTAAACTTTAAGCAGGAAAACGAAATGCCCGCAGCAACACAAATGTAGTTTGACAAGCGCAAAAGAAAGTGGCCAGATGCTGTCGATGGATTTTGGCTTATATTAGTGAAATAAACTACCATTTCTCCTACTAAAATTGAATTTCTGACATTGTAAGGAGATTCAATGTTACTATGTATTCAAAACTAACCCATGTAGTTATGAAATTAATGGTTTTTAACGAAAAGGTGCTTCCGAAGTATTCGTACCAAGATGGCACACAACCTGAACATTGCATGTGTTCCAGGTTAGGGTTCAGGTTGTGCGTCATCTTTGTACGAATACTTCAAAAATCTATTTAAAAAAAATTGGGTGCTCCCGAAGTATGCGAACCAAGATGGCGGACATCGGAATGTAATATGTGTACTAGGTTAGGGTTAGGCCATAATTTTAGGTATAAATACTACGGGAGGCTCTTGGCTAGTCTTCGAACTGATAATAGGACTAAAATAAGGAAAATTGGAAAAAAATTATCGCCTAACCCTAACCTGTTACCCATGTTACGTTCCGATGTCCGCCATCTTGGTTCGCATACTTCGGGAGCACCAAAAATTGAGTATCATTATATATGTCATCGACATTATATCTAAACAATCAAAAAAACTTTATGTCCCGAAACAATGTTAAGGCCCGATTCTGCCGGACTATACCACATGATTAATGACTAAAACTCTGATTTTTTGTTAAAACTGGGTATGTTTTGTATCACGTGATTTTGAATCTTAGGTTTTGTCGGGGTTTCTGGGCTGCCTTCTTTTTTCTTATGTTGCGCAATAATAAAAAAGATTGAAGTATTTAGTGACAATGGTGGGTGGCATAACTTGCTATGAAGTTGCTAACACTTACAGCAGGTTTGGCTATTTGGCTTCATCAGTAGTATAATGCTGCAGTTAGTACACATAACATAATGTAAATAACTCTTGATGACCATTGTAAACTTTGAGCTGAATTCAATCTGGACATGTATATGGCTAATAATTCTAATACCATTTCCTCATCAATGTTGTGCTTTGACGCTGCTATCTTACAAGCACCTGTAATGTAAGCATATACAAATCAGAAAATGTGAAAGTTGGTAAGAAAAAGAATACCGGTACCGGTATATAGCCTCCGGCCTCGAACAAATCAGTAAACCTCTGACTACCCTGCCCCGGTTCGCAAGATGTATTCTGTGAGGGATGATTATGTGTGAGAGGAATGCTGGACTTCTTGTGGTGTAGAGTGCTTAGTCCGCCACCAAGTCCATAAAAACAAATAACTGGCTAAATAATCTCATACCCGATAATCTCATCTCGACCCGATGGATTATAAACCGGACAAGCGGCCGTGGTTCGTCGTATGATTGAGCAGTGTTATCTCAATGTTAGGAATACAACACACCTCATTAGAGCAATAGTTAAGTACGGTGAAAGATATTTTTACCTTCAAGTTGTATCATGTCAGACTCCCTTTCTGTCTCACATACTTTTGTCTTTGATTCAACGAGACCATCACTTCGAGTCCTCGTCTGTATAGTCATAGAAGAGCACCTATAATATTGATAGAAGAGTGAATCAACTATACATTTCTGTAATTGTGCTGGACATGACCGTGTTCAATAAAATCGCCACAGGCAATTTTGTCGTAGAAAACTTGCCGCATAATGAAATTCACCGCAAGAGCATTTTGCTGTAGACCAAGTATTTGTGATAGCATGAAAAATCGCCGCAAGAGCATTTTGCTGTAAAACAAGTATTTGTGATAAAAACAGTTAGGATTATAGGGTTAGGGTATGCTTTTAAATGATGAATCTTTTTTGAATAAAAGGGTACTTTAACTGTTGTTATCACAAATACTTGTTTTACAGCAAAATGCTCTTGCGTCGATTTTTCATGCTATCTCAAATACTTGTTTTACAGCAAAATGCTCTTGCGGTGAATTTTCTTATGCGGCAAGTTTCCTACGACAAAATTGCCTGTGGCGAATTTTTCTAAAACCAAACATAACTACTATAGAGAGGATTTTCAAATTTCTACCGGGCAAAAGGAAAGCAGAGAAGACAGCTTAATCACGAGATGAACCACAATCTCTAATCCAGTTAGTAGTCCATGTCAGGTATGGAATAGTTAACCAGGTATTTGCTTCAGATTCGTGAAATCGATGGTGGAGAATCCGGCAGTCTTCTCGCACATAATTATCCCTGTGGCATTCGAGCCTGCGGAACCATGCAGGGTAATAAGAGATGGAATGGTAAGCATATCCCTAATGCTTAGCATAATGTGTCAACCGCCAAACCATTAAAAAATTATATCCGCCTTATCCGAACTTTCTTGATGAACACCATAATAATTTTCGAAAGCAGTTTAATACCAATGGAAAGTTGAGTTTAACATGAGGAACAAAGCATATTCGAAATTATAAAGTGTAATATCTGAGGTGTAACTATGCCTAATGGGAACTGAACTTTGTTATGTCCATTAAATTTAGTATTGGCTAATGAGTCGAAATTAACAATGTAACTAACCTTTCGCACTTTGACCATGCCGTCCATGTTGCCCACTTTGTTGTTTTGCAGGGAGCATCATCACATCTTTCACTGGACATTCGAAAATATTCACCTTTACATGGTTCCAAGATGCAAAATCTCCTGTTATTCATTTTAAAAAAAATATCTTTGAAAAATGAAGATGGCCATGTTTTGGTTTGGATTTAATTTTCAGTTGAATGATAATATACAAATACTTGCAGTTCATGAGACATTTAGACGTATTCAGTAGCGATATATACCAACAACCCGCCATTTTGTACACTGCAGTTACATACAGAATCCTAACCTAAAACATTCCCATATACCATCCAATCTGTGGTTCAAAAATTACTATGGGCAATTGGCCCTGTACTTATTACATGTGATTAACAACTATTCAGCAAAAACAATTGATTAATAAACACACTTTTGAAATAACAGAACAGTTTCTAGTTATTGTCTTATCCCAACCAATCTTAGAATAAAATGAGAAGACTATCTCTCTCAATACAGAAATTGTATCTGCAAATATTCTTACTAACCGTAGGAGTACATAACAATCTGCAGTGCATGATTTGTCCGCTCCCGCCCAGGCCACCCAAGTACCAATATAAGAATCATCGCAGTAGCCAAATTCATCTTCAACAGCAGGACTTTCACCGAGATTAATATTACCAACAGTGGCACACCACTTACCGGAAGATCCAGGATTACTTGGTTTCTTAGGTGGAGGTTCAGATGTACAGCTCTGGTACTGTTTTTGTCTGTTGAGAACATATGTAGATATTGTTTTCTGCGAATGTTACTACAAATAAAAGTCTTGACAATCATCAAAAGCGGGTAGCGTAGTTTTTGGTTAAGATACATTGACTTATTGATGTGAGAGGTCACATATGCAAACATCTGTAACGATTACCTGGTTAACTGTTATCATATCTGACACTGGCTGGTGACCGCACTGAAATTTTTATTTTGATAAGATCAACCTGTCTTATCAACTGTCTTCTTCTCTGGTATGACAAGAAAATCCTATCTACAGTACTTAAACTTGACGTATGGCAATTTTTTCCCATTTTGTGTATCGGACTTACTTGGAAGGAAACTCACTTATAAATAAATGGAAATATACATGGCATGATGGCATATCCAAATTCCATGTATCTACTTTGTAATCTCACCAACACAGAACTAACAGATCGACTCGAAGATCGATCCGGACACACAGGAACATTACAAAGTTCGTATCTATGGTTGTGATTGATGCAGAATGGTCTAGGAGCCTTTCCACCAGGATTACGACACTAAAATAATTACATTATTAGTTACAAACACTTAGTAATTCGTCAAGTTAGGTTTATGAGATTATTCGGAAGGGGAAACAATGAGAAAATTTATAAAATAGGAGAAAAAATGACAATTTTATGATGTGTCTTTTAGCTTTAAAACAGGACTTCTCAAACTTGACCCTCGTCTTCTAGAGGGCCATAAAGTGGTTCTCCCAGGGCCATGAGCAAAGGCCTACATCCTATGTGTCATTCGCAATGACTGCATTAATTTAATTTATTCAATTCTTTGACTGTAATGCATTATTTTTGTATTATACAGTGTTAAAAAAGTTGCGCAAAACTGATTTTAACTGCTGTTAATTTTGCGTTTTCTTTTAATAATGTATTTTTGTATAATGTAGCGATCACAACTGATGGAATCATATTCAAAGCAAAATAAGGTATTTCTAAAGAATTATGCTTAGGGCAACGAATCATGAAATTTAATAACAAACATTGCTTTAACAACTACAATATGAATCTTTCAATTCGTGAAGCGAAGATTCTTAAAAAAAGATCCAACCATTATTAGTCAGCCCCAAATATATGGAATACGCATGTAACCACATCTCTGATTACCCGCAGGTTTCGCTGTTTTGAATCAATGGGGATAATCAGAGGATTACTTGACTCCTCACCGACATAGGATGGTTCACATAAACGCTGGTTGGTCACAGCTGGTCACATATGGACTGGCAACCAGACAAGAGCTCAAATTTTGTCAAAAATTACATATTCCACACAGAGCTATGGATTCAGAGTTTGGTATGTTTCTGCTGAAGCTGAATTTCCAAACTTTTCAAAGACAAAATTTTGAATTCCTCAGAACCATGGCCGCTATGGCCAAACCACGGCGACTGACGTTTAAGCTGCCACAAATCAATGCCGAGAGATGGGTATCACGGCAGCAAATTGAAAACCAATGGCGTGTAAAATTTTGTCGCCACAAACTGAGGCATGTTGGCTGTAATGGCAGGGCTGCCCTGATGTGACAAATTTTGGGTAGGTTGAAACATTTTCCTTACGGCTACAGTTTTGATGGATTTGGGGTTAGGTTTCAGGTTTAAGTAGATATAATTCTGCATGATAAACTAAAATCTGGTACATGACTTTGTGAATATAACAGTAATAGCACCATAAAACCATGGCAAGAGACGCGGCGGTTCGTGGGAGAAGCTGCCATGAAATGGCAAGAAATGCGCCTCTTGAGTAGAGAGTCATAGTCAAATTTTCCTCAACCAGGAGTCAGAATCAAATTTTCTCTGACTCATCAGCCAGAGTTCAATATATTCCTTCAATATCAGAGCAGCTAAAGTTTAGATGAGAGTTGATTACAGCGTCACAAGATATGGCAAATTTGAAAAAATGTATACAAACAACATTATCTATTTACCTACCCATGGTTGTGAATAGTCTAAAGTAAGATTCAGTTGCCTTTTTCTGTCGTTATCAGGCCAATTCTTACAAGGAAGTCCCTTCACAGTGGTGCGATGATTCCCATTATATGAACGTCCACCATCTGACATATCATAACAATCCTTTGCTGGGTCACAAGCATGAGCATTACATCTACCTGACATTTTATATGGAGCACCATTGCATGGTGGATATCTAAAACGTAGTTGAGAAGCAAAAATGTATTTGAGGGATTAAAAAGCTAAAATTATTTAAATAAATGAAATGATATGCCCAGGGTTCAATCTTTTTAAAAGCAAGTGAATTGATTTTCTTGATAATAGAAAAGAGTCATTTCATTTTTATCCAGCTAATAAGTGCCCAGAATCTTTGCTAATATTTGAAGCATACACTGCAACAATTGGTTAACATCCATGCAAACTTGCTTCAGCGTGTGGCAATACTTTAAAACAAATTCACTAAAATTTCCATGGTCTTCTCAGTTTATAACATATTAAGATGAAAGACAGCTTGTTGGTAAAAGTATTTGTAGTGTTCTTAGAATATAAATTTATGAAATAGTTGTTGAAAACATTCCATAACTTGTAACAAAATTTGAATTTCACAATGATCTTGAATTTCTTCGCTGCCGCCATAGAAACAAAACATCAATTGAACTTTTATTAGGATGCGCATGACTAGAGTGACAAGATAACCCACATGAAAATGTTCATCCAGATCAATGTGTGTTTGCTCAAGTAGAGATACAATATAGGCTCGATGACCTGGTGGTAAAGAGTCAATGCCAAATCTCAATCTACATTTCCAAATTTCAGTATTTTAATGATAAGAGAAAAGTGACCAACGACCTGCAATATCTTGTATAAACGTTTTCTCCTCCCGCACACGGTTTTGAGCATTTCGGATTTTCAGACCATGACGACCATGTATCTTCATAAGCACTGAAGCATTGTCCCATGATAGTTTCACTAGACTCGTGACTAAGAATACACCATAAACCTTTTTTGCCGCTGAGTTTTATACAAGAGTGGTGAAGTCCATCTTGATACCTGAAAAGGCCATAAAGTACAGAAATCTCTGTATTACATGGGCTAGGTAGGATAGGATAGGATTTTACATATTTATCCCGGGGGAGAGGAAAGCCGATAAGACGGCTTATCCATATGGCGAACCACGGCCTCTCGTCCGGTTACCATTCCAAGTCGGGTATATGGGATTAGTTTTACTGTATTGTTTGTTTTCGGAAACATGGACTTGGTGGTGGAGGAAGCCGTAACCGACCAGCGGTTACGTGAACCACCCAACGACGGTGAGGAGTCCAGCAATCCTCTCGCACATAACCATCCCTGCAATGGGATTCGAACCTGCGAACCGATGTTCAGCAGTCAAAGTGTCGGACCTAACCCATGTCCCCTCTTTTCCCAGTGTGTGATAAATTGGGTAGGGCAAGCCGAACCGGAAAGATTATAATTCTTCTCAATAAATCTAGCTTCTCACATATCGTTAGATATCAGTGGCTGCTTGTAATAAGCCTTGTTCAGAGCGAAAGGTACGGAAATGTTTAGCCCGTTGGAAAGATTTATTTGCTTCCAGGCGTGTGATACCACCGCCTGACAAACCCCGCGATTAAATTAAGAAGACAAACTTTGGTCTTCTTAAAAATACGGTGCTCCCGGAGTATGTAAAAACAAAATGGCGGACACCGGAACGTAGTATGTGTATCAGGTTAGGATTAGGCCATATTTTCAGGTACAAATACTACGGGAGTCAAGTGTCTAGTTCCCGAACTCATAATAGAACTAAAATAAGGAAAATTGGAATAAAATCATGCCCTAACCCTAACCTGGTACAAATACTACGTTCCGGTGTCCGCCATCTTGGTTCATATACTTTGGGAGTACCAAAAATACTACCTTCTTATGCATCAGAGGGCGTTTGTGCAGAATCTTGCTCAAGTAGAGATGTGAGAACCACCTCAATAAACACTCCACTTTTTACAACTTTAAAAAATATAATTTGCAGGCTTACTCGAAAGGGAACTTGCAGAACGATAGCAAAGCACGTTCAACATTAGCTGCTTTGACTTCTTTATCAGATCCTGCCTTATAACAATGCTTGATTCCGCATGCAACTTTTTTTCTCGTACTTTTTTCAATACACCAAGGATAATCAAAGTTATTTGGATCTGTGTTTCTGTAATAAATTAGTTAGAAGAGAGTATGGTGATATCGAATTGATAATACCGGTAATAGAATGTGAATATATTTCACCAGTAATAGAACAAAATTGAAGAATTGTATGATGGGTACCAACTTAGGATAAGATTATCCCGGGGGAGGGAAAAACCAATAAGATGGTTTGATCATATGGGGTACCATGGCCTCACATTCGGTTACCAGTCTGTGTTGAGTACGAGATTAGTTAGCTAGCTATTTATCTCATGTGCATTGACATAATGATGGAGGAAGCCGAAGTGGCCAGCTGTTACGTGAACCACCAGAGGCGAGGAGTCCAGCAATTCTCTTACACATAAATGTTTCCCACAAGATAACAGGATATAGGAATCAGAAGGCTCGGGATTACTGGGTCCAGTGTATACAAATACATAACAACAGGAATCAGACAGCAAAGAAAAATATACAGTAAGTAACATTGAATTTTGTTTCATAAATCTTCTGGTTATGAATATAATTACTTGCCTGCATTGATTTGTGTATTTTGTTCCAACCTTGCGAGCAGCACACTAAAAAAAGACATTAAATATTGTGAGGCGATAAAAATAATGACATAAGCACTTGAATATTCAGGTTAATGACGTATTCAGTCCTATGAAATGATCTGGACAATTCAATTGAAAACAAAAAATTTTAACATCTAAAAGTTTATATATCCTTGTATAAAATGCGATAAGGTCCAGGTTCACACAACTCATATGCAAATATTTTTCTTCAGTTTTTAATACATTCACTCTAAACAAAGCCCCAAACAGTATCCATTTATATATATGAGTATAGGAATGTATATGAATATAGGTTTTTTTTCAGTTCAGCAAAGCTTACACTATTTACTATATTGTCATTAAAACACACAGACCTCTCCATCATTCCAAGTAACTGCTATATCTCCCTCATAATCATATCCTCCAGTCTCCAAATTATAACATTTCTTACATGGCTGAGTGTTGCACGATCCCATTACTTTCGTGTCAGGTCCAGAACAAGGATGAAAACGACATTTTCTCCCGTATCTGAATATGAATTAGGAAACCGGGCATTAGGAAACTATTTGACGCAAAATGAAGGCGAGAGAAATATTGGCAAACCAGTTATGCAGGGGCGAAAGTCGTTCAAGCTTGCCCGACTAATGTTGATATATATATATATCGGCGGCGATTTACTATTTATGTTGATATATATAATATCGGCAAACATGCAATATTCGGCCGATATATCAGTCGAGCTCTAGTAACAACAGTTTACAATTACAGCATAAGATTACATTGATATGTAGTAAAATGAATAATTGTCTTTTTACTGAAACTGAAGTGTAACTAAATACTTATTTTCCTGCAGATTAAACACTAATACAACACTCATTTCTGCTGCCTGAATATTAAAAATCAACCTTCGCTTATAATAAATGTTTTCTACAAGCAGAAATTCTCGTCACCTGAACTTCCCACCACCACATTTGACAGAGCATGAATCAGGACCATCTACAGCCCACGCTGACCATGTTCCTCGTAATGAAGCTGTGCAATAACCGTAAGATGATCCATCATCGAAAGACAAATTAATATCAGAAGAAGTTGTTCCGCAAATAAACGTTTTCTTTTTGTTTTTCTTTTCTATATAAGCTGTACATTCCTCGATATTGCGGCCATCAAATAAAAAAGGGAATATGCACTTATTTTTTTCCTTGGATGGCGGGAACTAAAACAGATGATTAAATTGAGAACTGCTATAATTTACATTCAGTTGCGTCAACAGGAAAGACAGTCATTCCGCTCACAATATGGCACTGATTACCCTGTGAGGATCTGAAGATTTGAATCCCACATCCACAGGTATAATTATGTGCAAGAGGATTACATGACTCCTTGCCGTCAAAAGGAGGTTCACATAACTATTCCGGTCTAACTTCTGATTGACTGAAATTTTGGCTCCCACATTAAGACTGAAATTCAGACTTCAAATGCAGATCTCAACTACAATTAATTGACAACATCAACTTTGGCATATGGAAGCTTTCTTCGATTGTCTGTTGAGAATACCAATTCAACTTTAAGCTTTCCTACTTCCTGTTAGAATACTAGACTTCGATTACTACCATTAAAATTCTTACAAATTAAAAATTTCTACTTCCGCTCAGACAACTGACAAAATAGGAATCCAGCTATGACTGCAATATCAATAACAACATGACAAACTCCGGCCATACAGCCCTACTTCATTTCCTATTTAAACCGCTCGAATAAAACTTTGATACAAAACAATGGTATCTACGCTTTATTTCAACTGTTATCCGAATGATTTTTTTTATAATAAACTTGCCATTCATTTGCTCTGGAAAAATGCTATATTGAAAAATAGGATGCATTTTATCATTTGAGGTTGTCAGGAGTCTTACACAGGGCTGGGAAATCAGAGAAAATATACCATCGATTTAGATTCCCAATTGAAAAAAAATGTTGACTCTGATTAAATTGAATTTTAATAACGAAAATTTTTGCGAATTCCAGCGTTCTTTGAAAGACTGTTAAGAACGTTTAGTACGCTCAAAGTTTTTTGAGTGTATTTTTGAAAATTCTGAATTCTCTTAGTACCATCGAAAATGTAAAATCCTCACTCCGATTTCAGGGAAATCAGAATTTTAACTCTGACTCTTTAGAGTTTAAAAATACGACGTCAGCCACAACAAGCCAAACTCCAACTCAGTCAGAGCCGTACACAAACTGACAGGAATTTGTTTTTGACTCACTTTTTCTCTCATAAGCTAGACTTTGTTAAGCATATATTTCAAATAATTATTTAATTGTCTAAGAAAAAGATTGTCAAAAACGTATTGTTCAGACGAATACACAGATATCTATACAAATTTGTGTATTGCAAAACTGTTATCTTAATTCCATAAGAAATGATGGTTCATCAGCCTTATCTTATCCTGACCATGTTGTATTGTAATATTACAATAACAGCACCACTGAAACCTAAAAAGCCAAAAATTCTTACTGCTACTATTTCTCCTTCAAATGATGGGCAATGAGGAACGTCACAATATTCCCATCTCACTGATTTATCTGTCGTAAAACACCATGGTCCATATCGTAAATCGGAAGAAGGATTCCTACAGTAATTATGATCAAGTGTTAAGCTTCTATAATCGTGAGTGTATTCATGTCTGTGCGGTGATTGTTTGATCCAGTTCATACAGGTTTTACCTAACAAAATAAATATGAAAAATGTAAATTGACTGATTTGATTAAAACAATTTTCAACACTTACAATTAAATTTTTGTAAAAGCAGCCTATTTGGCAATGGTTACATAAATTATCGAAGTTTGACTTCATTGAAAGAGTGAGATTCGTCCAAAGCAGGCCTTTTCAAAATGGGCTCTCAAACCCCTAGGGCAGGGTTCCCAAACTTTTTGGATCATGAACCCCTGTTTGTGAATCTTATTTTTGACGAACCCCATATGAATCATAATGTCGTATCAATTTCTGTACTTACTAACGAAGAAAGATAATGTTTCCTTTGACGAAATAAGAATCACGAAAGTCTGAATAAATAGATACTATCGTTAAATACTGGCAGACTACCAGCAATTAGATAAGATTATGATTTATTTGTATATGTTCCAGACTCGTTTCATATCATTGCAGACCCACTGTGCGGACTCCCAGGGCCCTGCCCCAAGGGGGACCACAAAGTGGTTATCTGGGAGCCATGAGCAAAAGTCCTCACGATCATGCTGATTCGCCCCGATGAGCCAAAAAGTCTGACTGAAATATAGTATCAATGACCAACCAGAAATAGTTTTGTAAGCTCTGCCATTGTACAAATGTCCTCTATTCATGAAGCACTCAATATCCTGTCTCAACGTCTTCTTCCATTTGCATGAATGAGTGTTGCATTCTTCCTCATACTTTACTCTCTTTCCTTCACAAGGTGGATACAAACAATCCCTTGAAACATATAAAATTAGTTTTTGTGTTGTATTAATGAAAAATTGATTAATATTGCGTAATTTAAATTAAAGATATGTCCAGATTACAATAGATCATATTGAAGTTCATATCATATCAATTCAATTCATTTTGATTTATCATAAATCATCATTTTCCAGAAAAAAATATATAAATTATGAATAAATAAATTTTGAATGAAGGATATTAAATTTCATTTGTACTAAATGACAGGAATGTATTTAAACACATTTGAATATTGGTAAATACTTGATTTTAGAAATATTTAAGAATATTTTCATATGAAATTTCTCATCGAGTATTCAATAATCAAGACAAAGGAGAACTCACTTAAAGCGGGTGCTAGTAGATAAATGACTTCAACTAATGCTTTGAAAAAATTAATTGATCATTAATGTGCTTAATCTTGCCTCAACTAAGAATATTAAAAAACTTGATTTAAAAAATTGAGATTTTAAAGAAAACTAAAACTCTAGATAATAGAATATGAACATCTTTTGGTTTATATAACGGAAAAAAAAATGCGATTGAAGAATCATCATCAGACTTACCTTAAATATATAATTCCCCCTCCACCACATGTTTCGTTACACATTTTGGTATTTCTCCAATGAGACCAGCTACCTTTGTATGAAGGAGGACATAAGGCTAGTTGATCTTGTCTTAGGTTTTGTACATCTTGAATGATCGGACAATAATATTTTCTGTTTGAAATAATGTTAGAAGTTGAATAGCATCACATTTGTAAAACCACCCTACGACGATGAGGAGTCCAGCAATATTCTTGCACATAATTATCCCAAATTAAATTTTGAACATGTGCAGGATAATCAAAAGTTTGGGTGCTCCCGAAGTATGCGAACCAAGATGGCAGACACCGAAACGTAGTATGTGTTCCAGGTTAGGGTTAGGCTATAATTTTATTCCAATTTTCCTTATTTTAGTTCTATTACGAGTCCGGGGACTAGCCAAGTGACTCCCGTAGTATTTGTACCTGAAATTATGGCCTAATCCTAACCTGGTACATATACTACATTCCGGTGTCCGCCATCTTGGTTCGCAAACTACTGGAGTACTATAGTTTGATGGAAATCATGTTGCTAAGGTCTGGTACAATACGCCAACCTCTATAGTAAATTCAGCTCTTTTGCTTTCTGAATCAATTTTAAGCTCACCCATTCATTTTTTGACAGTTCCAATATACGTCAGTACCATTTTCATATGGCATATAACATTTTTCACCATTCTGTGCAAAGCCATCTTGTGGAATTGTATAAGGAATTGTTCCGGTAATCTGGAATCGAAAATATTGATGATATGTAAAAATTTTGCTTTGCGAATAATTTCAATTTTGAATAAAAATTTTAAAAAACGAAAAAATACCACTTTCAAGCATTGGTTAAATCGTTAGAGTCAAACTCTTATCTATAATATCGGTCATTACGAACTGTCGCAGCTTCTCACTTAGCAGGGGCTGTCTGTGCAGAGCCTTGTTCGGAGCACAGTATTAATATGTAACATGAAAATTCTGTTTAAATTAATATTTCTGGGCATCCCAACTATTAGTGGGAGTTAATAAAAATTATGTATAATAAATATAGATAAAAAATGAAATAATTGAAGTCATGAACATATTTGCCATCACATCGGTACCATTTCTGCATGTTTTGCAGTTGCAAATCCTTCAAAGGATAATTATATGACAAAGAATATCTGGAGTTCAAGCGATGGGCAAGGTGTTTCACGTGACTGTGGATGGACACTTTACCCCAACTTGTTTTGCGTTTGTTAATCTGCATTGACTAACTTTTTAAGTGTTCCTGTGACCTGGAACAGATGCGTAACTTTAAAGCAGTGTTTCCCAAAGTGCCCTCAAGAGCGTAACCTGTATGTAATCCTAATACCGGTACATATAATCAAGATACTGGTATAATTGAATAGTTGCGAATATGCAAGTGCTTAAACTGTGATGATGATGTGACAATGGCGATATTTAGAATGAAAAAAGTAAGCGTTAAACATTCTCGCTTGAGTTCAGCGGGCCATATTAAATCACTATGCGTGCTGTAATTGGCCCGCGGTGTGGCAATACTGCTTTAAATGCATTTTGTTCTGTCATTAAAATATCTTTTCCACCAAAAGTAGGCTTACACAGTGCTTTGGGTCACAAAATACTTCCAGTGATGGTCTGCCGGAATAACACCATGGAATTGCTTTAAAATCTGGATTTCTGCAAAAGTTTTCTTTCAGATTTCTATTTGTATTCGCAGCTGGAGTGTCTTCCCATTTTGAACACTGCTTTCCAGTATATGTTGTCTGGTATGTACCGTGATATTCCGACCTTGAAAACAAACAAAATGATTAGTGTTACATCCTGCGCTGCGGAGTCTGTAAAAATTACAATCAATCCCGATTGCGGGGCAAATAAAATTTTGACTTTGACTCCAGATCGAAAAAAAATTAGGAATGATTCCAACTAAAGTTCCGAACAAGAAAATGAAAATTTTGAAGAAAAAAAAACGCTGATCTATGGAAGCTTTTTTAATAGACTGTTAAGTAACACTTGGTAAAATGGTTCATACTTTGGAGAGTCTGATTTTGAGACATGCGGCAATTCCAGGAGCTTGTTATTTAACCTCCTATGAAACAGTCAGAGTTTGATATTCCATGACAGAAAGCGACCATAAAGCGAAAGAAATGAAAGAAATATACATGAACATACGGTCATACCCATCTGCTACAAAACAGTCCATACATTCATGTGTATTGCAAGGTGATGATTCAGAAACTTTGGACAATACTTTACATGGAGGATGCAAGCATTGTTTTGTCATAATCCAAAAACCTCCCCCACATGTTTTCGAACACTTCGATTTGATCCATTGTCCAGATGTTCCTTCTGTTTGTTTGGGGCAAATTCCATAATATCTGGACTTCAATCTTAAAAGAAATCAGAAGTTTACCTAAAAATGGATCAATTCTAGTAGGTTTGTGACTTGATTGCTTTCAACACCAATACATCTGAAACATAAGTTAGATTCTGTTTGAATGAATAAATGAAACCCTATACTGTTTGTATAACTGCATACTATTAGTTCTCAGGGTATCAAAAACAAAACAAGATTCACATCTAGGAATTCTAAATTCTCTTTTTTTAATTTTAACTATTGCCATTTTTCAAGATAAAAGTATAATTGAGATAGCATATTTTAACAAATATGGTTAATCTTTTGGAAATATGCAGTGTCAGGTATCTCATAGGATAGGATTTACATATTTATCCTGGGGGAGAAGAAAGCTGATAAGATGGTTCAATCATATGGCGAACCATGGCCTCTCATCCGGTTACCAGTCCAGATCGGGTATGGGACCAGTTATTTGTTTTCGGAAGCATGGACTTGATGGTGGAGATAATACAGTAATGCCATCATAAGAAATTACAAATTCCATTCAAAGAAGGTATTGCCATCATAAGGATCCCAAAACACCTGCTTCAGCTTTGAGTTGCCTGTACCTGTTTCCCAATGATAACTAACTAACAGCTTCTAATCGATTCTATTTATAGAACTATCGTTTTCTAAATTGTCTCCTTTTTCTCCTTGTTCTCTCTCGAAAACGTCATGACCGATTATACCTTGTTATGATGACCATGCATGAAATGGCTAATCACGTGCCACCGGGCGGGCATTAGTAATGACATGTTTATCACAAAATGAAAGCGAGAGAAATATCGGGAAACCAATTAAGCCGGGAGCGGGAGTGGTCTGAGTTCGGCGCCGCCGCTCGCCCGATGAAAAACATCCCGTAAAGGTGGTTTCCGCTTTATGTACCGGTACCTAATTTCAGAGATTCGAAAATTAGCTGAAAAAGGTTCGAATAATTTGCGATTCGATTTCGAATATTTGGTTCGCTTGGACAGCCCTATGAACCACCCTACGGCGGCGAGGAGTCCAGCAATCCTCTCACACATGATCATCCCCGCATTGGATTCGAACCTGCGACCCCACGAAGGGTAATCAGAGATGCGGTGGCGAGCGTATTCCTAACGCTTAGCACGATGCGCGACACCGAAAATATCAAATACCGGTATGTTTCAACTAAATTCACTGATTAATCATAATATCTACTTACCCTTCTAAAACAGAGTTAGGAACAGATCCTGTATTTTCTATGGCACAATAGGTGATGGATTCTCCTATTCCATTCACTTTTTCCCTTTATGAAATATAAAATAACAAAAAATCGAACAAAAAACAGTTTGAATAAAAACAGTTTTAACGAAGTCTTGTTCTTTCCTATAAGAAAACTTGTTTTATTGATTTCAATTTCCATAAAAAAAAAAAAATCATTCTCTTCAGATGCAAATCTTTGACCCAGAATAAAAACACAACCTATTATATATGCTATGCATAGGCATTCACTACATGTCGTCCACAGATTATATTTCGGGAACACTGGATATATATTTCCAATTCTAAATCCCTGAACCGGACAAGATGCCATAGTTAATCATGTACCTATGTTGTATTGACAGATTTCCCCTCTATTATTATAAATAAGAAATCTCTTTCCAATTCCTAGTAATTACCTTCGGCAAGATTCAAATTCTGCTCTTCTTTTAGGAGCTGGAAAAGGGAAAATGCATGACTTTGGACCTGCAGAAATAAAAATCCTAATCAATATAAAAAAAAGATTCTTATTCCAGGAAAACCAAAGTTTACAAAACAAAACAAACCTGGAAATTTTTGTGAATGTCTTTCAGTTGGTAGAATTACTGGCATCCCAAATATTTCATTGATGTTTAGCGGACATTTCACAGCGTCACAATATTCCCATTTAAGAGAAATTGATCCTAATCTGAATACATAAAAATAGTATGAACAAGAACACAATGCACAAATAAAATTATATACATAAAATTGATATCATTATCAGTGTAACAGTATCATACAAACTGAAGAAATACATATGCTAGTTGTTGAGAAAGCGGCCTATCAAAATTGATGACAGAAAATTCATGCAGTAGCATATGTTGCATAGCAACTTGAGATGCGAATGTTTTGGCTCTTTGTGTGACTGAAAAAAAACATGGCTTCTCAAGGGGCCACGGAGCAGTTGAAAGGGAGCCACCATGCGAAACGCAAAACTGATTTTACTTTTTTCTTTACAAGAAAACTCCCTGTTCTTTCAAATTTCATTGCTTGACAAGGTTTATTTCACAGGGTGTTTTTCTTTTTTTGTGCATAAATTGTTTAATAAGTGAGCCTTCAGTCAGGAGCCAGAACATTCGCCTCTCAAGTCGCTATGCAACATATGCTACTTAAACATGTGTCCGAAAAATTCATCGCAGGACATTTCCTGTGGTGAATTTTACTAGCACCATTTGAACAAAGTGGGATTTGGAATCTACCAAAATAACACTATGAATACTACTGTAATGCCAAACTATGAGTGCTAAAAGCCTCCATAAAAGGTTTGGGAATCACTGATTTATAGCATGACTGTAAAGAATCATAACATCAGATTCATACAATCAATTCCCGTCTCTTATTAACCCTTTCCATGCGATTTTTATTTTTTATCAAACAATCGTATTTGCTGCATCGATTTTATGCATTTGTACCCCCACAACTAATCGATAGACTAACGAAAAAGTAATGATCCTCTGCTGCCCACTGACGGCTCGTTGGAAAGCTTATTTAAAGAGCTTGCAATTGGCGAATAAAAAAGTTTTTTTAAAAGTGGTGGTCTGAGTCACAAACCGGATAGAAAAAAGACATTTTTTTTCTTGGGATTTGAAACTTCAAACCGTGATAAAAAATAGAAATATTCCCTGAATCCTTTACTGTTACCGCTTCGTGGTTGGCAAACAATAGCATAATATTGCTGTAGCAATTTCGTGATCTAACTCAAAATACTTTGGTAGATGGAAGGGATAATATGTCTTCTATTACCACCCAAAAAACACCGAAATTTGCATAAATTTTTAAAAACACTCCCTCGTTCCGCCGCAAATAAAATTCCCGTCGTAAACGAAAGCGAGATTTACCGCCGCGTATGTTAACCTCGAAGAAGACTTCTTATCAATAAACTAAAACCCGGAAAAACTAGACCAACAGTTTGCGACCGATTGCTAAATAAAACAGTGGAGTACATCAACGTACCCGCCGCAATCTAGTGAGTTTCGTCGTTGGTACGTATACGTGCCCACCGCACGAAAAGGGTTAAGGCAGCTAAACTCCAATTCAACATCCCTAGCTTACAGATTAGCTCAGAACAAATCATTAGAAAAAAAATTCAAACTTTGATCCTGTGTAACACCATGGTGCAGCACGTAAATCAGGTGTAGGATTTCTGCAATAATTCTTCTCCAAAGCTGGTGTTCCCATTGGTATTAAATTTGGTAACATCTTGTGTTTAACAGGACTCTGTGATGACCAGTGTTGGCATTTCTCGCCTAATCAAATAAAAAATATTTTCATGTAATAAGAAGATATCCGAAGTTCATTATAATGAAAAAAAAAATGGAAATGAAATAGGATTTCTCTATTCATTCCAAGGAAGAAGTCCATAATAGAAGAGGCGACGGCAGTTAAAGTGTTAGACATTACTGCGTTGGCATCTTAGTTTACACAATTCCTCTATAGCCATCACCTCTCACTGTGTGTAATAATTTGGTAGACAAAACCCCAACAAAAAAGTAGCTTTTTTAATATCAGTGCATCACCTGCATGCATATGCAGGGCCTTGTTCGGAGTGAAAGTCGTGAACAAGTGCCATATAACGATGGATCACATAATTATCCACACAGTATTGGTGGAACTTGTGAACCCACGCAGCGTAAATTAGCAGTGCGTATGCAAGTGTATTTCTCCCATACAAAACAACTATATTGGCAAAGCTAGATTATGCTCTCAAGCAGAGTTTCTCAAACTGGGCCCTCAGCCCCCTTAAAAATCCATAGAATGGTTTTCTGGGGGTAGGGGAGTTCATCCTCTTGCACATAACTAACCCCACATAGGAATTGAACCCAGCGTATTCCTAATGCTTAGCATGATGCGCCACACTGTCTAGAATCTAGATACATAGTGCTTCATATATAATATCACCTGTGATTGTTTTGCTTTGTTTTCCTGAATACATTAAACCAACACCAATGAAGCAATCATCAAAACCAGGGAAAGACCAGGTACATGGTAATGTGTTACATAGATCAGATTCTTGTCTGATTGAATGTCCTTCACATGGTGGATTCAAGCATATTCTATAACTGATAACATTTCCACCACCACATTTCTTTGTGCATTCACTATTTGTTCGCCATTCACTCCATTTTCCTGAAATATAAATGTAAGTGAATCTTAATTAGATTCAAGAACATTGTGTGTTGCTGCTTGATAATCTCTACTTCTCTTTTCCAGTAAAACCGTGTTTTCTATTTTTTCTAGTAATTTTTTCGTTTGTGATTTTATTCACCCATTGGAAAAAATAAACTTGACTATGACAACAAACTTGACTATTCCAAATTGAAGTTTTTGAGAAATCAGACCATCTGGATTAATGTTTAATACATTTGTCATGAATTAACGGGAAAATAATGTTTCTATATTATGTAAAATTGAATATTATTTATACTGGCAGTCTCAGTCATGTCTCTCACTCATGCAGTCAATTGGAGAATATAGTGAAAAGCATGTATCTATCTACTAACACACAATTCGACACTATAGTGCTTTAATATCCGAGTAGCTCATTGCACTTAGTTGTCACCCTAACTACGCTTAGAGATCAATCTCTTATATTTTTGAGTGAGTGCATGTGACCTTGATTTGTCCAAATTTCGCCTAAATTGAATATAAATATTCCAAATAACGAGGGCCATATGCATCATCATGAAATTAAATAACAATAGAAACCCTAATGTCACATTTTACAAAAAAAAAATCATTTTTGTCTGGCATCTGGTTCAGATCTCTCTTCAGGAGCACAACATTTTCACTCTTGTAGTCCACACAGGAATGCCTGTGCTGCTGCTTGCTACATATAATTTTTTAACGAAGCTCCACCCATTTTCTTTTATTTTAAAGTAATTGGCTAAAAATATAGTCATTTCTATACAAACAATTAGACAAAGCATAACAGAAATAATAAAAACCTTTCAAATATCTAGGACAATAAGCATAATCATCCCCAGATGAATTGGTGGTTCTGCACCACTCTCTTCCTGTTGGTGTTGATGGAACGCATCTGTCAAAACTAAAAAAATATGCAATGTCAATTCATTTGTTTTTCGTGCAGCCACGGTCTCCTAGTGGTTGAAGTGTTGGACTTAACTATGATGGGATCGAACGTTAACGCCACGGGTAAAAATCACACGCTTACTACCTCACCCAGAATGTAATAAACCGGGCAGGCAATGCCGAATCGAAAAGATACCAGCCCTTCCAAACTTTAGTTGCTCTGCGGTGTGGCGCATCAGCGTGGGTACTTGAATCCGAGGGGAATAATTATGTGCGAGAAGATTGCTGCACTCCTCGCCGCAGTAGGGCGGTTCACATAGATCAGGGGTGGGCAACTTTTCTAGTCAGCGGGCGGGCCAGATGTGGGAAAATGAAGTCCTCAACGTGCCGGATTATTACAAAAATACTTCGATATCCAATCTTTGTTAAATGCTTGACACTCTCTGTCAACTTTATGTTTTTTGGGATATTCCATGGTTAATAAAGTTAATAAAAAATCTAATTTCTAAAATCTATTTATATTTGGAATATAAATATAACTGATAACAGTAGTGAGGAATGTTTACAACGCTCTCTGCTTTGATCTTATATTGTTTGTTTAACAAGTGTGCTAACGCAATTGTTTGTTCACTAAGGCAATTTTTTATTTCACCAGCTCGCACCGACAGTGCGGTGAAAGTAAAGCGATCGGTAACTTTCAAAAATGATGTGTCGAGCCACATTGCAGAGTGTGGTTGGATACAGTCAGCGGGCCGGTCAAAATCTCGTCGCGGGCCGCATGTTGCCCACCCCTGACGTCGCCACTGGTTGGTTTCGAATTCATCAGCCCTCAAGTCCATGAATCTGAAACAAATAACTGGCTAAAAAATCCCATACCCGATCGACATGGACAGGTAACCGAACGAAAGGCTGTGGTTCGCCATCTGATTAAGCCGTTTTATTGGCTTTCCTCTCCTCTGGGATAAATATGTAAATCCAATCCCACCTAGCTTATGTAGAGCCTTATTCAGACAGGAAGAGGCATAAATATATTACATAAAAAAAAATTGCTGAAGAGTATGAAATTCACTACATTACATTTGATTATTCCCAAAGGGAAAGGGAAAATGACAAGCAGCTCCAATGTCATATTTTTTTGGATCATCATAAGGATGAGCAGGAACAGTGTATGAAATTCCAGGTAATGAGAAGTCGACTCCACATTGTGGAATGTCACAATACATCCAAGCTTTTGATGAAGTGCCTCTAAAAAATAAATTAAAATTAGATATAAAAATATAGATATATTTGAATTAATTTAATAGTACAAAAACCATCAAAAATATTTTATAGTCGCAATCACAAGACTACACTACTGCACTAATTTTTCACATACAGGGAAAATTGCATGTATAATTCGCCACCAAGAATTTTTTTTTGATTCAGTGTAAATTTTGTCTACGTTTCAACCGCCATGCCATTACAATGGCAAAAACCTTGACAAAAAGGGAATTCTATTTTTATTATGCCACATCTTCAGTCTTACATTCTAACTAAGTTTCCTGAACATTGTTTAATTACTGAAAAAATATTCTTACTGAAATTTGTCACCATCTAATATATAGCAGTATGGTTGTACTCGACTTTTCAATGGTTTTCTGCAGTAATTTTCAACTAAATTTGGATTTCTTAACGGATCTTCCTCAGGTATATTTGAAGCAACTGACCATTGTTTACAAACACTTCCATCATTTGCTGTATCTTTATGTCCTTGGTATGCACCTTTCTAAAGTATTTATATATTTATATATATTAAAAGGTAGGCCTATAGCAGTGGTCGACAGTGGTAGTTTGAATCATGAGCCGTCGAGTCTTTTTTAGTGGGAATTCAAGTTTATGGCAGTGATACACAAATAAGTTCTAAAATCCAACATTACATTTAAATTTTTTGCCAAAAGGTTTTTGTTCATATATAGAACGATCATACAATTACCGGTACATTCATTTCAACTAAACATATGGAAGGTCCCCTAACAAGTTTATCACATGGTAATATTTAAAATTTTCATCAAAATTCTTTGGCTTTGAAATCTTTTCCATTTTACTATTTGGGCCTCACTTTAACAACTTTGCTGACTACCGGCATGTAGAAAAAAAAAGCTTGTTCCAATTTTCGAGTATCATGATGATGTTATTAAAAACAAACAAAAAAGTAAAGCCGTTTCACTGAGTTCATCAATGGAGTTATTTTAAAGTCATGGTTATTAACACTTTCTGTGTGTGCTCAATCAAGTATAGACTACGGCAGCGGTTCCCAAACAATGGGTCGCGACCCACTGGTGGGTCGCAAAAGGAATCTTAGTGGGTCGTGAAAAGATGTAGAAAGCGTTGGTTAATTATACTGGTTATTAGGATCGGTGGTGACTCAAATACGTGAATCTTCAAAAAAACAAAAGTAATTAAATTGAATTTAGATTCTAATCTATGAAAGTTTTCTTCTTACGATGCTACACAAAGAATGACCATGTGGCTTTTTACGCATAGCAGTTTTGTACACTGTACAGCACTTCTAACCGTGTTTCCGCGAAATTTAAACAGGATTTAGATTTATTTTTTTTGAAGAATAACACGATGTTTTTTTGGAAGAGGTCTTTTGTGTTCATTTATCAAAAATAAAATTACATTGTAGAAAATCACAAGATTTTTTACTAAACATTTTACTAAAAACCGACATCCATTGTTTTTATTTGTATTTCGTATACAAAAATCAAGTGACAAATATTATAATTGTGATATCACACAATCTTGAATAGTGGTGTGATCTTCACCTTACCTCAGGCCAATGAACCCTTCCTCTCCCACACATTTTAAATTTATTTTAAGGGTAGGGTTTAATTAAAATCATTTTAAAAATTCTAATTATTATCGTATTTTCGAGGAAACACGGTAGTTTTGCGATGATTAGCCATTGCTGTGTTCTGTTATATGTCATAAAAAAAACAAAAGAAATTTAAATTAAAGTTAAGTGGGTCGCCATAAGCTTTGGTAATAAATAGTGGGTCCCAACTGTAAAAAGTTTGGGAACCACTGGACTACGGTATGTATATATAGATCAGTGTCTCCCTACCTATGGGTTGCAAAAATTTTCTTGGGCCACTAGTTTTTTCAACGAAATCTAGTAAATTTCATTGTTTATTTTATATTTGGTATTAAAGTGTTGCTTAATAGTACTTGTACATGTGAGAAGTATCACTGAATATGAACTTAGCAGCATATATTTGGCTTAGCAAGTTAAGCCACGCCATAATTTCAAAAACTCGCTGATGGCAAACACGCGAAATTTTTTCACGATGAAGTAATTTCTGGGATTGTATTTTATCAGTCATTTAATCATTGAAGCACTACATGCAATTTAGTATTTGAGCATATCCTTGTTATAAATAAATTTTTGAAAAAATTGGATCGCTTGAAAAAAAGGTTGGGGACCACCAAAATAGAGAATAGGTATCATAGATATTGCTGAATGAGAACAGAAGGGGCCTAAGTCACATTTTTGAAAAATTCACTTTTTTCGATATTTCAGGATTTCAAGACCACCACCTTGTAGACTGTAGAGCAGGCCTGCACAACATACGGCCCGCGGGCCGCATGCGGCCCGCTAGATACTTCTGTGCGGCCCGCGGGTGATTTGGAAACACACCACTTCTCGGGTCTAACAATCAAAGCCGGCATTGTTATTTATGCAAGCGCGCCGCTACCCGATCATATTCGAAATCGTGAGATTTATGTCTTGCAGTAGTTTCAATAAATATCAAGCTTTGTGTGAAATTGGTGTGCCCTTCGCTACCCTTAAAACAATATAGGTATACAATCTCACACCCATTAGTGCATAATAGCAACCTATTAATAACCCCACTATTTTTTACTAGCAGTTTAACAAACTGAAGATTCTTTTTCAAATTTAGAACTTAAAAAACAATTCCTTCATTTATGAATGCTGATGAAATTCTCGCACAAAAGATATTGCTATTTACTGTAAAATTTCAAAATATTGAAGCAGATTTTGTAGAAAAATGTAATTTAACAGTCGAAAAAGTACAACAGAGGAAGATCTATTTCTACTAAACAGATTTATTTGTCCAGCCTACAATGGAAATATCCAAAAATGTTAGATATGACTAAATAAATTGTCATACATATATTTGGGACGATTTTACAAAACTGAACCCAGTAAAATATTTTCCTGCAGTCAGTTTATGCTGCAACACGCAATACCTAATTCTAATAAAAAAGAAATATTGAACATGAAGGGTGGGTTTTCAAGGTAGATGAACCACTAAATACATATTTGTCATCTCATATGCAAAAATACTGTACCTTGTTTTTACTCAAGAAAATAAGATTCTTCATATTTTCAAGCTCCCCACTAATGAAAGTGTTTCATTAAATTTTACTGTTTCACAATATTATTTTGATTTGTAGTTCATCTTGTGAAATATGTATGTGGCAAAGTTTGCGGCCCGCTGGGCTTTCAGAATTATGCTTGCGGCCCTCGTGGTAATTTGAGTTGTGCAGGCCTGCTGTAGAGCATGGCTCAAAACCCCAAAATATTGAAAAAAGATAGTCCTAAGTTTCAATATGATGAGTATGAACATCAGAAATGAAATTTCCGAAACTTACATCCCTAAAAATTTGTTCAGTGCAACTCAAGTCACCTTGTTTTACCTTGCATCCCATACAAAAATTTTCAGAAGTGGTTGAGAACAAAATGGGCCAAAATCCTTTATGTGTGTAAAAAAGCAGAAAGGAATTGAAGCTGAAGTGCCAAAAACTATTGATTACAAAGATATTCTCATTCACATTAAAATACCCAGAGCTCAGGTTTACTAAGTGTGAATATCTAGAAATTTAAAAATAAAGAAATTCCAAAGTGTTTTTTGCGTTTTTCTCAAAACACAGAATTGTGACTTGAGCCTGTTCTGTTCTCATCCGACGATGATAGGATTTTTCGTTTGAGAAGAAAGGTAATAAGGCACAGTCTCTTGTCCAATTATCAGTCTATATTGAGCGCGGAATCATGACCAGACCAAAGCTTGCAGTTCACAATATGGCTACAAATGCATCAATATAAAATTATATGCAGAAACATTTCGCTAATATACCTTATAATCATAGCAATCAGGGCATGGTTGTGTGTTGCATATTCCACCTTCTTTCGTATCAAATCCTTCACAAGGAGAATATCTACATTTTCTAGTCATAACAAGAACACCGGATCCACAACTTTTTGAGCATGATTGAGTGTCATCTGCAGTTGACCAGGTGGACCATGCACCTTGAAATGATTCTGAACATATTCCCCACTTTGAATGTTTGTCGAAATCCTCTGTTAGTGAACACCATTTATAAGCTTCTTCCTTGCTCTGTACACATTCTTCTGTAGCTTCCTCTAAATGGTAAACTGATTTAACCAAACTTCACAGACAGACACAAATGCTATGGGAAGTTAGAGCTAATTGCTTGATTTTTTACATGGCTGTCATATCGCTGCGGTAATCAGTTACAGATTCCTTCATTAAGATCACTTATGAATTTGAAACATCTAAATTCACCAACATTGGGCCAAACTAGTAACAAGAAAACATACTACTATACATATAATGTATGAAAAGAGCCCATATTTCCTACAAAATTTGGCGACATATGGATGTACAATTTTGTGACTCATTGAGAATCTATCGTTAAACAAATAAATTACCTAAACCAAATTGTTTGTATGTAGCCGAGTTCGACTATGAGGTGTTCAATTTGAGTGAAATAGGATTGAGAAATGGCAAAGGAAAATTTTTAATATTAAAACCAACAAAAAATATTGAAATACTTTCGTTAATGAAAGGGAATATGCATTTGCTGAAATATCCCTCGATTCCTTCAACTGGGTAAACATCATCAACAGGAAACATATTCGAATCTATATCATAAGTGAGAACTCTATCACCAGAACAGAGCATAGTATTGCATGGTTCATCTGATACTTTTTCCAAATCCATATCTTCACAAGGCTCATATAAACAACTGCAAAATAATTTTAAAGCATTAGGATAAAAGAAGATAAAATTTGTCAATCAGTCAATAGTTAGAATAAGTTTGAAGCAACTGAGTTTATTAACTCTTTTTGCTAGGTACACAAATATTGTCTATCTATAGTAGCATTGGTTCTGAAACTTTCATGATCCATTCGCCTTCTTTCAAATACTCTCATGGCTAATGGGTCACCTGATCTTCTGTAAAATACCTACCGTAGTTTCGATTTTAACGCATTTCAATCAGGTATTATATGTGTTACTCCTTTATTATGCGAATACTCCAATATTTTTGTTATAATAATTCAATATTCGGAGTTCAGAGCTGAAGTCGAAATATTTTACCTGACTGCAGTCAAACTTTCCTCAATTTATCTGTAGTCGGGAGTCAGAGTGGGTAGCTACTAAAAAGAACCATGTCCATTACTATCATCGAAGTTAGTTAGGTATTTACCTTCTTGTATAAATGAGGTTGCCTTCCCCACATGGGACATCACATAGAGGTGGTGGTATCCAATCTGACACACTGCCTTGTTTTGATTTTGGACATATTCCCCAATCATCTTGATTTCGATCAAGATTTGATGTCGTTGAACAGAAAACAGAATTTGTAATGCCTGAATATTTTTAAAAATATTTTGAATAACTACTATATATAGAATTAGGCGTGTGATAGGAATAACAAACAGAGTTTCTAAAAATACATAATTTTTTAGTCTAAAAAAAAGACTTTTGATGTCCCAATTAAAATCCCCTAAAAGTATCATAGCAATGGAAAACAGATGCTATGCCCGTACGCATACCCAACATTGATTGGTAACTAGACAAGAGCACGATGTTCGCCATGTGATTAAACCATTTTCCTTTCGTCTAAAAATCCTTTTTGGACGACTCGTCTCTTCACTAACACATTTATTAATGTATGATAGCATTTGTAATTTTTTAATTTGAACCCAACAAATCCATGTTTCTGACTACACACAAAATTTCAGATATATCAGGCACAAAATCAGGGACTGAAAGAATACAAATGAAAATTAAACTTTATTTAAGAACTAAAACTATACTCACCAAATGCAGACAATACTGGATCATCTATACAACTCCACACTTCTTTGTTTTTGAATATGAAAGGAAAAACGCAAGAAACACCAACTTTTGGACCACCTGAGACTGTTAGAAATTTTTTATCATCCGCAGAAAAATCTTTTGCTGCTATGTCACAGAGTGAAATCAGGTCATTGACATCTGCATGAAAAAGTTATTTTCAAAAAAAATTTCCCGAATCAGGTTCACACACACACACTCACAAAAACTGACCATTTTGTGTATAAACAATCCATTTTGTATCTCCTTCATGACTGGTGGTTCTTAAAGTGGGATGAGATCCTCTAATTTGCCAATTATCATAAACAAGTTGATCGCTGAGGACAAAACCACCCATTTTTAGAGAAAAACCACCTCCGCAAATCCATTTTTGCATATTATCATTTCTATCGCATGGTAGTAATACTATTCTTTCAGCATCTGCAACTTGTTTTACTCCAAGGCATCTGAAAAAATGAGGCCCAGTCTTCAATTTTAGTAACAAAGTTGAAATTAGCGATTAAACCATGATAAGAGTTTTTTATAATCTTTGAATATGCATTAATCCATATAGACACATGTATACAATGGCTAATGATTGGTGTAACATATTTCAAACAAAACATGAAACTTAGACCCTGTAGGCCTGAATAGTAGTGCAACTGAAATAATGTCATGCAACCTAGATGGAATCATCAGAGAATGAATGTGAACGAGTGGGTCAAATTGACAAAAAAATTACATGACGTTTGTCAATTTCATCACTTTAGTGACATCATTTTAGGTAAATATATTAGACAATTTGACCTTGAAATGAGATACCTTTAACTGCAAAAAGTACAATGCCTCGCACAGTGATAGACGTACCGTATTTTATTTCAACAACAGTATCTCCGACACCAGCACACATATACTGAAATAAAAATTATGAAAATTGCAAAATTACTCTTAACCTTTGGGTGTACAAATTCATTAAAATTCCGTCTTTGTATCTGACCCAGCGCCAGGCCTCGTTTTTGGTGGAACATTGTGTGGACAGAAAAGGCTCATATTCACTTGAATCTGCAACTGATGACTTCCGCGCGAATAGGCACATTCCTCCATGAATACCAATTTCATGGAAAATCATGAATCCATGGTCTGTACTTTCACAAAACGCAATCAAAGTCAGGAATAATGACAAGAGAACTAGGTACCGGCCCATGGAGAACCGTTGGCATTGCTTGTTCACAAATTCAGTGCACAAAATGGCCCGAAGTTCGGAGTGGTAAGTGTCCTGTCCAAATTATTCTAAAATCTAAACAATCTCAGTTGGTTGTCGCAGCTAGTCATTGAGATAGTAAACTACTTTATATTAGTCAAATAACAATACAACTAACAATATAACTTTTTGTTATTTTGGAACAAACATTTTGTCGTCTTTTTTGCGAGTGTTCAACATTACCCATATATAATATGAAAAAGATACGCCTCATTGGTTTGCTCCCATGGAAACGGGTCACGCGCAACTGGTGTTGACAATTTGGTTTGATTGGAAGGTCGCCGCGTTTTCTGTTCAGTACTTTGCATATAGTTACTGTTATATTCTGTTTATTTCAGCCGTAGTTTGAATTAAAAAAGTCTAGAAAACATAGGTTCAGAATGGAGGATCTGGGATCAGTACAACCCAGGTAAGTTAAAAGTGTACACTAGCTAAATACCGGTATTGAAATCTGAAAAAATCAGATTTTCATCACTGTAGCCTATTATGTGCGCTTGTGCAGTCAAACTTAAAAACTTGACGTATAAAACATGGAATATATCAACCTAAGAAATGGGTTTCATCAGTTTATCATGTAATAAAATAATAAGTTGAAGTTGTCATGTATATTTCAGAATTTCCTTCACATGAGATCAATTCAAAACAATTCTTAATGAAGTGAGCACTACAAAAATTAGAAAATAAATTTGAAATTAGCTCACATTTTTCTATCATCAATAATCAATCAAAGCAATTACAATACTTTCAAAAATACACCATATACTGATAATATGATCTGTCAACATGTTTATAATGTCTGAAAAGGAACTTGTTTGCATTGTTCATTTATTATCCACTAATTTCTAAATCTTTTATAATGTTCATGATTTCCGCACTCCTTGAAACATAACTTTTTTTCATATTATTCAATAAAATACTCATATTTTACAGTTGGGCTCACGGATTTGACTCCAATAAAATCCATCACATTACTAATGATGTCATCTGCTATGTCTGTGGAAGTAATATCAAGTTTGTCAATACAACCAATAAACAGGAACAAATATTTCCAAGCCCTGGGAATGGCATTGCTACATTTGCATCGTCGCCAGAAGACCGAATTTTTGCCATTGCTGAGTCATGTTTAAATCCTAAAATATTTATCTGTGAATATCCTTCAATGAAAGTTGTGAAAGATTTGGAAGGTCAGTTGTAATGTCATTTTTTTTTAATTAATATTTTGGAAAAATATAATATGCTTCCAAGTTTTATGTGGTAAGGTGTGGGTGTACTACGAAGTGTCACGAGGCAATTATTGCAATATTATTGTATCTTTTGAAATTTTCATCATGCAGTAGTTTTATGAAGTATAGCTAATTAAATTATGATAATTAGATTCACCAGGGTGTTGAAAAGAACAATATAAATTATGAGCTGCATCACAAATACACTTGAATTTTTTCAGCAAACTTTACATTGGGAAACACTGGCCAATTCATTGATGATATTCCAATAATTTGTTACAATTATTTTCTTTCATTTTTACTTTTGTAATAATAATTTGTTAGGACGTACTATTTTTAATTGTGCATTCTACTTTTGGTACAATTTCAGGAGGTACACATTTGGAATACAAGCTGATGACATTTTCAACATCAGAATTCTATCTTGCAACTTACTCTGGAATTCCTGAATTTGCAGTGACTGTGTGGGATTGGAATAGTGGACAATTATTATGCAAAAATGAGGTATGATATTAAAATATCAGTCTTTATATTTAATGTTATGCTTGATGCATATTATGTCATACAAATTCCTTTTAAGTTGTGATACAGCAATATTATTGTTTCAATTATGGGAATTAGATTCTCCATTCAAGCTAATGCAACCTGAAATAAATCCTGAAAAGTCTGAAATCTGATACATGGTTGAGATTGTATTTCTTGATTTTTTAGCTGGAAATTGATAGTTGTTTGAATAAAATTCAAAATTTATTCTACTTTTTGAAAAGGTGCATTTACATCAATTCAGGTTAATAAAATTACTGGTTTTCTTTTTGAAATTTTGCTCACTTTACATTGAAGTTCTCAATTTATAAAGCTTTTACCATTTTCTTAATAACGTAGCTATGTTCAGTACACAGTTGGTTACTCACCATCAGTGTTCACTATTAGCGCACTTTTTTGCGAAAATTGCGAAGCACTTTCGCAACTTTTTTTAGGGACTGCGAAATAGCACTTTTTCCTGATTTTGAAGAGAAATAGCACTTTTTTCCCATTTTGAATAGAATAAAAATTCAAAGTTAACAAATATTTTCGAGTATTAAGTTGGCAAATAAGTAACATACTAGTACTTTTGTAACTCAATTCTGCATATCATAACGATATTTACCGGAATTCTAACCTATGAGATGCAGACATAGGAGATAAAGCTTTTGCATTAACGGCAAAATTCCTGTTTATAATATGATTATTATGTAAGCACACCATTCGGCTTCTCCCGCAAAACGGCTTCTTTGAAACCAGATGTTGGAATACTACGCAGTGCCTTTCTTTTAACGAGAGTGGTCATGTGACTACCAATGATATCGATGAATTTAAAATGACTATAAAAGTTTTAGTAAAGTGTTATAGTCACTTTGGATGAATTGTGACCAAAGTTCACGATTTTCAAATCAGACGAAACTTTTAGCAGCATGTCACAGATTTGCAAAATCACCAAATTCACAAAATACCATTAAGTGCCATTTTATTGTTATCACAATGTTGAAAGCACGTGGCATTTTGCGAATTTACACAACTATTTCTCATTGATATGCGAGTACGGGTGGGCAAAATTCAATATTTTTTTTAATCGAATATTTTTAACGAGTACCGAATAACAAATATTTTTGGCAACAAAGTAAAATCGGCAACAAAGCCTTTTTACTGGTTAATTCCGTTGTAATCGCTAATTGTTCTTGTCACCGATCGTTTTGGCGGCGATATCCAGGTTTTGGTAATCTATATTACCGCCCTCTCTTTTTTACAAATATGAATTCTTGCGGGTCGGCGGACATCGAAGTTTTATATTTCGGGTTTACCCGTCCGCTCACATCGGCAACAGCTGTTGAAGACATTGAGGACCCAAATTAACATTTGCATTGGCTTTATTATTACCTATCAAGATTTGTAAATTTACCGTCCCAATTTTATGCGAATAGTAATATTATTGTCCATACCGTGATGCAGATAATTATTAAGACAATAATTAACTTTCTCATGTTTTACTATGGTGATAAACTTCGCAAATCTGAAATTGTGCCAATCCTGAATGTTGATTTAAAATAGTGATTGAATAATTCGGCAATAAAGGCATTTCTGCGTGGTCAGAAGACGAGATGACGTTAATGAACAGCACTTCTTCTACACAATATTTTACCTATGCGGCTCAATGCTAAAAATATTGGGCCCCGGTTGTTTTTTTTTTCGAGTACTCGAGTGCCTAATACAGGTCAGGCGCTAATTGTAACTAATTCCCTCAATTTTCAACCTGTTTTCAACAAAACAATACCCAGGCGATAATTATAGCTAAAATGTTACCGAGCAATTCACAATTTTATTTATGGAATTTGCAAATTCACCAGTTTCTTGACGATTTTGATAATGTCACGCCCTAATTATCAGTGCAAAAAATATTCCCCTTCTTCCGCCGTGGTTTGACGGGTTCTTTGTTCCATTCTTCAGAAAGTTCTGACACGGGGGATATAGAATACTGAATCTGGAGGGTTGAATCCCTGTCGACTTACTGGCGATTTTCCATTTTGGATTGCGTGAAACATTCTCTATTTTAAATTAAATGACGTTTCGCGGGCTAGAGTTCTCCCCGAAAATGATGTGTACCAGACGTTAGTTAGACGATAGATAAAACATTAGAAAATACAAAGTTATATCGAAAAAAATGCGTTTTGATACATTTGGAAAGAAACATTATTGTATCGCGAAAAATGTGTTTTGTTACATTTGAAATAAAACATTTTTGCGATTAATTTAGATCAAATTTTACCTTTCACGGCAGCCGTTTCCGAAAATACAAAGTTATATCACAAAAAAATGCGTTTTGTTACATTTATTTTGCATTCCCAATAAAATACATATTTTCCCTAATTAATATAGTCGATGAATCTGTTCCTGTCGTTCAAGCCTGACACACGTTTGGACGAGTGTGGGGCGGTTTTTTGGTCGCCGATAAATTAAAAAGTTGCCACACATAACGACAATAACTGAAAATGAAGATTTTGCAATAGAAGTGAATTTGTCTCAAGATGGTATTTTACGATTTCTGCCCACAGGAAATTAACACGCTCACAGGCTTGGTTATAATTGATATTCGTTTAATTTATTTTACACTATTAATAAACGCGCCACACCAAGTGCGGCCATATAAATTGCAGTCGCATCGGTATGGACTGTATGTTTTTGGCGCTCTCACATTAATTATAATTTTCCAAAAAAACAATCCCCGACGGTCATTAAAGCTGAATTCGTTACCGAGTAATTCACAATTTTATTTACGGAATTTGCAATTTCAAGATCTCACTTGACGATTTTGATGATGTCATGCCCTAATTATTACTGCTTAAATGCCTCAAAATACAACAAATGTAATCATTTTCGGCGATAACAGGCGCAACAATTCGTAAACGAGCCGTTATAACGAAATTCGCGATTGATTTTACCTCTCTCTTGTTTACAATTTTAACATCTCGCCGGCCATGTATGGTCGATTGAAACGTTCACATATTCGAAACATGACTTGGCCAAGGATGGAAGGGATCACTAAAGAGCTAATAGAAAGTACATACGCGAGGGTATGGTATTAATATCGAGAATATTTGTGAGCATATCACAGGACGGAAATATTTTGCACCCGGCTGTTTGTTGGCAGAAAAACGATACGCTAAAGTTAATTGATCGAATACAGGGAAGTATTTATTTATCATCTCACTTGCGAACATCGTGGTTTTGGCGGAATTGTACGATCATGTTGTCTTTCTTAAATAATAACTTTTTCAATAAATGTTCATTTTACTTTTGCGTCATTATTATATGTCGGGTTTTCATTTATTTTAAATTCGAAATTGTCCGAAATACTCCAACAGGTGTATAAGTACAATAATAATAATAGTACTTACCAGGGAAGTTTAATACACACGATGTGTTAAGGGCGTCGTAACTCCCGTTTTTTCAATTTGATTGTTTTACATTCTGCTTAAAAAACAACGTCGTTTTGCAGTCATCTAACGTAACTCTCGCGACCAAATCTTTTTTGTTTTGTATGGCATCGTCTTGGCGCAATTTATTGCCCACTGAATTTTAATTGTGTTTTAGGATAAGTTATTTTATGTTTGTTGGTTTCTAAACTTCACAAACTTGGGTAGCAATTACTATTAATGTGAGATTTGTGCATAGGAACGATTGAATATCGCGACTGGATGTCCTATATCTGAGAATGCGTACTCTCTTTCAACATTAATTTTCAGGATATCAGTGTTCATGTAGTCGAATAAAAATTATTTATCAAATGAATTGGCATTCCGAGACACTCTCAAAATTATTTGGGATCCACTATCATATCATTCGTTTATTTTTTATATTCATGTTTTTTTCAAGAATCACCCTCGTTATATTTCGTGTACTTTAGCAAAAGAAAACTCGTTGGTGTAATCGTTCCTATTAGTGTAATTGAAATATATGGAAACCTCGCAAGTGGCGTTGTGATGCGAATATTTGATACTAGGTCAGCAGCATTACGAAGAGTGCTATTTATGAATGCTGAAAGTACATGGCATTACTAAACATTTTGCCAATATATGATGTTTTCTGCCCGATTAAAACTAATTCGCACGCAAACCAAGGCATGTGGACATTTAAAAACTACTTGTCTTTGGGTAAGCTCTGAAATAGTATAATATAAATGTAAATGAGAAATTAGGTCACGCTAGCTCAGGAAACGGGAGGATTTTCAAAGTGATCTTGTGTAATATTTAGGAGAAAAAAGTTTGAAAAGAAAGTAGGTCAACCTATCTCCCAAAACAGGGGAGTATAATATTATATTGCTTAATATTTCGGAGGGAAGGTAGGTTACCCTTTCTTTTAAAACAGCGGGTGGCGACTTTCAAAGTGGTTCAAAATCACAAATTAATAATTATCAGATTAGGTTTAGGGATAAATCGAAAAGTGGAATTTCCAGCGCACGTGCACACCTAACCCTAATTAGTTGATTGCTATTTATATTTTTTTTGGGGGGGGGGGGGGGGATTATTTTGCACGGGATTTGAACAAATGATCCACCCTGTAACTAATATGGTTTTCAGTCTGCCTGTTACAAAAATCAATTTTGAAGGTTTTTATATTTGTTGATGTCCTCCTTTCTTTATTTTTTGAAATGTTTTATCAATCGTTGGCTGTTAGATGGAAGGAGTAACAAATGTGAAAGCCTTTGCTGTTCACGGGAGTAAGCAACTGACACTGTGATACGTTGCATGAAAGTTTTGTCCGCGGCAGGTGTTAGCAGATGTCCTTTCGTTGCCGATGAATTCACTTGTTTTAATTAAACATGAATTCGCTAAAAGGGAACTGGTTAACGGAAAGGCTTCTCTTCAATTCATAATATTAACCAGAAGAGCGCTTTTTCGAGTATCTATGCCGTTTTCAATGGGTTATATGAAAGGCTAGGGCACCTAACTTGTTAAAATCGGCAAAAGCACTTTCGCACTTTTTTTTTCGACTGCGAAGCACTTTCGCACTCATAATTTGCTAAGAGTTAACACTGCTCACCATTCTTCCTAATGTCCTCCACTGGATTCAAACCTAATTTACTTCTTTGCTGTTTTCTTATAATGTGCTATTTCATGACCTATCCAGAATATTCAACTAGTATACGCTCATATCTATCCAGAGCAAGTATACAACATTTCATAAAATTTTATAAACAAATCTTCTTTTTTTCAGATGAAAATTGACTCATTACTAACTGATATAAGTTTTAATCCATTAAACTGGCATCAAATTTTTGCTTGTGGACCAGACATCATCAATGTATTATCACTTGACAGATGTAATGATATACATTTGCTGAATTGTAGGTAAGAAAAGATTATATTATTATTGTATTATTAAGGTAATTGTAATATAAACGTATGAATATAAAATATGATTAATTACACATGAGACTAACCACCTATCTTCCGCATCTATGTATTTTACACTGATGAATTGATATAATGCAACAATGCTTTTGCAAGAATAAAGATGTCTATTCTAATTGATTCAAGAGAGTTATTGTACACTAACACAAATGTATTTTTGTAAGTTTTGTCTCGCCGTATGTTAGTGAAATTTTTTTTAACAATTTCTTTGACAACTTAAAATTTGTTATTCTCTGTCTAGGTCAGGGGTGGGCAGATTACAGCCCACCGAAGTGTTTCATCCGGCCCACTTGTGTCTGCTGAAATTATGACTATAGTTTTTATGGATATAAATTTCCGTTAAAAATATCGATTAAAATAATGACCCTGATTACTACAGTGTGCTTCTTATTATTATATGAACATTCGCCTAAAGCTGTTGGAATAGGGTCCACTGGTCTAGGGTGAAAGGCTCAAATTGATAGCTTGACTGAAGAGTGAATAATATATTCAACTTTTGACATCCCAACCTATTTAGGCCAGTGTGCCAAACACTAGTCCTCTAGATCCTTTCTTGTTTGAAATACAGTAATTGTTCGATTCAGGTTTTTTGTAGACATATCTTGACGGATAAAAATTGTTAAATCATATTTTTTTCAAATATAGAGAGATTCCACTTCCTGATAATAATGGTAGTGATATGCATGAGGATGAACACACATCACAATCCCCAGTTCGCTCTGGGAATAAAATTCAACTTCTACCATCAACAAAAGCAAGACTTGTAGGAGAAAATGCTAACGATTTTAAGGCAAGTATTCCATATTTTAACCTCTTTTCATTTGTCACTGGATCAACGGTGTGGCACATCGCGCTGAGCGGTAGAAATACACTCACCATCGCAACTCTGATTACCCTGCGTGGGTTCGCAGGTTTGAATTCCATTCAGGGATAGTTAAGTGCGAGAGGATTGCTGGACCCCTCGCTGCCGTATGGTCGATCACGTAATCGCTGGTTGGTTACTGCCTCCTCCACCATCAAGTCCATGCTTCGGAAACAAATATCTGGCTAACTAATCTCATACCCATGTACTGGTAACCGGATGAGGAGCCGTAGTTCGCCATATAATTAAGTCATCTTATCTGTAAATCCTATCTTATCCTAAAGATTTGCATTATCAGATTAAACACTACGACAAGATATAAAATTGTTCGGTGTAATTGAAACCTTTTTCAACATAAATTTCTAATAGCTTTGTGTATTCGAGGCACAAATGCACCAGAATCACTGTGATTGAAAATTTTGTAATGTATAATATAAGGAATATTTTATTCAATACATGCTTGAAATTTCTATTAGTAATTTATATAGCATAATAGCTACAGTATAAAATTAATCAATAGTCAAAGGTTTAATATTTTATTAGTCGGACAATACAAATTCTAGCTGGTCACTATTTATTTGGTGGTTTTTGTCGTGATTGAAATTGAATATCTCAGTGATATTGCACAATAGTGACACATGTCTGAAAATTAACATTAGCCTACCAATTTGGCACAAAAATATAGGGGCTCCCGAAGTATGCGAACCAAGATGGCGGACATCGGAATGTAATATGTGTACTAGGTTAGGGTTAGGCCATAATTTTAGGTATAAAAACTTCGGGAGGCTCTTGGCTAGTTTTCGAACTGATAATAGGACTAAAATAAGGAAAATTGGAAAGAAATTATCGCCTAACCCCAACCTGTTACCCATGTTACGTTCCGATGTCCGCCATCTTGGTTCATACTTCGGGAGCACCAAAATATATGCCACTTTTCATTTCAAGTTGAAAAAAGGAGAGCTTTCTTCCTTTTTTTAAATTGAGTCGACTGAAATTTAATTTTCACTGTAAAATCACTCTGTACAGTAAATCATTTGCCAACCTAAATTTAATTCAACAAACAATCATTTTCATTTGAATCTTTATTCAAAGGTTCCCAGTCAACGTCATCCTCTCATGCAACCTACATCTCATTGCTGGTCCAACAAAGGTGAAGTTTATGTTGGTTGCAAGAATGGTCAGTTGTTTTCTCTGGAACCAGACAGTGGAAGAATTACTATCTTACTAGCTGGTCAATTCGGTGAGTTTAATTCAAGGATCCAAAATAATCAAGTACCAGTATTCATTCTTAATGGCTTGAGTGTCACGGGTATATAGATTTGAATGAAATAATTTATAAGAAAGATTCTTCAATTCTGTAGCTAATGGTCACTGACTGTTCTATTTAAGATGTAGGTTTACTTGAGCGAACAAATGTCAATTGAAACCTTGATATTAAAAAAACTCAGATGTAAATAAAGAAGGAAGTGAAATTTGCTCGTTCATAACAATCTCCTTATACAAAGCAGTGTTGGGGTGGATCAAGTCTAGGTCTGTACCCAGGGTCGGACCCCCCCCTTTCAGTGTAAAAAATGTTCTGTATCATACACACATAGCTATTTTTCGCATCTTGAAATGCTCTTTAGAATCTTAAGACTCTTGAGTACCTGTGTTTTTCAGACTTGCGAGCTGTCATGATAAGTTGGTAATTAGAAATTTTAGAACCCCCCCTTTGAAAATGACTCATCTAATCAACAGTCATACTCATAACCCAGTGATTGACTTGAGACTCTGATGACCTGTGACTCGACTTGACACCGGGGTTTAAGGCTTTTTAATCCACACTGACGTATAGTCAACTAGATTTTTTAAAATTATTACAAAAGCAGAAATTATGAATTCGCATACTTAATTAATTTTAAGTTGAGTATCTGAAACAAACTTTTCAAAATTCAGCTTACCAATATTTAGTGATTTCATTTGTTAATTTATGGTTAAAATGGAAAATTTATCACTCATATATAATATATCATCGATATCAGTGGTTACCAAATTCTAATATTTATTTTTTAATATCGTTACCCCTAAATTGAAATAACCAAAATCTCAATTACCCCTCTAATAAAAATACAGTAGTCATATTGGTATTCCTATTCGTTACCCAGTATTTACCCCCAGTTTGGAAATCACTGATGTATATGCTTATGCCACCTTATCATCTTTTCACTATATGAGATAAAAAAGCAAAAATCTTTATATTTTATATAGCTTATGCTATAGGCTACATCACATTTCATTATGGAGTCAATATATTCACAATTTTTTATTTAGAAAAATTGATCACAGGAGAGGTAATCGATGGAATGTTCAACACAATATCTTATAATACTCAAGGAATATACTGTGGTGGAATTGATGGCACTTTGAGAAAAATTGTTATTGACAAGAATGGAGTCAAAATCACCAAGGTGTGTATGTATATACAAGTATAGAACAGAGATGATACGCAATTGTACAACTTTTTGAAATCGATGAAGTTCATCTATATTCTGTCTTTATCCATATTTGTATTCTTGTGATGATCAGGTTGAAGTTAATATTTATCTTCCATTCTTGATATATTTTATTTTATTCACGTTTTGACTTCAGTTCTGTGTAGTTCACTACTCTACTCTTTTCCTAATTTCTTTGAGTTTCATATCAATCAGTATATTAGCGCAATGCTACACTATGATTTTTCGTACTTTAAATGTATTACATGCTACCAACTCAAGATCGAAAACAATCAGAAATTTTATTTTTATTATACAGGTGCATGAAGAATCCTCAGAAATTACGACGGCCAATTTTTCGCCAATCTCATTTATGGATCTTATTTTTGGAACAAAATCTGGTTCAATCTATGTCTATAATACAAAGATTGAAAATTGTAGGATGGTGTCTAATTCTCATATCGGAAGATTCATTGGTGCGGGATACAGTGACGGAGGAAATATATGTGTGGTAAGATTTTTTTCAAACAAGGCTTTGGATATATAGTTTTGTTGGTGAGGACTGGAATTGCACTGACTTGGGAATGTTTCATTGGGATTCCACTCTACTAAAAAGATTTAGAACCAAACCACGGCCCTCGAGCTAATACGACCTGCGTATCGATTTAATATGGCCCGCCGAACTTGAGTGAAACATTTGAACTCCTTAACTTTTTTTTTTACGTTTCAGATACCACCAATTGGTACGTCATTATCACAGTTTAAGCATGTGTATATCTGTAACAATTCAATCATACCTTGTGGACGCTCCCATCTTATGGCTTGCAAATATCCTTCTGCGAACTTTGGGAATTACTGCCCTAGAGTCACCTAGACACCTAATAAACAGTTTGTATTGTGTAACATTATAAATCCAAATTGTCATCCATTGAGTAATTATCATTTGTACAAGAAAGTAATTTTCCGGTTAAATAAATTTTGATCGTAAACTGAAGCCTGTGTATTGTATAAATATGAAAGTATTCGAACAGCTCTGAGTAATTATTTTTTTGTATATTATAAAAAAATTTACCTCTTTGCAGAGTTGCAGAGAAGATGGTACTGTGCAACTGTGGGAAGCTGAATATGGAACATTTGTCTCAAGTATTTCCATAGACTGCAGGGTAAGGACGTTGAAAATGGTATTGCACTTCAATAAAAGTAGTAGTTGTCTAATCAATTTAGAAGTGGAGGATGTGAATTAGCGGTGTATAAAAAAAACTAATATCTTATTATCTAGGCAACAGCATTTGCCACTTGTCCTTCGAGTTCCACTGTTGCAGTTGGCTGTTATACTGGACATATTTATTACATCGATATAAATGATCCAGAAAAACCTCGGATTGTATCTCGCCACAGAATACACCAGCAATCTGTAGATTGTCTCATGTAAGTAACAAAATTCCTTTTTTCATTTTTATTAAATTAAGAAATGAAACTACTGAAAGTACGTTGATTTTTGAAGAGTTTGTTTCAAAAATTGAACTTCAAAATTAATTCAAGTTTGGTTTAAATTCATGATTTCTGGTTTTCTAATCATTTCAATAATATTTGCTTGGCCATTGTTGGATAATAAATCTCGAGGTATGAGTCAAGTTTAGTCATGAGTCATCCGTGCCTCGAGATGAGTTCGGGGACAAGTAAATCGCTGAGTTAACTCAGTAAATCAACAAGTCTTTCTGGTGGTGTATGATAAGAATCCAAGTCGCTTTATTTCTATGACCTGAGTCACTCCAAGTACTTAATAGGAAATAGGAACTTGAGTTAGGTAAACGACTGAGCCTCAACGCTGCTATTTGCTGACTACACCGTTATTAGAACACTTGTAAATAAAATGACTTTTTAGTCGATATTTTGTTATGGAAACTATACAATCCATGGTCGTTAATAACCTATAAAATGCCATTTCATAGCAATTGCATACTATTCTTGTAAAACTTCGATCGCCAACTAGAATATATAAATTCATTTTAGTCCAATTTATCTATTTTGTTTTTAGTTACACATCACTCGGTCTTCATCTTCTCAGTTGTTCATATCAAGAAAAAAATATATTTGTGATAGATGCAAGACCAAGTGCTCAATTTTCCTGTGTCGGATATATTGGTAAGTACTGTATGATGCAGTGAAATTTCTGCTTTTTTGGAAAGTAAATACATACAAAGAGCACCGATATATGAGCTTACAAACTCACCACCCTTCAATAGTGTCTTGTATAAAAAATTTAATTTTAATGTTTTAATTATTCTAGATTGTCAAGGGAGTATCAAAAACATCACAATGTCTCAACATTCTGATGATAGAACACATTTTTCCGTTGTTGTTATACCAACACTGCAGGTATGAAAAGTAAAACCTATTTTTGTAATAATCGATTTGGAAAAAGTATTGAATAAAAATGTTGGCTCTGAACTCTTTAGAAATAGTTTATTCTGTATGGTCTATTCATAATTTATTTTAAATGTTTAGTATATTGTTGGCCACCACGCTGAAACTGATATTTTGGCGCTTCAGTTCTAATTGCTAGTGACAAACTGCTTGTGTATGTCTGAGATAGTAATGAAGACAAATTAATCGACAATACCAATACTCACACTTATAATAGTATGATCGACTGTAACTTTCCGCATTATACTTCTATCATTCTAACATTTCGTCTTGCAACCTTTTTTTTCTTTTTTATTAGAAATCAGAGGAAGAAAATGATGAAACAGAAGATTCGTCAACAAGCGATCGTTTATTAATATTTTCTCTTCCAAACAATGGGGATTCTGAAAATAAGGATGAAAGATATCAAAGCCTGAGAAAAAATTTCAAAGGTATTTATGTAATGTGTTTCAGGTCATGTGATAAACTGCTTATTCTTTTTTCCAAAGATGCTTGAATAAAATTTTAACTTTTGTTTTTGTGATCAACAATGCTTTCTATGCTTTTTACTAGATGATTTCATCAACAAATTAACCTTTGACCTGACTGTTCCGTTGGATTCAGCTATAGTAACAGAAGTTGATTCTAATCTTCATGTTGTTGCAATTAGTAGAGAAAACAACAAACTACTGCAATTTAAATTCCCTGACCATCAAGACGTGAGTATATCACTATGCAATATATTTGTGCAAGAGTCCATACCTCTACAGGTCTTCTCAGACAATTTGAAATGTTCAAAAAATAGATCTAGTGAGTGAGTACAATTAAAGTCAGATTCAATTGCATAATTGCAATTTGTCCTATTTTTGCAGAAAAATATAGAATATGAACAGTGTTGACATAGTTTGTCATTTTTCATGATTTTGCTGTGAAGGTCATAATATCAGAAATCAAATATTATTGCAGAAAATATGAAAATTTAAATTTTTAAATTCAAATTCAACTATCCAGTCAATCATCAACTTTAAATATTTCCTCCGAATTATAGGACAGCACTTCAATACATAACCCTTCGCATGAAGTTGATGCTCATCAATTGCAAGATGGATGTTTGACTCTGTCATCACATTGTCAATGGATTATGACGTATGCTCCTGATGGCTCAATAATTATTCGGGACAAACATAACTGGGTGAGTTTGTTAAGGATAATATTGACACATTTTGATAGAAATTTGAAAAGTTTTTCCTAAACCTAGATAATCTGAAGAATCGGTACTCCCGAAGTATGTGAACCAAGATGGCGGACACCGAAACGTAGTATGTTCACCAAGTTAGGTTAGGCCATAATTTTATTCCAATTTTTCTTATTTTAGTTTTATTACGAATTATTACGTGAGACTATCCAAGTGACTCGCGTAGTATTAGTACCTGAAATTATGGTCTAACCATATCCTGGTACACACGTTTCGGTGTCCGCCATCTCGAAAGAATTTGCCCATATGTGGAAAATGAAATAGAGTTGGAGTAGAAAGTTCAGTAGTGTGGCAAGATATACCCATCAAGTGACTGTTATTTAGCGAAGCAGTAAAAGCAATGAATTTCAAAATAGGTTGATAATAGTTATATCTTGTAAAGAGCATTGTTAAAAGAGAAATAGTGAAAACACTTCATAAAAACAATAATATGTTTTGATGTTCGGAATTTTGTAGTTTCAATAAAATTTGAATTTAATAGTTCGATCAACTATAATAAAAAAATGTACCTATTATGCGGATTTTGATGACATTCACAGAAAATCAATAACGACTAATCATAATGAATAATTTTTCAAATCGTTGATAATTAACTCGGCTTTCATGGAATTTTTTTGAGGGGCTTAAATAGGGCTGTATATAATGACATGGAGTTGTTTAACCTGTAATACCAATATAAAACGATGTACTGAATAATTAATTCAGTCTATTCATCCAATTTTAACAGTCATCATCTGTATCTATCAAATCACATTCCTATCTTACCGGAGGAGTTTCATCTGCTTTATTTTCACCTGATGGACAAAGAATTTTATCAACTGGATGTGGCGATAATTCACTCATCAGCTATTCATGGAGGTTCAGTTTATTTTATATTTTTAATATGTTGAGTGAAATATTATAATTGAATATATCCACCCATATTAAGATACTTTTTTAGCTTTAAGATATCTGTTTTTTTAAGTTACAAATGGTCTGAATTGCTTTATCATGCTAGTTTATATTATAGTGTTGACACACATTTGTATGATTTTTTATAAGGCTTTTTTATTCCGCCATTTTTAAAAAGGCTCTGTATTAGCATCCACTTGGAGCTAGTATTTTTTGGAAAAACTAAAATCTTTCTTGTCTGACATTGCCTACTTAATTTATTACGCCCTGGGTAAGGTATGGGGTTTGGCCCGAAATCTTTAACATGCGACACTAACATAGTTAGGTCTAATACTTTAATCCAGAGGGCAGCAGACGGCCCGAGGACCACAAACTGGCCCACCAAGCCATTTAGTGTGGCCCACGTTAACATTCAGATTTTGCCCCATGAAGCTTAAAATCCCAATCCGACAATTTATGTTTGGAAAGGCGCTCACATTTTTTTTTTGCTCTTCGCTGCGTTAAATCTTTTGCCATTTTGCCCAGTGGATTTATTACTTTAAGGCTAAGCGATAGCTGCATTCTCTTCTCTTGCCTTTCCGGCAAATTTTTTTGCGGCCCAGCTAATTATCTAAAGTTGGTTATATGGCTCACCGACAAAAAATTTTGCTCACCCCTGCTTTAATCCCATCGAACACATAATTGAATACAAACTCATATTATTTTTAATATTTCGCTTCACTGACAGTGACATATACAATATTCAACACTTTTTATACCTAATATGTGGATTCTTTAACCTGATACACGGTATTATTTCATGGTTTCAAGTTCCATATGGATTCAAGTCAATTTTGTAATGCTTTAATAATCATTCGAAATGTTAAATCAGTCTTCGTGATTTTTTATACTTTTCAAATCATTGACAGTCTGACGTCAAAAGGACGAATTGCTATGAATTCTGCATTAGAATATTTTCGAAACTTGGACATGAAATTAAGAAGTATTGCTGAAAAGGAAGATGCTGTAGTTGCAACAATGAAAGAATGGGAATTACCAGAATATACAGGTAAAAATATAAAAAATCGAATTTCTGTATTCAATTGTATCAGCCTTTGGCTTGGCCATTGGTGCCAGCCTGTCATTGGCCTATGCAAACATCTCAACAACAACAGTCTATTGAAGAAGTCTTATATTTGCAAAAGTTTTTGTTATCAAAATTTGATTTCCTCAAGAGTTCAGTCTGTGTCGAATCCCAGAGTCAAAGTAAAAATGTTTTTGGCAACCAAATTTTTTTCAACCAGGAGTCGAAGGTATATTCACCTGAATTCCTTGATTACCCTTAATTAATATCACTGTGGCTCTCACACGTTTGCGAAAAACAGGAATCCGATATAATTGTAGATCATTATTAATTGTAACAATGACTGGATAATCAAAATTTTACACGTCTTCCTATATTTTGGTTTAATAAATTCTTTCATAATAACTTAGCACCTGCTGAACAAACAGACAGTACCGAGGATCTGTTGGACAATGGAGCAGAAGTGGTTGAGAGAAGTATGTTTACCATCTTAATTTCATAATTCTGTGTCATGAAAAACTTTATCTTCAAAATTTTTGGTTTTTCTTGTAATAAGCTCATGTGCAAAAACGAATAATTACAGTGTGTATCATGGGAATATATGGATCTGGAATATGGAAAACATTTTAAATTTGTTTATATTCAATAATACAACGTAGCTTTATAGAAAACTGTTAAATAAATCTAATTGCTTTATTCGCAGCTGGAACATCTCACAGTACTATACCTCCAACACCAACTCCAGTTCCTCCTGAAGATGCGACATGGTTGGAGGAACAACTGATTATCGCTCGAAAACAAGAGAATTTGCAATACAATGAAGTGAAACGAGATTTGAAGAAAAACATCAAGGATTTAAGAAAAACGGTAACATTTATTTGATTGTCTGCGTTCTTTCAGAAGGTATTACTTATCTACAGTTAAAATAAATATGTCTCAAGTAGAGTATATTTAACTGGGCCATTGGGCCCCTAGGGTGAACCATGGTTCGTCTCGCTGGAGGCCATGAGCAAAGTCCTTCATCAGATACTGTTTTTGATGACTGCATTTATTTAATGTAAATTGTATGAGCCACATTTAATAATGTCAAGGCCACTAAATGGAAGTGAAAGCATTCATATGCTTTTCAGTCAAGGAATTAAATCATATTGCAATTAATTTACTTCAAATCAACGCAGACATCGTAAATTGTACCTAGTAATAGCATCATTTTGTGGCCTCCAAAGAACTTCTCCATGGTCCCCTAGGATGGTCGAGGCCCCATTTTGAGAAACCTAGTAACTATTTAGTTTTTTCGCGAAGATCACAGGAGTTTCTCTTAGTAAGTTGGCATTGGTGATCCTATTTTTGGTTGCCCTAAGGCGACAGTATCAGCGTATTGTGTAGTTATTAACACTAAAAGTAAATTTTTATTACATTTTTAAGATTCTATCAATGATGGCAGAAAATCAAACTCGGCCCGAAGTTGAACGATTAGATCAAGAAGAATACAATCTTGATGTCGAACAACAAAAACAATTACAAGAAATGGAGGAAACAAGAGTACAGCAGGTCTTTATTTGATTTTTTAATTCATTTTTAATCAAAAAATGGGAACAAAATGTATTTATGTATTTGCGGTTGCGATGGCGCAGTGTTCAATGCATTAGGCTTAACTGTGATGGTATCATAAATTAAAATCTTGGGTTCAAATCCCATGCCCGCCACCTCACCCAGGATATATAGATAATAGGTGGGTAGGCAATGCTGAACCAAAAAGACTTCGATCCTTTTAAAAATGATATCGCTAGATAATGGTGGTTGCTTCAGGGAATTGTTCAAAGCGAAAGACATGACTAAGCTTCTTGTTATAAAAAATTCAATTCGAAACACTGGCAACATTTTGTAAGTATGGTATAAATCCTAATTTTGATGCAATAATGGTCAATTTGATAGACAAAATAGTATTGCTAAACGTCTTTATTCTTGAAATAGAGCTCAACCTTTTGTTGATCTGATTTATCGTTAGACTGAAACAGTATATTTTCCTACTACTAGGTTCGTGAAGAAATTGAATTTGAAAATCTGGCGCAAAAGTATTTAAAATATATCATGCAAAAAGAATTTTGGGATGACATGGACGTGAAAGGTGACTTGATTATTTATATTTTTTGAGATAGGTAGATTGACCTATCCTATGTAAGCATGGATGGGTAAGATTATGGATAAATAGAGTACAATATGAATATAACATATAGCTAGAATGTATTATCCAAATTTAAAACTATTATACTATTTGGTTGTAATGCCCTAATTGAAGACTCGTATATTGTTTCACCCTTGTCACTCAGCTCACTCACTCCGGATAAAAGAAACTGAGTGCCTCTTTCCTTATATTTTTTTTATTTGCTCAAAAGAAGAATTTGAGCTTAAAGGATAGGAGGTATATTAAAAAAGGAGTGCCTACTCAGAAGTAAATGAGACTCATATATGAGAAAAATACTCAGAAGTAAATGAGACTCATATATGATAGAAATACTCAGAAGTAAATGAGACTCATATATGATAGAAATACTCAGAAGTAAATGAGACTCATATATGAGAAAAATACTCAGAAGTAAATGAGACTCATATATGAGAAAAATATTCAGAAGTAAATGAGAGAATATATAATAATGTTGGTGCATTATCTGCCAGTAACTATCAAACTTGGAGGATCAGGGTCATTCAAATCAAGCTTTTTAACTCTAGATGAGTGCTGTTCTGAGTGAATGTATGAAGTAAACTACTTTATTCAAATTGATAACTTGATAGTATTATTATTCATTTATTTACTCTCACACTACTTGTCCATTAATTTTTTCAGGTCGTGCATTAAAAGCATTTAATGCTCCAACATGCATCACTAATTATCCAATGAAAGAACGGCCCAGAGGTGAACAGGCTTTGTTGGATAGAGTTTCAAGAATTCGGGCAGCTCAAATCGAAGAATTAGTTGTGAGTTGAAAACTTTAAAATTTTACATATAGCAAATTATATAAACTTACGAAATGAAATCCATTTTTTTTATTAGGTAATAAAAACAGCACATTTATATAAACACAGTAACATATAAATTGTACCTAAAAACGAACTTATGATGTAGTGAAGTTTTGGTTTTCTTGAAATCAAATTTCAAAGATTAATAAATAGTTAGTTTTTGGGTGTAGCGAAGAAATGTACAAGAAAGAAGGCATCCATGAAGATCACAGACGTAGTTAAATCTAGCTCTATATTGTTTCAGTGGTCATTTCCAACTATTCTATTTGTAATCTTTTTATTTATAGCGAACTGAGATCCTGCTTCGAGCAATAATTGAATCGGGTTTTTGGTCTAGCTAGTCCTATGTATGTAAAATTACCTTATTGCCAGTAACAAAAGAAAATTTTGAAATGAAAAACAACTTGCTCCTTTGTGACCCTGGCAGCGAATCTTCGGGTCACACAGTCAGTTCCAGTGACTAACCTTTTCATATATCGCTATTACATGTAATCTTATACAATGCTAACTTTGACAAGTAGTGGGCGTAAACATTTTTTGGTAAACAGTCATTGTTAGTGGTGTTAAAATCATTAATAAAGGAAAAAGGTCCAAATTTTACTTATTGATCACCCATCTCAGAAGAGACACACATTGCTACATCCTAAAATCGTTGTTTCAAATTTTTATTTTTTCAAACTTCGCCGCCACGTCAATTTTTTATTGATTTTGCCAAGCTCAGTGCACAACAAACTCATATTTTCCGAGTTTTCACCATGGTCCTACCTTTTTTTATCCCTATATAGTTAATCATTGCTCTCTTACTAATATTACCCTTATTTTAACAGTCCAGAAAAGAGATCGTTGAGATCAGTACGACACAAACAAGTCTCGAAGAAGAAGAAGAGGAAGAAGATAGTAATCTTCATCCTGATCATCAACTCTCTCTTCATGGAAGTCTGGGACCAAAATATGGTGGAGAAAATGAATTGTTCTATTCACAATTTGATCTTCATACAAGAGAAGAAAAGATCAATCAAATTGTACTTGTGAAGGTGAATACATAAGTTCAATGACAATGTTGGTTTTCAGATTAGATATCTTGGTTCGAGCCCATTATTTTGCCTGATGCATAAAAGATTTTATGGAATTTTTTTTGTTAAAGTATAGCTATAACTCTTTAGTGTGTCAGCAGTTACATGCAACTCTTCTGTCAGCACTCTCACTTTTTCCGTTTGACTCGCAATCTTGTATTAAAAAGCACTGATCCAAGTAGTTTTCTATTCTCAAATAGCTGGTTATATTGAGCTCGATAGCCAGTTTCGGTTTCCCTTCCTCATTAAAACTAACATTTTCTCGTACTTTGTGTACGATTTTTTCACTGTTTGAAAAAATAAACTTGGCTTGAGGTATTTTGGGAAAAATATTTTAAAATTAAAAAGAAGTGACATACACTAAATGTATAGGAAATAAAGTCATAAGTTTTCATCATTCAGTAGCATTTTTGTTATCATTGACATTTCTGAATTCGATCACAGTTATAGACAGACAACCTGGCCGACAATTCAGGATATCCATCTCCTTATAGTACAACGCCAATCATAAGTTTCTTCCAATATTCATGCTGTTTGCTGACTATGACAACTGACAAGGTTGTTTGTTCACATGTCCTTGGTTCTGTTCTCATAAATGCTTTCAACGCCTGATCGACATGATTGCGTATTGGGCCAAGAGAAAGTAACATGCTCGCTATCAGGGCTTCACTCAGCCGGTTGTTTATTATGCCACGTTCACCGTGTATCTGCAGTCACCAGTCTATGTATCTGAAAATAATAACTAACAATATTCCTATTTTACTATATTAATTATAAAAATTTTCTTTTTTAGGATGCTATCCGTAGAATCAAACTATCATTCAATGAAGCATTCACAAACGCTTATCAGAACAAGGAACAAGAAATTGCGAGAGTAAAAGAAAAGAATATAAGAATTAGAGAAATTATGGAGGTATGTGAATTATTACTTCCCTGGGGTCCCCGGACTCCTCGGAGTCTGTGATGAGGGGGCCGCAACGATATGAAAAGAGTCTGATCGACTTTTTGGTTGAGCGTCGTCGCAGACAAATATATATTGCTGTCATAAAATTTTATTGCCTCTTACAACGACCTATATGTGTGAGGCATATGTGTGTGTTGTTGTGTTGTAAATGAAACATTATTATTCTTCCTCGTTAATTAGGCACAGAAATTGATACGGCATAGATTAGGGGGCAGTCAGAACTAAGATTCACAAATTGGGGACCGTGGCCCTAAAAGTTTATGAAACTCTGGACTTATAAACAATATTATATTGAATTATAATTAATTTATTCTTATAATTTTGTAGGATTTGGACATGGATGCATCAGATATCAAAGATCCAGTATTAAGTATTGATGAAAAACCTGAGAAAATTTTAACTGTGTTGGATGAAGAGGTAAAAGATTATTTTTGCATTTTTCTGTGGCAAGCGAACAAAAGTTTAGCATACGAATGAATGATTCTTTGTATTCACCAGGTTCAAGTAGAACATGTACTCAGTATGGAACAACAAAAACAATTAGTTGAAGAACAAAGACAAGAACAAATCAGATTGGAAGCTGCACAATCTGACAATAAAAGAGAGAGAGGATTGAATGATATGATGGGAGGAGTGTTGGAAGTTAAGAAAGAGGACATATTAAAACAGGTATTTTACTGGGGGGGGGGGAGGTAATTAGGTGCGAGAGAATTTTCTTGTTGTCATAAGGTGGTTTACGTAACGTAACCGCTTTAGTGATTACTAATATCTCAAGGAAATCCTTTTCATGAACAAATTAACATTACGTTCTGTCATATTTTTTAAAATTCGTGTATTTTGAATATCAAGTGATGTGACTTCATTGGTATGTTTTTAACAGGATATTCCACTACCTGAATTTGTTGCTGAAAAACCTGAAAAAGACTGGACAGATGAAGAAAGAAAAATGATGAAAGAACACGAAAAGAAACAGAAAGGTAAAACCAGTATTTCAACTCCCACACAGCAAAGGTTAGTGTCAAAGATAAATAAAGCACAACCGGTGTATAGCAAAACGATATAATTTGCCGACGTTTCGAATTTCTACTCAGAAAACTTCATCATAGCATGATATGAAGAGTACACTATCATATATATATAGAGTAGAAAAATAAAAATAAAAAAAAGATAGTAAAAATTAAACAGAATAAGTAAGGAAAATATGTTTTTTTTTAAATTTAATTAATTGTTCCCGCATGTATATAAATCATTGTTTAGATAGTCGCGTAATTGTTCGAACTTGCGCTTATTCACCCGGCCTGGTGGCAATCATGCGCTATACAGCAAAGGTTTGGTTAGCAACTCGTATGATAAACCTATCAACCCAATATATTACCCTAACTGAACTAAATGGGTCAAATTAATGATTTTTTTTATTGAGGGTTATTTTGAGCGTCTGAGAAGCTGATCGTCCAAAGGGGGGGTTGGATAACTCCGACCCTGGACTGAGAGAAATTTGGTTTTTAATTTCGGCCCAGTGTTTTGAAAAATTTAGATCCCAGCCAAGAAAATCCAATTCATAACTGAACCTATGTTATATGCAAGCCTTTGAAAACTGTTACAAGACTCATGAATTAAAGCATTTCGAGTTTTAGTAGGAAGTTTTGACTTGTTCTCACAATTGAAATTAATTCCAGACTTCAGAATTCCATCTCAGAGAAATTTGAAAATATGATTCTGAATCCACACTCCTGATACCCACTAGATTTTGCCTTTACTATATAATTCAATGCAAGTAACTCCAGCGGTAGAGAACAGATCAGGAAAGACTAGAATACAATATTTTCAGTGACTTTTATTTTTATAAAAATGGCAAATTCTTTTTATTAGGTTACTTACAACAAATACAAATTTTACAGATCTTCTTGAGGAACGAGAAAAATATCGTAAAAATCTTGAAAATGAATTGAAGAAAATACAACAAGGAGTTGTTGAGGCCATGTCATCATTTGATGAACAATTACTCCAATTGTACAACAGGTGATTTTTCTATGTCGAGGAGAGATTATTAAAAGCTCAATTATATGTCATGTGGCCTCTTATTTGGTCACTACTTCAGTATTTTTTATTTTATTAAGTCGAGTGTTAGATGTTATATGAGATACAGATAGTTAATCTATCCTCAACCATAGGTGGAAAAAGAAGGACAGCCAATGGCCTGACATGCGTTTCACTTATTTCTCAGATGGATCAAAAATTTTAGCTCATTTAAGGTAATGCAATGGCAAGTGTATGCCTTGCGCTCACCCATCCACAAACTTCAAATAATAACTATCGAATGATTGAAATGATTCCTATATGATGAAAAGGAATGTATGTAAAATATACAGAATGTGAAATTATTCTACAATAATCACACAAATACTTCATTTTCAGTTTTTGTAACCCATTTTATTTTGTATGATAATGAACAGCCTTCTTCTTTCTATTTCAGGAAGGTAAAAACAGAAATGGTGATCAATCAAGAAGAATCTAAAATATTAAGATTATCATCGGCCGTGCTTATGCTTGATGAAATTAATATTCAAGAAGAGCAAATCAACTTTATGCTGGAGTTTGGGAAAACTAAGAAGGTAAAATGTATTTTGATTTTATAATAGAAACAATTGGTCATGATGGACTAGATTTTACAAATAAAAAGTTGCATCCTCAAATCTCATGCTCTCCACCTTAGTGAGTGTGTAATAAACTGAGAAAACAATGTTGAGTCCCAAAGGTAGGTTTTTCTATATTGATGACTGCTTCCGTAGATGAGAAACCAACTATAAATAAACAATTATTTTGTTGAACATATTGAATTTAAAAAATGAAAATCATAATTGAAACTAAAATCTTTGAATCAATTTTTAATAGAAACAATTGAATGAATCGGAAGAAGAAATTCGAAAACTTGTCGACGATTACAGAGAAGTTTACGACAGTGCTGTTGCAGAAGATAAAATACTCGATCGAACATTTAAGCGGGATTTTTCAGATGTTCCGCTGCCTTTGATTGAACCTCTCTACAAATTATATAAACGTAGACCAAGGTAGGGATTAGGATGTTGTAAAATTGTACACATATCCTATTTCTTCAAATTAGTGTTTCTTTATAAAAATTGCCCTTTTATACTTATTAAGAATAAGATATTTAAAGAAAGTTAGGTCTATTTCATGGCAATCCGACTCAACTTCTGGTTGTAAGATTTTTAATTTTAACTCCAGAAAACAAAATTTCGAAGCCTTATGCAAGCCGCTTTTCATTGTCTACTAAAAAGTTTAAGTCAGCGTAATGATTTTTCTAGTTTCCATTGGGAATTTGGCACCATTGAAAGTATGAAATTCCGACTCTGGGAGTTTAACATTCACACTCAAAACAAATTTTATAAAATAATGTCTCATAAATTACGAAACATAACAAAAAATCAAGATTTATTTTCAAGTTATATCTATTCAGGGTTCAACGTCAAGCAGTTTCTGAAGACAGATCTCACAGTTACGATCCATATCCTAACGCTAAGAAAAATCCTGCAATGGTTGGATCAGGTGGAAGTCTTACTGCTGTAGATGATGCAACTCAGTCTACACTCAATGCTTTAATAGAACTGGATGATCCGATAAACATTCCTGAAGGCCTTGATACCATTGTGTGGCAAAGACTTTGTAGCTCAAGGTATGTGAATCATGTATATATCTCCAATTTTGTTTTCACTTCTTCGAATGCCCTCGCAGGTTTGCTGATTCAATTTGAGGGCCAGATAATTATGTCATGCCGATTGCTAGATTTTCACTGCCGTGGGGTCGTTCACAGGTTAACTATTCCCATACAATAACCGGCAAGATGGTTTGCCATATGATTAAATCGTCTTATTCCTCATTTCCTCTCCCCTGGATAGTTATACAGCTCTTATCTTAACATATATAAATGATTTGGTATGTTGATATTTTTCTTTTGGCTACCTCCTCTTTATCCTCAGTTGCAAAATGTAAGGTATTTATACAGCCATTCTTCAAACAGGGAGTTGATCTTTTTTGTTTATTGCACACGAAGTGGACATATAAATCGCATTCGCATTCATTTCTATCTGGTGGTCAGGCAAAGACGTGAAGATTGCGTTACCGATAATCTACTGTGAAAGATTGCATTCCATACTGCTTCGTTTTGGCTTTCATGTCCATATATTTGAGCATTGTTCTCTTGTTTTCAATTTCTTTGTTTAAAAACAGGAAAACTAAAGTAGAAAGTGAACTTTGTGTTAAAAATCATGCTTCCACACTTGCGGAGATGACAAAATATCTTCAACATTTACAAGATGAAAATGAAATGATGAACAGAGAACTTGAAGACATTGTTAAACAACAGAACAAGTAAGGAAAATACGTTTTTTTTAATTTGATTAATTACTATTAATTGCTTGGGGACATTGTTGACCAACAGAACTAGTGAGGGATGAGTGTTTTTTTTAATTTAATTAATTAAAATTAATTACCCGGAGACATTGTTAAATAACAGAACTAGTGAGGGAAATACGTTTTTAATTTAATTAATTGATATTAATTATTCGGAGGCATTGTTAAATAACAGAACTAGTGAGGGAAATACGTTTTTTAATTTAATAAATTATTGTTAAATATATGGAGACATTGTTAAACAACAGAACTAGTGAGGTATAATCTTTTTTTTTTAATTTAATTAATTAACATTAATTACTCGGAGACAATGTTAAACTACAGAACAAGTGAGGGATAATCGTTTTTTAATTTAATAAATTATTGTTAAATATTTGGAGACATTGTTAAACAACAGAACTAGTGAGAGAAATTCAATTTTTTTTCAAGTAATTCCCATTCATTAATTTTGCTGGTGTTACGACCTAATAAGATTCCAGTCCTAGCTCCTTATATATCAGTGGCTGCTTGCACAGGACCTTGCTCAGAGAGAAAGGCTTAGCATTAGAAGCGTCATATATAAATTTGAAAATGTCTCATCAATATAAAAAAATATTTAATTTGTTTATTCTCATATATCACAGGTTGGGAGAAGATCGAATGAAAAATAATTTGAATCTAGAAATTCAATTCTTATTAAAGCAAGGTCAAGTTGAAGTTGAAACTGGAGATTTTATTGCTGATTATGACAACAGTATCCTAATACATCGACCTGTTGTTGAAGATCTTAATGCAACAATCAGGGTTAGGATTTGAAATTGAAATAAAAATCAATTTTCATAGAATAGAAAAACCTGTTAAGTCACTTTTTTGTCAGTTCATGGTTGGCCCACTAAAATCTTGAGTTGAGTCATGGATAATTTCCGGTCCCCAGTCAAGTCCAAGTCTCAGCAAATTTTAAGGTTTGAAACTCTAGTTGAGTCATGACACTCTCAGGTCCTGAGTCAATTTGAGTCACTGCTCTTTCTAATCATAATTTGAGTCGAAATAGTTGAATACGAGTGAGTCACATTGACACTTACCACTTGAAAATTCCAACTTGCTTTAAACCAACATAATTCTAAAAGTCATACTCAAGCTGAGTCATTTACTCAAAGCCCACCTTGCTTCAACTTTGAACCAACATTTTTTGAAAATCCTACTCAAGCAGAGTCAATTACTCAAAGGTTACAATTACTCAATACCCCAAAGCTGCACTAACCAAAACCTTAAATATTATTCTTATCATATTTTTGCCACCTCACCTAGTGTGTTATAAAAATAAAATTTGAACTGGAAAGACTAATCTAGGTGGAAACGCGTAACACCCTTCAAACAACTTAATTATCTGCATTTGAATGGCCACTTGTTCGAAGTGTAGGTGTGAAATACTATATGAAAAATATTCACTTAAATAGAATTCTAATGATGGACGACCATATGCTGGAGAGCTTTAGCGATTTTAACTCTAATTTCAAATGTTGTATCCATGTTTATGAATTTCTGGGTTTGAATTCTTAAGACAGCGGTACTCAACCGTGTGCCACCAAGAAAGCCACAGAACAGTTGGAGGGGCCACAATGCTAGGCCAGGAAACTGATTTTACTTTCCCATCCACAAGAGAACAAGTTATTTCACAGGGTGTTTTCACTTAGTTGAGCATGAATTGTTTAAACATAATGAGATTTAGAATCTAACAATCAAATTGACATGAGTGCTAAACGTACCATGAGTGCTAAATGACTCCGGAAAGGGGCCACAAGCCATAGAAGGTTGGGAACCACTTCATAATATATGTAATAACCCTGCATGTAATGGCCAATCATACATAGATTGTTATCACTCAAATACCTTATATTATCTTGCAGTTATTATTTTTGTAACATATTTATTCGTTATATTACTTAGGGTCTCGGAGAACATAAAGTTGCAGCCATGACTGAATGCAAAGACTTTAAAAAAGGAATTCATCAATTGGAATGGGAGAGAAAGAAAATGATGATGCAGATGGATGATTTGCATAATAAAGCTCGACATATACAAATGCTTAAACTTGCTAAAGATCTTCAATCGGTAAGATATTAAAAAAAAAAATTTTAATGGTTAGCATAACAGTGTTGGGTACCCATACCCAGTATCACAAGTTGAGTCATAGCTTTCTTGAGTCACGAGTTGAGTATGAGTCGTTTTCATGTCTCAAGTCAAGTCACTGAATTTGTAAGTCAAAAGCCTTCATAAATAACAGTTAGTAATATTGGCGCTAATGAGTCTAGGATTAAATCATTTCGAATATTACAATTTTTATTTAGTACTTGAATGAGGAAAATCACCAAGCAAGACATGCAAAACAAATGTCAGTTTTAGAAGAAACATTAGCATTGCAGGATAAACATCTGGAAAAGAATGTTGCACACAAACAATCTACTGTAAGTACTTTAATTATAAAAATGAACTTCCCCCGCGGTATATATTTATATATATATATAAAACTGTATTTGCGTTTGTTTTCTATCTCTATTGGATCACAGCTTTATGGCACTCCATCCTTTGTACAGTTTGAATAGCATACGATAGAATTTACATATTTATCCTGGGGGAGAGGGAGGCTGATAAGATAGCTTAATCATATGGCATGTTTGGTTACCAGTCCAGGATTTGAAACTGCGTACCCGCGCAGGCAGTGGTGGGATTCAGGAGTTCGCATCGGTTCTATAGAACCATTTCACGTAATTTTGTGAGATCAGCGGACTGGTTAGCATAACTGAAAAAACATGACTTTTTGTAACAGAACCGGCTGAAAAATATGTGATGGAACCAGCTGACAAAAAATTTGAATCCTACCACTGCGCGCGGGGTAATAATCAGAGATGCGAAGGCAAGCGTATTCCTAGCGCTTAGCACGATGCACCACACTGTCGACCATATAGTTAATAATTTGTTCATAAATAAGTATTATAGTATTGCTTAATAAGTAAGAAATATTAATAATACTGCAGGCACATACAAAGTAAAACTCCCTTCCTTAAAGCAAATAAAATCTTCCTTTGCGATAAATTCCTTTCTGGTTGGGAAACCCGGCCTCATAAAATTTTCAAAGCACATGCATTTTGTGTCTAACGAATTGAATCGATTATACTATATAGCTTCAATAATTATCAAACAGAAGCGCTCACATTTAATATTCTCACTTTACTTTAAGATTCGAGATTTAGAAAGAACAATTCGTCAGAAGCAACATGAAAACATGTCTCTTGGTAAAGAAACAGAAGAACTCCATGTTTCTGTATCAGAACGTAATAACATCGATGAAGTCAATGGTAATTATTTTTCTTTCTGTGAGATTGGCATATAATATAGTCAAACCATCCGATCAGTATGAAAGCAAAACTGATACCAACAATAACGTGCATATGGTAATAATACAAGGCTTTGTTAGTCAATTATCTTGGTTTAATATGGCTTGTGAGAAATCCAAGGAATCATATAGCCTATTGCTGCACAACCCTTTCAAATGTTGAGAACAGCTTTGAAACCATGTATGCACAGTTGTACCAATGTCAAGTTATAAATGTTTTTCTTGTTATTAAATTAGCTGGTTACTTTGGTCCTTCGTCCAACTAATAACCAAAATTTTTTTTTAATTTTGATCGCCAAAATAATATATATGAATATATATATTTATCGCATGGTTTTAGAGGTGCTCAAAAAATTCTGAGACAAGTCGATAATATATTATGGCATTATATCAAAATTGAAACTTTCCGAGGAAAAAATGATTTCAGCGATACATACAGCATAAACAGACTCCATCATGTTAGTGTCTTCCATAGTTATCTACAAGCTATAGATCTACCTCCAACAACGTTTAACACTACATTTTCTATAACAGCTGCAGAAAGAGCGAAACATACAGCTGACAATCGATTACGTGGCATTGTTCAAAGGAGAAAATTAGTTGATCTTGCTAAAGCGCAAGCCCAGGAAGTCGCTGTATTACGAGCTGAAGTTGAACGTTTGAGAATGAAGACATTCCCAGCTCTTGTACAAATTGAAAGATAATTGTGCTTGTATAAATATACTTTCTTCATATTATATTAGTATTTTGCACTGTAATAAACGTTAAACAAAGTTTGAAATTTTGTTATATGTGATGTGGTTGTGCACAACGGATTTCCAGTTTATTCACTAGTCTATATAGATTTCAAATACACATCTTCTTAAACTGCTAAAGCTAAGCTATGCTATCCTGCCATGATCAGTTCTCACAGAGAAAAATGACATTCACAGTTAAGCTCATGTTGCTTAGAAACTCCCTATTGAAGTTAGCTTGTCACGAATCATGCAAAAAGGTATAATCATATTACTGAAATTGGCAAGTTCCTCGACTACAGAAAGTTTGATTGTACAATACTAATATCAACACAATATGCATTGACAGCGTCATTCTTCAAAACACAAAACAGTTACCGGTATATAACTTATGAATATTGTATAGTTGCAGAATTGTTAATATAACTCAATAGTTTATGACTATATTAGTCAAGGGTCGGAGTTCCGTAATTATTATTATTAATATTAGTTTCACTTATGCAGCCATCCATGATAATACTCTATTCCAGCGTTCCTAAAAATTTTCATCCACTCCACAGCCAAATTTTTCCGCAACCCACAGAAACTAAGATAAAGTTTGATAATACAAAACATATTAAAGAAAAATACCTTGAATGAAACCGATGTGCTTGTACATTCTTGCACAAAAGATTGAATCTTGGCTCTATTTCAGGGATGATAGAGGCCTCGGAATTGGTTCCAAAGGGAGCGCTTTCGCGACCCACCCCTGCTGTATTCCATCAACTCAAGTAATAGTCTCCCAATGTGAATGAAATCGCGATAACTTGCTGCACCCTTCACCCATTTACTATGTTTAAGAGGTGTTTCCGTGTATCGCCATAAAGATTTATTACACCCTACATGCGAGATGACGAGTATAGAATTCGAGCACAAGATCTTTAACCCGCTACACCAGCTTAACCCAAGTTCCGAGGGCTAAAATATTATATTATACACACCCTTGCATTTCCCACTGTTATGAGACAAATTATAAGACGATATTTTCTGTACAATTTTATTAATTTTTTTTCAATTACCCATACTATATACACAATTGGTATGATATGCTAAATAATGCAACGCCACAAACTAAAATGAACCAAAACGCAGAATATCAAGTTTATAAGGTATGACTAGATACACTACTATGTACAAATAACAGCCACATCGATTGTGCTTTTTAAAAACAAAATGCTTTCCAGATTCAGTAATATACAAAAACAAACAAATTAAAAGTATCAGAACTGTTGAAAATGAACAGCTATTGCCAATAAAGGGACTGGTTTACATCCAATACGCAGTATTAAAATACCGTAGGTTTTTTATGTTCCACACTTGACAATCTCTTAAAAAAATGGCGGACAAATTTGCCAAATCATGTTTTAAAATAATTGACTAGTCATATTTTAAAATGTCGATCATTTGACGCTTTGCCGCCAAAAAAAAATCGGATTATGGTAAAAAAGCAGACTTGCTACAGAGCGAAACACACAAAGTGCCAACAGCAACAAAAATAAATAAAATAGTACCGCGAATCAAACGATATAAAAAAAGCTTGATCGCTATAAGGTGTATTACATATCTAGGAAAAAAAAGTTCCCCCAATTCTTTACCACTCCCAAAATTGGTAATTACTTGAATGTAGCATTATGCATTGAAAAGAACAATTGTCATAACAGAAAATGAAAAAAAAAATACAATCAATTATTTATATAAAATAGAAAAAAAAAACGGAGACAACCAATGTTTACCAGTATGTAAACGTAGTAAACCGTACCCACAGCCAACACTCCACCCAATTTTTGTTTTTTCATGACAAAAATACAACTTAGTCGGTATAATATTGCACAAATATTCTAACAGATGATGGAGATTGAGATCTAAGCGATAAGTACGAGATCTCTATATCAGACATGAAGTAGAGTAAAGTGCTTACGAGTGCAGAGAAAAAGATTTATTTTATACTACTGTTTTTGACTGAAGTTTAAATATTATAATAATAATATATTTTATTGTATTCTCATAATTTGTTTACGATATTTGAAGACAGAGTAATCAAAAAGACACCTGTCGAAATAAGATTCTTGTGCTTTACCAGAGGCAGCCCAACGATATTTTTTTCAAAGTTCATCGGAACGGCTATAAAAAAGGCAAAGCAGGCTTTGAACATGTTGTTCTTTGAAGATGGTTTGAAGAAAAAACAAAACAACAAAAAACATGGAATTTCATTTGAAGAAACTTTTAGCAGCAGCAGCAAAAATACTGCATAATAATCTGTTTTTGGCTTTTGATGACGGTGCAACATGATCCACTTGACGCAGATCTACGATCGCTATGGAATATGTTATAATGCAGCAAAATAATATCTAGTCTTAAATTTTAAAACAGTGATATTAGAGACAGACGGTGACAGTCTAATAGACAATATAGAAGTTAGGTACACACTTGTATATCAGGGCAAGGTGCGCAAGGTTGCAGGAAGAAAACTTATTGTCATTGTGCAGTTCGCCATGCAGCAAATAAAAGTACAAAAATAAGAATAGAAACTTCAAAAACAAAATATGATGACGCAACTGCTGCAGTGATAATGGTAAAAAATTTTCATGTTCCTGGTTATCAAAAATATTGTAGATGGCTGGTGGCAACGCCCGTGGATTAGTGAATTGGAAGGGGATCGAACATCCACACACACAAATAGGTGGATGAATAATAGGGAAATACTACACAGATTGACTGACTGATACTTGGAATATAGAAATTCCCCAGATAATTAAATTTGAACAATATTGATTTTTTCGAAAAAAAATTAGATCTCCTTTGATCTTACTTTTGGTAGCAAAATTATGATTTTTACAAAAATTTAGCAACAGTCGCGATTTTCTGTAAAAATGGATGAATTTAGGTTATAATGTATACTATTCGTATACGAAATATTTCACAAATATGCGTAAAAATGATTTAACTTTCTATAACTACAAAGACGATTTTACAAATTATCTGAATTCTGTTTAAATACCCCATGTATTTTTTTCAAAATTTTCATATGTTTTTGTGAAATTTTTTACGTCTAAAAACAAGGGAAAAAAATCGGTTTCGTGATGGATATTATGTGTTCACCCCATTATCAGAATCGAGTCTAATTTAAAAAAAAAACTATACCAAGATTAAACAACCAATCCACAGCGCTGACACTCCAGCCTTTTACGTTTGAAGAAAAAACAAAGAGCTCGGCAGTTAACAATCCGAGTATTTTTTCTAACATAATAATAATCTACAACGACGAAGAAGTCTGTTCACAGTAATTCATTGCTCCCATTATTCAAAGTAGTACAGCATTTCACACATTGAATACCAAAACAACGTATTAATATATGCAATGATAAAAAATATACATACAATACAATAACTGGTGGGTATATTGGACTACAGTTAAAAAAAGTTAAATGCATAGTCCATTTTGAATCAAATGAAAAACACTGAAAAACAAAAAGAGAGATTGAATTTTTTGCATTTTTTTGTTTTGTATATTATCATTATTTATTTTAATATAAGATTTTTGTAGCAAAGCAGAGACCCGGAGTATTTGAAAACAGTGTTATCATATAAGGAGGCAAAAATACTGCAAAACATCTCCTAAAATTTCCATTTTTTTTTTATATGTGATGAATAATAATTACCTGTAGATAATAATACAGAACTAAATGAAGCACGTATTTTAGATTGAAACCCTTTGAACAATGATCATAAATTCCACCAGACTAATTTGATTGCATATTAGAGTCAAAACAATCGCACTGAAATAATATCAAAATTTAATAATATACATACACCCATATGAAATATTTATTAAACTGTTAGAATAAATTAATGTGATTAATCGATTGGCAGTATTTGAATTTATCTACGAACGATGTTTGATCATACTTGGCAAAAAATAGCAAGATCATTTTTTTAAAGTAAAAAAGCGTTCAATTTTACCCAATTTTATGTATTTTTTTCAAAATTTTCATATGTTTTTGTGAAATTTTTTACGTCTAAAAACAAGGGAAAAAAATCGGTTTCGTGATGGATATTATAATGTGTTCACAATGCACATAGTTGTCATGGTAACAATAAAAATAAATTGGAGTAAATCAAATCAATTAACAGCAATACAACAAGAGATTGTTCATGAATGTATTATTTGTTGAAATAACCTACTACCGCAGAGATATTATTGCATTTTTTTAATTATTAATTATCTTTGAATCAATTAAACAACAATGAAATATAATTGACATAATAAGGGATTATAGGAGAATAATTGTGGCTGTCTTAAGCGGATAAAGATACGGTGATATTGAATGAACAATAGCAAAGCCTGAGTAACAAGGTTAAACTATTGAATATAAAGAATAGTATGTATGCATAAAAAATGCCCGTGATTTGAAATTTATCGTCGAAACGCCGCCTCCGTTTTACAACACTAGTTTCGAGAAGCGAGTTTCGATGATAAATTCAATCTTGGGCCGTAGTAATGCACAGCAAAGAAATTTGTGCATAGAAACTTTGGCACACGTTCTCTGCTGCGAAAGGAAGCACACTGACTTATCGTGATTAGTCAATTTTTTTTTTTTCAGTTCGATGAAAGAACAACCAGCCGCAGCTATAATTTTTTTTATTCTGTAAAATGAGCTGCAATTAACACATATATTCAATGCAGTAAAAAGCTTGAATATACATAAAATTGCAGTTCAATTTGCAAGTCTTTTTATATTTATACTTTGTGCAACAAACGATGATTGCACAAATTGACTATTATACAATGAACGTAAATAACTGAAGCGTATTTGAAAATGAACAAAAAAAAAACAAACAAAAAAAGAAGGAAAAACAAAACAATTCCCGTCGATAAAAAATGAAGTTTTTGTGACTAAACAAAAGCGACATTACCGCGAAAATCACGGTGAGTGAGAGTAAAATGCACGTCAACATGGTACGGTAGATATTAGTTCAACAACTAAGCTTCGCACATTTAGTAGTTTAGCAAACTTTGAAAAATAATGCATAAAAATAGTTATCACTAGTGTCAAAGGTCATGCCACTACATGTGGCCTCAAATATGGTTAAAATCAGCATAAAAATATAAAATCGCAAACTCGTATATGCTGCCAAGCCGTAGAAACGAAACTATGTAGTAGTAGTAGGTAATATTCGACAATTCGTATAACACTTAAGAGCCGAAAAAACAGATATCGATGTAATATCAATATTATCACGGTATTCTTTAATCAAAGTTTTATATCAATCCCCCAAACAAAATTTGAACATTAATAATACCTAGGAACAAAATGTAAGCTTGTAAAATTTTTTCGATTTTCAGCGTTACAAGCTGGTAAAGAATAACCTTTTTGTTCGTAGTCACGCTCAGACAAATTTTGTCTGGGGTTTATATGTTGACTATTTCGTTGACGACGTAGAGCACTTATTTTCGTTTGTACCATATAATATAAAGGGCATAGGAAGAACCAGAAAAGACTCTTTAACTAAGTTTAATTATACATGCAATAAAAAAATACAGATTACTAACAAAAATATTCTATCTATATGTTCGATTGAGTTCCCAAAATTTTTGTCATCAATTTTATAACCTATGAGTGTGATGTCATAATTGAATATAGATATATGTGTAAATGACGTCAAACGTACAGAATTTTATATTCTGGGAGTTGCAAACATGATATATATATAGGCCTATATTGTACCAGTCTTTTTATCATAATTTTTTTGATTGAAAATCTGATTGCAGATGATAATTTTTAACTTGAGTCTGTATGTGTGTTTGTATTTGTCTGTGTGTCTGGCGATGTATATTGACCATATTTGTCTGTGTGTCTGACGATGTATATCGACTATTGAAAATGGAGAAACAAATCCTTTAGATAGACAAAAAATTGCATGTTGTCTCAAATAGAAAATAAAAAACAAATAAAACTGCGAAGTTAGTATTAATTCAACATGTTTGGACAGCGGAGGAACTACGGTTTTATGAAGTGCGAAACTTTTTTTTTTAATTTTTTTTTTTGAAAATTGGATTTTTTATTTATTTGATCCTGTGAGCAGTAGGACGATTGCTTGCGTGACATATCAATCACACCTTTACGCTGAACAGTGACAAAAAGAAATGGCAAACAATGCAATATAGGAAGGCAATTTGGCTCTGGTAGTAGTTAATCTCTCACATACATAAGAAAGACACTGTGTAAATAGGAATAGTAAAGCGGAGAAATAGCACTTTTTAAGAATGCACAAGTACAATGACGACTTGAAAAATACCGTTTTTTTTTTAATGAAAAACTTGAGATTTCTAATTTCACGAGTAAAACCAAGGTCACAAATTAATCCGATTCTGGAAAATATTAAAATCATGAAAATACAGAATAATTTCAACTCATTAGTGATAAAAATTTATTTGGTGTAATGGTAAAGACATAATGTTTAATGCACACAGAAAATGATAGCGATATCCCATTCTAATCAAATGCAGGGGGTAGTAAATGTTAAGCAATACTTTTGTTAAATTTTAACACTTATTAAAAATTTAATTATTTTGGCAATCTAATCGGGAACTAACAATTAGGAGCAATATCCATTAGAAAATTATATTAAATTTTTTTAAATAGTTTTCAATTCAAATAAATTGAACAGTATTTTTTGAAGCTTGATGCTCCACGATTCTTCTCATAATTTTTTTTTTTTAATCGAATATGCTGTATTGTTTGAACTATGCAATGAAACAACAGATTTCTATTTTTCAAAATAAGACTTTTTGCAACGGAGAGTGTAGCTAAAAATATAAATTCGTACACTTGAAAAAGCTCAAAAAATCAAAAAAAAAAAACGGATTAATTCGTGACCCCGTTTACGAATGGTAACGTCCTGGTAACTGCTATTAACACATTAAACAGTGGTAAATTATGCACCTAGAATATAATAATACTTTTAAGATGACAGCAATCGCAGTTTCGTTGCCACAGAGTAGGCTTTTCGTTGCCCACCTCGACAAACGTTCACAGTGCGTGCGAAAAATCGACGCACAGAACGAGAAATATGGCTAACATATGATTCCGTTGCGCTGGGTAGACGTGACACGTTAACGACAGCGAAATGTATTATACTCAGTAAGAATGATTGTTAAGGCACAAGGGTGAAGACGGGAGATAATATGCAAGAAGAGGAAGATATTACTACACTTGTTGAGACATTTTTTTTCAAATTAGATAAAAAATGATGAATAATTTTGTTCTGCAAAATATCAAATAGACAACTACGCGAATCAGGATTGCACAAATCGCATTTTTAAATTTTTTTTGTTGACCACCGATGTCACAAAAACGCCGGCGGCCATTTTTTAAATTTTTTTTATATTTTTTTGTTTTGTTTTTTTTTATTATTTTTTTTGTGCACGAGACCTCGCTGATATTTGCAACATAAAAAAAGTGGCAAGGAACTAACAAACAAGATAAACGAAGTAATATAAGGGACACAAACAATTGCTCTTCATGCAGGTAGGTTAAAAAGTCACCGAAGAAGTATTTTAGAATAATAATAAGAAGAAAAAATTAAAATAAAAAATAAAACTTTGCATGCACCTTACAGAATTGCAAGGTTCAATATAGAATTGGAACATGGAATAACTGTGCACTGCAAGACTTTGGTACAAATAACACTTTAAAATATTATGTGATGTTTAGAACAAGAACATTGTTATTTTAATCCGGCAAAATTACATAACATATAAAAAGATGTAATCGGAATGGTGGTTTGGTAAGAAGAGGGATAACGTCAGAACTATCACCCTCGTTCGGTTCGAGGCCATGTACGCTTTGACATGAACTCGAGTACTTTTATAGTGTAGTTACACGACAAAATATTCACAGCAAAAAAAAGACCACAGTTGAGGTAAAGGTGGCTCGATGATAAAAATGCAGCCTCAAAAATTGCTGAGTATTCAATCGTTCGTTCCGTTCAAATCGACGAGATAATCCCAGCGACAGAAAAAGTATGAATTTGTGCAAAATGTGTGTGCTTTCACGATAAAAATGCTGCGACCTGAGGCCGCGGCACTTTGTCAGTGATCAGTAATCTTTTGTTATGTATGACATAAATTGTCTTTGTAAAATTTCGGGCCGACAAAATAATGATTGTACAATACATTAAAGCGAAAATATGCTTCTGCGTACACGATTAAGCAATCAATGGCAAAAAACACAAGAGCAATAGTTAATATTAAGATAAGATAGATAGATAAGTGAAAATGAACATTGCAAAAGACCCAGTGTGGTATTATTAGCAACACTGCAACTTTGGCCGATGAAAAGTAGTGTATGAAGACTGATATATTATCATTATTATTATTATTAAAGTTGCGAGAAACAGACAGTACAGTGTTCGGAAGTTCATACGGTCAAGTCAGTGTACTCGATGTCTCACTACAGTACAGATGTAACTAAAAGTATATTATAATCCCATCAATTCCACAGTGTGCTGCCACTGGCACTCGAGTTGACTGAAATAGAAAAAAATATTTGTATAAACCGAGAGATTATATTGTGATGTGAAAAAATAAAACCGGCTCAAATTTAATTAGAAATCTATATCTTATATTCTTAATTTAGGAGCGATTAGGAATAGTTTAATTTGAAAATTTATTGTTTTGAGAAATTGAAGTCGCGCACTATCACCAAAAAGGATTTCATTTAATTTTTGACAATGTAGAAAATCTGATCTGTGTACTGTAACTTTCATGTATATCAAAATTTAAACTCAAGTTCATTGAATATACTTTTAACTTTTATGTTTTGTTGTTAAAAATGACATTTTGAAATATATTTTATATTGGAATGTATTTGAAATAGTTTTCTGTTATAGGTTCGGCCATGACACAAAAGTGTGATTATTTCAAATAATCCTGTTCCATGGTGGCAAATTTTTACATAAAAGATTTTTTCATATATTCAGATAAAAGAGTTGCTTTAGTAAAATCAGCAATTATTAAAAAATCAATAAATATTCAAAATGTCCCGTTTTCAAATTCGGAAGATAAAAATTAACAACGTATATTAATAAGAATAATTCAAGCCAAATTTAACTCACGAAACAAATTCTTGAGAGTTGTTTCGATTCCAGTGAGTGTAGTAGACATTGGCATTCCAACGTCGAGAGATGCAGGAGGTGTAATGACTCCAGGCGAAGCCGAGCTGCTATCAGAATAAAAGCATTTACTTTAGTGGAATAAATTTTCATTGAATAATAAAAAAAAAATTTGCAAGGATACAATGATATACCAATGAGTAAACTTGTAAATATTATGAAAATTTCAATATTAACTGAAAACAAAAACTCGAAATGAAGTGTTCCAGTATTGGTGTTTCAAACATCCATATCCCAATTATAATTAATTACAACTATATTACTATATTTTGTGCAATACGCATGTAAGCAGAAAGACTCTCGTCCTCCGATACATTCTACATTCATGTTTTTATCTTAAGTCTACGTTGTGTATAAGCGCAAGAAGTCGACACTAATGGTGCGAATGTAACATCATAAAAAAACAATAATCAATAAGGATTACTTACTTAGACGATGTCTTGGACTCGAATGACCCCTCAGTAGGCGAGGTCTCACTGAAGCTACTCCTGCTCTGAGATATGGGACGAGAGGGGGCACGGTTGAATGATCGAGCACCATTGGATCCCCCTGAAATAATTAAGTAAATTGTCAAGTAAATGTTGATCGGACATTAAATTGTCTTAAAAATTTTCGTTGTTATATTATGCTAATCCTTAGCTACTTGATAGATTTGACTATGTGGCCACAAAAATGTGTGTCTGATATGCACAGATATTCGAACACAAATTTACAGTTAATAGTAGACTATCTTTATGTAAATATAACCAAAAATTTGACACCAAAATTGACAAGAAAAAATTCTCCTAATATGCCTAGATAACATATAATAATAATGCAATAACCTTCCAGTAGACACAGTTATCCATGACCATGAGTATCAAAAATTTGGTAGTAATTTTCCTAGTTTAAAAATCAAGAAAATAGAATATTTCTTATAACAACAACAACATGAACAACAACAACAACATTCCATTTAGAAATGTTCAATAAATGATCACACTTACCCATAATGTTACCTTGTGGATTGGCAGTTACAATCCCAGCCGTGTTCCATGGGTCAGACGATAGAGAAGTGAGATTAGCGGTCGGGGTGACAGGTGTAGAACCCCATACATTGGTAGAGGTTAAGCTGGGCAGATCAGGTAAACCCCATGGGGTAAAGTCAGTGGATGGTTCTCTTTGCACTAAAAGAATAGGTTGATATGAGATAAGCGGCGCTGAACTTAATCCTCGCAGATTGTAATTGGGTTTAAATCCCATGCCAACCATCTTCCCCATGGTGTAATAAATTTGGTTGGCAATGCCAAAACGAAAAAGTTTCAAATCCTCTAAATAAGATACTACCTCCTTACATACCATTGGAAACCAATGGCTATATTAGTCAGATATCATATTATTTTAAATTAGTTCTAAATCAAGAATTTGCAATATAGAATAAAAAAAATTATAAATGTATTCGAATATTCGTTTTTCTTCGCATATTTAGTGACGTTACATGTGCCAACAATAAAACAAAAGAACGAATAAAAATACAAACCCAATGCTGGTGCAGTATTCCACGATCTATCTAAGTCGTTGTTGTTGTTCAAGGGTTGTTTCCAAGTTACGGAGCTGGTGTTACGAGATCTTCGGAATTTCTCTCGTCCTTGTTGTAAGAATATTTGTTTCATTGTGTCAAGTTCGCCAACTCCTGCAAATAATAAATAAATAAAATAATTGAATATTCAATTCAATTAAGGGTGGTATGAAAAATTGCGCAAAATCCAAAATCGTTTTTCTGCTTTCCAATTGAAAAAAGATCTAAAATATAACAATCACTCAGAGTTGAGAATTATTTCCCAAATATTTTTCGAGGGGGCGTGGAGATAATTAAAAATAAAATATTTGGTAGATTCAATCTTTTCCGCCCTATTTTGGATATTTACATTTCAAAACTTTTCATTTATTTTATTATTTACGTTCCATCCACATATTTTCAACGTGTTTTTTGAATAAAACATACTTTCGCCATACTATCTGTTATTTGTAGCTTATTGATAGCTAGTTATTTCTGAAATGGGCCGCAAAACTTTACAAATTCTAAAATGAGGGCGCGACTTAACAAGTTTGAGAACCACCGCACTATAGTATCCTCACAATCAGAGAATAAGGAGAGAATAAAGAGCATTAGGTACACGTTATTTCAATCAAAATGTATTTATACTAGTAAGTGTGCAAACCTATAAATTGGTTACGAATTTCAGTCAATGCCGATCTGGAGAAAACTTCACGAAATCCACGCAAAAATGATAAAGCGAGGTCGTAACGATTTTTCCACAGAAGATCAAATAGTTCCGAGATGCAGGTTTGAGCGTGATCAAGACTGTTGGCATCTAAACCTAGAATAAAAAATTAAACAATTAAAATCTTTGAATGCTTTTGCTTTTTTATGCATTGAAGAGTAAATTACGTCTCTACACCCAGTGTCAAAAGACTTTTTTAATTCATTTTTAAAGTGTCATAACAAAAGCTCAATAATATACAAACATTCGAGTTAAAGGGTGACATAAAGCAATTCTATTTAAGGTCATACCTTGTATTCTATATTGTATTTCAACGATTTTAAAAGCAGATTGAAATACTAAACAAGGAAATAGACCAACATGTTATTGTATTATGTTTTATTAATGCACATGTGAAATAGATACTGTTAGTTCAATGAAGAATAAAAGATAGAAGCATAGTACAATAATCTATATAAAGTGTTTATATAGGGCAGGGGTTCCCAAGCTTTTTCTAGGACGACCCCAAAGACAACTTTCAAGTGTCCAGTGCGACCCCAGGTCAATATATATATATATATATATTATGAAACTTTAGAGCTTCTTTCACTGAACTTTTGAGTTTGGTCATGTGGTGGTATTAAGTAAAATAAGCTGAAACCAAACAGTGATGTCACAATAAATACCTACATTTTCTATAGCATAAGCATAGAGCGATGCCAATAGGCCTGTTTTACAGTAAGCCATGGTACCAATTGCTAAATTTAACATGGTTTGTCAAATCTTAGATGTTTTGTACATCCATCCTCTATCATACCTCAGCGACCCCACCGACCCCATGACCTGTTTGCGACCCTACCTACTTTGGGGTCGTGACCCCTGGTTTGGGAACCCCTGACATAGGGTTAAGCATATTGTTGTATTCAGAACATGAAACTGAAAATTTTCTTGCCAGTTGCCAGATATGAGAAACAAGCTAAGTATCCTTTATATGAGCTGCTACCCGAATCTTATTATTGTTCATTCAAACTTAAGTCAGTTTTTGAATTGAAAAAAAAAATTTAAAATAAAAAAAAAATTGGTTTATATGAAATGCTATGATATTGAATCCTCCATATATTATTTAGTTTTCACAAGTAAAAAAAGTACAACTGTAAATACTTCGTGGATTTCCACCATTATTGGAAGATGGAAGTTATGATGGGAGACGTCACCAGAAAGCTATTATTATTATGGCTCCAGAAGTGTATGTATCAATATGTTATATTATGTAAAGAACCAATACCTGGGAAAATGGTAAAATTACTAAACTAAGGAAAAGGGAATGTAAGGGTAATAACATCACATGACATGAATGACGTAAAATAATCTAATACTCAATAAAATGGAATAGATAACGGTAATATTTACCCTGGTACACACACTACGGGAGTACCATTATTACTGCTACAATTTTGATTTGTAGCTTTTGAATGATCACTTGAATGTTGTTTCACTAACCTGCTGAAGCCATATCAGAGGCTGGAACATAGCCGTTGTGTATAAGCGCAAGAAGTCTACGTTCAGCATTTGCCCATTCTCGTTGCAAATTTTCCATGATAACTTGTTCCTGGCCAGTGGGAGAAGGGCCAATACGATAAGGCATCGACTTTTGTTGTTGCTGCTGTTGCTGTTGTTGAAAATATTGTTCGGCAGCTTTCATTTGCCACTGTTGTTCCATAGTGCCTGTAATTGAATATGGAAAAATTGCTAATGAATGTATGTATTTTGTAATTTAGATTTAAATTCCTCATGCAGGGTTTCTATACCTTTCATAAATACAGTACCTGAAAGTTAAACCGTTTTTATTCGAAAGAATTATCATACTTAGGAAAGGATTTTCCTATTTTTCCGAAAAAGTAAAACCTTGAATACGATATATACATATGGCATACCACGTATCTTGTTTTGTAATTAATCCAAGTCGTGTACGGGAATTATGAAACAGGTATTACAAATTTTGATGTATGGCTTATTATATATTGACGCTAGATGTTGTACGTAAATCACAAAAACATGAGTAATATTTGTTTGTATTATCAAAATATAGAATAATAAATTTAGAAGTAATATCATAGTACAAGTCAATTTAAGAAATTTTCTAATGAAAATACCCTCTCACATTTAAAAACAATACAATGGACCATTTATAGGATATTTTTAAATTCCTTCAACTAAATTACATGTACAACGCTAATTCGATGTTACAATCCTTGTGTGGCCCACACTTGTCTAAGCGAACAAAATTCCTACCTAATAAGCGAGTTTTATTTAAATGCCACACACAACATCATTAACTAACGCTAAAATAAAGACACGTGTTAAGTCACATACAGTGATGAGTGCGAAGTGTCCTTGAGATTTATCAAGTGCTATTGACCTACATTCAATACAAAGATAAATGTCATCCAAACATATTCCACTTTGTTACAATTTTTAACAAATCATTGTTATACTATGCAAAACTAAACGATTTTAAATGGATTCAATGATTTTGTATACTGGTAAACCTCTAACGACAGACCATACAAAAATAGAAGCTTCCCCACTCTATATCAGGGGTGAGCAAACTACGGCCTGCGGGCCAAATCCGACCCATTGGGTAATTCAATCTGGCCTGCCTGATGCTGCCACAACCAAACCATAACCAAATTTTAAAAAATAGCTCAAGAAAAATTTGATCAATCAAGAAATTTGTTGAGATTGCGATTATGTTATGACACGAGGCTTATCGTTTTCCACTTTTACTTTTGTAACCCTGTAAATGTTTTTAAAATGTAACTTTTTGCGCAACACTTACATTGCCTGTAAGTCTAGATGGGCAAAATTTTTGGCCTTTGGCCCATATTATACTTAAAAATGCTCGATAATAGTAATTCATTATAAAGGTGTTCATAAGCCCAGTTACAGTCTAAAACTTTGAGAACTGACTTAATGACAAAATTTCAAAATTGTAACAAGATTCTATAAACATACTGCATATGAGTTGTGAAATACAGTTCATTTCGTTTCACTATTACTTTTAACAATATGAATCAAAAATAAAGAAATACTAACGTCCAGACACAGAATTAGTCCAGGATGCAGATCTTCCCAGACCAAAATGTTGAGCGTTTTGTAAATCAGTTGGTGATTGTACGCCTAAAAAAATTTGAACATGAATTTATTAATGCAGAAAAGGAGATTATTTCTTGTAGCTATCATTTACTATCATTGTCTATGGATGTCGAAAATCCCTATTAATGACAATAGAAATGTTGGTATTTATTTATATTGAAAAAAATATTACGGTAAGTGTTTTTAAAGTATTGACAAAAAATTATACCATTATTGCCAGTCATTCTTCCAAAATGTCCGAGATCAGGTTCACCGAACATTGACATTCTTGGTTTATAAGTTCGATCCTAAAAAAATTCATAAGTATTCAACTTTTGTAAAGAATACATTTAGGAAAAAATATAGAAGTCTGTAAATATATATTTTACATTCAGTCAAAAATCGTTTCTTATTGTATTCTTATCTATAGTTTGGTACAGCGGTTCCGAAAAAAGGCGCCTTGCCGTAGTTTCGCAAGCTGCAGTTTCTTTATCTGCTGAACCGAGTTCAGCGAACAAGGTTGATTTTATAGTATTTCGAAAGAAAATCAGGCAGAGTTCGAAATTGCAACCTCTTATCTCTGAGGAGTTGTATTTTCGGAAGTGGCGTCAATTGAAACGAAATAACGGTCACAGTTGGACATGGAGAGAAAAATGTGTGTTTTTCATGTGTCTTTCAAGTATAACACCATGCTTTAAAATGACATGTTCAGAGCAACAGCCGTTCTGTTCAAGTGCGACATGTTTTTTTTTTTTCTGATAATCTGGCACCACATGAACGAAAAGTTTGGAAACCGCTGACTTATGCTTATCTATAGTATAGTAGTTATCTGCTGATTACCATTCGCTTACAATGCAGAAATAGTAACAAATTTCGGAGGAAATTATGAGTGAATAAAGATGAAACGGACCTGAGTTTTATAGCCACTATTTACTGGTTTGAACTCATCAATAACTGGATATCCATCATCTGCAAAAGAAGGTGGTAATATTACAATAAAAAAATTATATTCTGAGTAAAACGAGAGATTAATGTTCAAATATATTAAAAACACAAAGGTCCAATAACTAACCACAGCATCTATGTGACCCACAGAAATGTCGTTAAGCACAGAGTTCGCAAAACAATAAAGAAAGGCGGCGGGCGTGACAGTCATGCTTGACAGAATAAAAACAATGTTCCTGTCAATTAGGACAAATTTGAAAAATACTAATACTAATAGAATTTTGGCAACTACCATTTCTAGGTACTGGGAATTTGAAATTGATTGGTTGATTAGTTACGAAGAAAAGGGGTTTTTATGTTCCAAAGAGTAGCCCCAGTAACAACAACACTTTAGCAAAATATCAAAATGGTAACTCTGTATCCAAAAAATGATAACTTTTTTTTTTTCACAAATTTAATACGGTCTGATTTATCTGTGAGCTTATTCACATAAAACAAAAATTTCTGATGTTACCTTGCGGCATACGAGGCAGTGGGTGGAACACATCGGACATATCACGAATCGGTCCAGAAATGGGGGGATAACAATCCACGTTAGTGGCACGAGACTGTGGCATGTGATGATTCATTGACGTCATGGGAGTTATGCTCTGAGATCCCATCATCGAGTGACTGAGAGGTGGAGTCGAAACAGTTGGATGCATTTGTGGAGGCAATCCTAAATGACATATTAAAATAAAACTGATTGGTTTTATCATGTTTTCAGGTAGTTTTAGATGGTTTATTTACGTTTTAGCGAGGCGACTCGGCGATTGCAATCGCAACGCGCTAGTCACCGCCCCTACAATTACCCAGAGGGGTTTGCAGGTTTGAATCTCATTAGCAATAATTATGTGCGAGATGTTTTCTAGACTTCTCGCTGTGATAAGATGGCTTTTTCCACCATCGAATCCATGCGTTTGAAGAAATAGCTGGCAACTATTCTATATCCGACTGGAACAAGGTCACATATGCAATGGCTCGTCATATGACTGTGCAGTATTATCGACTTTTCTCTTGATTCAAAACACAACTATGAAAACTAGTGAAACGTATAAATCTCACTATTTTGAAAAATTGCATTAACTCTGGATAAAAAAATCTCCAATTTCTCCAAAGACAACATTTTCAGGTAACAAATAATCTAAAAACTGTGGGGAATCATTAACCATAGTTTTCACTGCCATTCTTATAAGGAAACAAAATGATGAATAATAATAAAAATGCAACATCACATTTTCTTTTCATACACCAATTGAGACGCACATAATGACCTTTATGAGTCAAGCTGCTATTATGCATTCGGATCACTTTTAAAATAGCATTGTTGGAATAACATGAATATGGTAATACAGTACATGCTGAGACTTGCAAAAATATTTGTACTGAACAGTCCATTGAAATTATTAATAAAGGAATGTTTAAAAAGAATCGGTGGTTTCCATGTATAGGAACTATGAATATAAAATCTCACTTAAAAGATAACAAATTCAACCGCAGATGTTATTCTTGAAAGTGTCAAGTTTCAAATAACAATTTTGATAAGGAACAATGTTTTAAATGTTCCGGGATTGTGAAAACTGAGAATTTACTACACCAAATGCACTCCCAAAATTTTTTTTTGCGAATGCGAAATATTGAATATATTTTAAAATGAACCATGTCCAACAGATAAGTTTGAGAAAATTAATTTGGCGATGCAAAAAAATTTAAAAAAATTGTGTATTTCTATTTTTTACCCTGTCAGAAGTTGAATCTATTTTTAATTGATTATAGGCATCCCCGTATCACACTTCAAAGCAATAACATGAAATAATTTACTTACCATACATTTGGACTCTGTTCTGGTCAATTTTTGGTGGACCAGGCTTTATGGCTTCTGGTGGCAATTCTCCTGAATAATAATAACATAGCATTTGTAGAACACGACCCCAAAGTCTTTTAGCACACAATATGAAAAATGAATACGACAACTACTAGGCTATTTATTCAAGTTTCATATCAGTCAAACGGCGCTCCAGAAGTATGTGTATCAATAAGGAGGTAACTAATTTTATTCGCCTACTTTACATCAAGTTGTGTAAAGGAACTGAAACCTATGAGCAGAGGGTATGATATATTCACTTGGCTAACAGACGGTTCCGAACTCGTAATAGAACTAAAATAAGGAAAATTAGAATAAAATTATGGCCTGACCCTAACCTGGTACACATACTACGGGAGTATCCAGTCAAACTAATATCATGTTACAAAAATCAAATGGTTTGAAATCAGGCCAGATGCTAATCTTACGACAAATTCAAGTAAACATCGCAATCTTTGAAACAATTTCAATCAACGCGATTTTTTATAAAAAAGATTTAACGAAACAGAAGTTAGACTTTACCTCTGGCAACTTTCCCCATTTCACCCATAGGCCCAATTGGTGGATAACAGTCAAAACTTTTAGCAGATTTCTCTTCAGTTTTTTCATTTCCTGAAACAGAAAAATCATAAATTTAACAAGAGAACAATCCTAAAATATACAGACATGACTTGCATAAATTAAACACCACAATGTCATAGAATCGAGTGAGATTAGGAGTTGTACCGAATGTAACATAAAACATGTCTGTGAATTACGGTAACAATATTTGGAGATGGAATCTGAGCAACATAGTAATATCATTATTCTTGAAATTTAAAATTGATTATTCCAGATGTGATTTCACCAACAAGAATATCAATTCAGCAAAACTTTTGGCCAATAAAATAAAAGTAAAGAAACTTTTGGGAACACTAGTGCTGGTGCACTCTCGATCATAAAATAATCAATCAACAATTAAGAAATCAGCATTGAGTCAAGTTTGCAGCCTCACAAGTAATTATTTGTGATAATGAAATGCTGTATTTATTATTCAGATAATCCCGGCATTTAAAATGAATCAATAACTAATAGCTGGGTAATTGCTAGACTGAATACCAATTTTAATATCGCTAGTTGTGTATTAACTCTTCAGATTCCGCGGTATTCATATATATTTATATATATATACCACACACATCCTGTGTATTCAAAGAACATCAATATTAAGAGCATCGAATTGAAATTCATTGTATTTATTTGCTGGACAATAACATTTTCTTGTATGAATATTAGTGATTCCATGTTATATTCGTATTATCTCATATCATCAATCAATACAATTACACAAAAATGGAAAGACATTTTCATTAGATGATTTAGAACTCAACATACTCATAAATTTTATTCAGAAAAATTGGTTTTGATTTTCAAACGGTCCAAATTTCAAAAGCACACCGAAATTTTCTTGATATTGAGTATTTTATGTAGCTATAACAACTTTGCTGCTTCCACTTATTAAAAATTCAATTGCTCAAACCCCTAAAAAACTTATTGACAAAGTATGTATCTGTAACTTTTCGTGAGATATATAAGATTATATCTGAATCATTCCTATATTTTAATAGCATATTTTTTGAGTGTTTAGAAGCAATAATTAATAATAAAAGGAGAAAAAAAAACTAGAAGCGAACCAATTTTCCAGCAAATCAAAAAATCGAAATATTTTAATTAAGTTTCTCTGACAAAAGAACAAAAATTGGTTGAACTTCTAAAATTTTGTAGTATTTCGGCAACCATGAAGTGACTCATTTCTGAAATAACATCTGTTTATTATTATGTATATAAAATGAAATGATATTACTAATTTGCATATTGTTAAAAAAACAAATATCAAATCAAGCATCAGACAGACTAACAAAAACAGTTTCATTATGCAGGGCATATACCAAGGAAACCAAATAAAAAAAAATGGTGGTTTATATTTCCCAGTAGGCTCAAATTCAATCCTCAATTACATATTTATACTCCTTAAATAAATCGAATATTGGTATTGCAAAAAAAATTATTTAGTGACAAACACATAAAAACAAAACAAAAAATGTGTGAAATTATACGACATAATGAAATAAATCATGGTAACTCATCAGCTGATATCCCTAAAAACTGCAGGATTGCAGGATATTCATGAATAGGATTTCCTTTCAATTGGTGGTTTGTCATTAGTCATTACAAGGCTGAATTAGATCAGTAAACAGCTGGCAGTTTTTATACAAACTCAAGTTATTTATTGCTGCTGCTGGAAAAAATCACTTTTCTTCACACCTTCAATAATTTGGAATTTTCAATTATATAAAACGGTAACAATATCATGTATATTGAAAAATTCCTAGCGATTCAAACTAGCAAAATATCTATACTTGTTTGTGTCACATATGAGAAAGGTGAATTCAAACTAGCAAAATATCTATACTTGTTTGTGTCACATATGAGAAAGGTGATATGGCCTTGCTTTTATCACATTTTCACCCAAAAAATTTCATTCAATCTCACCTCTTTCATCTTTAATTGCTTTGTTAATATCGGTTGCATTGTTAACCATTTTCAGTTTTTCATCGACAGGAGACAATGCTGAAATCATAATAAGTGAAACAAATGAAAACTGATTTTTCAAGTATGGGCCAATTATGAATGATGCCTAATCAGCGATTCTTACCAATAGGTGCATTCATAAATAAGCAAATATTTCATAAAAATTTCACATTTACATTTTATAGTCAAGAACAGTTGGAAATACCAATATCATCCTCAACAGAAGCATGTGAAATCTGATATTGAAATGAAAATATTTAAAAATGAAATCATTAAAATTTCAGAAAATATTCAAATGTAATTTTCCACTTTGCATATCAATTTAGTACCAAGAGAATTCTTATGAAGAAACATAGATTAGTTGGAAAACGATTTTTCAAAATCAAATAAATACAGAATGTCCCAAATCAAATCTAATATTCGAATAAATGCGAAATTGGTTACATTCGATATATTTCATTCTTGATTTGGGAAATTTAAGAATATGGTAATTTGAAAATTTGTCATCTTAAGAATTTGATATTTGAAAGCCAAACAAAAATTGATTTTACTTCCTTGTTTGTGTAATAAAATAAAATATGAATCAAAAGAACTACCAAATTTAACTTTTATAATTTCTATTGATAATATATATATAATACATATTACATTGAATATTTCATATTTATCAAGAACATTTTTCAATGGTATAATATAATAGTAAATTTTCCTGTTTTGGCCAACTCTGCAAGTAATCACATAAAATACCAACCTATGGGTTTTTCTGCTGGAACTGTTTTTTTCTCAAAAGCCGGAGCTGTTTCAACGACTGGTTTCGGTTTTGCCAAATATTGAGAATTGATAGGTTTGGCAAGTTCGTCTGTTTTAAAAACAAAACAAAAATTGATTGAAAAAAAAAAAAAAATTAGAAAACGTGACAATTATATTGACGTTCGTCCTTGAAACGCCTTCAATTTGTGAAAATGAACATAGAGGAGCTGAGCCAATATTATTGATCAATATTGGAGTTCGAAAACAAAAATCAATATGCAATTTGAGATAAAGCCGGTGTGATACAATAATCAAAACAATTCATATCATATATTTAATCGTCCCTCGTACATAAACCTCATATGGGAGGCATAACTAAATTGTCATAGATGGTAATTAATCATAGTTCATATGCATTCGACCTACGAGTCACTAAGGCGTTAGTTTATAATCAAAACAATGAAAATGTCATCAGTACTTTTAAATGGCAGACTATAAATATGAATCATAATATAAATATGGTAAAATTGAACAGCCTAAAATTGAACAGCCTAAATCAAAACAATATTATCGCATCAGAAATGGCCTTATTTTACTTCCGTAATTCTTTTTCCTCATAATGGGTTTTAATTTTAAAGAGACAATACGTAGCAGAACATTGTTAAAAAAATTTAACATCCTACGCTATGCATTTCCAAATATTATTTCAAACAGTGATTTGGAATTAAAGGTTAATCATAAAATTTTCCTCTTATGTTCGCATTAAGATGCATTATTATTTCTAAGATATTTAAATAATATACCAGTATGCTCTGATATTTCAAATAATTCAATTTGCAGTTTTATATATTTCCATTTTATTATTTTATAACTAAATCGCAAAGTAAAGGCTACTGTTCGTCACTTGGCAATTAAGCTGAAATTACCGTAACTATAATTCTTAATCACTATAATGAGATGGGAATGAGGTAGGAAGAACTAAGAAGGCACATATAGATATTCAAGTGATTGGCTAATTGAGACGGGGCCCAAGATATTATTGAACAAAAACAAAAAACCTACCAGCTAAATAAGCAAGTTTATCTAAACTCAGAGCATGTTCGATACATTTATTCCATTCTTCGTATCCATAAAGCTTGCTGACATCCATTCCGAAAAATTGAGCTAGAGCTTCTAGGTATTGAGCTCCTGAAAACAGTAAAAAAAATGTGTCATATATTTAATATGAATAAAAAACAAGAAAAACAATTAGGAATGTCTCAAAAGAACAGTATATTCAATACATTCGAAAGTGTTCATATTCAATTCGATTTGAAATAATTTAGATAATCTACATTTGAAATTTGCCAACTTGACTCATTTCAAATTGACTGACTTTACATTCAGGTAAACTATAGTCTCAGAGCTCCACGACTTTTAAAATCCCTTTAATAAATTCAAAAATTTGGTATGTTTAATCCACCTCGTACCAATGAAATCACAAGACATATGGTTACAAAAACAAAATTTGAAACAAATTAGCCTACTCCATATTGAAATTAATTAATTAAGAAAATTTTGAAATGTAACAAGTATTATTATTAAAGAAGTTTACATGATTGAGCTATATAAAACTGGGCAATCAGCAATTCCGCTCAATGTCACTTATTCGATTGTTAAAAATAAATACAATTTTAACAAAGTAAAACAGAAGTAAACACATAGCAGTAATATTGATGAATCTTCAAACAATATATATATCGTATTTTGTTCGATATTGTTCTTACCTGAAAGTTTGAGAGCCTTTGAAACTGGCAAATGAAAGAGCGGCTGTTCGTCAAGATGATGTTGAAAACAAGCGATACGAGCTTCACTCAAACTGACATAAATCAATCCGTGACTTGCTGCGGACATGTAAGACTCCTTCACAGTCACTGTAAAGGTATAATTATTAAAAAAAATTCCCAAAAGTAATGACAGAAACGGAATCCTATACAATAACAGGAAGGTATTGAACTTGTGAAATAATTTTAACAAAAAAGTAAGTAAGGGAGGATGTTATTATTTGCAAACAGACAAAATAAATTTTACATAATGATCCATAAATACTGAGCCACACAGATTCAAAACGACGGTGGTATGACCAATGAGGAACAAAAAGAATGTTGTATGTTCACATCACACCAGAATAATCAATCTAGAATATTCTAATCGATAAATAAAAATAAAGTAAAATGAAAACAATTGAGAGTATGAAACACATATGTGATATTATATTTCAACAATTGAACTCTTGATACGCATGTAGGGCATGGCTCAAATTGAATATTCTACTTATTCTAATACATTCAAAAATAATGCATTTTCTAAATTGGGTCATGTTCCACAATAACACTGAGAAGTCTGTGTACATTCAAAAATTTTGGATACAGCAGAAAAAAGCTTAGATGAATAGTGTAATGATTGTTCTCTAGTCTAAATAAAAAACTATTATAAAACTATTATTCATAAAGTCAAGAATTTAAAAAATTTGGATACAATCAATTTTAAATCAATTCATTTTGGATAACCATATTCCATAATACATAGATTTTGAGTCAAATTGTAACTGATATTACAGTGTGTTGTTAAGGTTTGACGGTTGATATTCAGCATATCTCAAATATATGTAATTCCAAAGAATGGCGTCAACAAAACAGGTTTCTTTTGTTATCCTAATATCATATTTCAGAGGGTACGCTTGTTGATGCTATAGGATCGATTGTTTTTCATCAGACCACCTTCGTAAAAAAGTGAATACTTATCACGATTCACGATAATTTATATTTTGAATATCATGATCGATAATTTTCACTGCAAAGAACAGACGTTCGCATTTGTTGCAGAAATGTATTTTTAAATGTGCGAATGCGTTTCCTACTTTAATATCAATTACTAATCAATAACGACAAAGAGCTGAAGCATTGGACCAATCCATTAGTTTTGTAATTCTGCGTAGCATATATATGTACAAAATAAAAAAAATACAATTAAAAATATGTTCAGATAGATATTTGAAAATAACAAAAAAATGTGAAATCCAAAAAAGAGCAGCAAAAAACTCTGCAAATAAACCCCTTTATACTAGAAGCATGTTTCAATGGTACTGTAAGTTCATTTTTTTTTATTTAAATTATTTATATATTTTATTTTTTAGACTATGAAACAAAAGAGACAAACTCAAAAATACCTTGTAACCAGCCAGGTTTTTGTTTATAAACGGTATGATACCATTACATGATTCCTAATATAAAGTGTAGCAATCTGGACAATAATTATGGATTTAAAATGTATTCCCCCACAAAATATATTATTAATATTTTATAATGGATGTCTGTACAAACCACATAGTTTAATAGTGAACCGCAGCGTATAAAACTATACCCAGAGGCAATTTAGGTATAAATAAATACTCAATATTACACACCACGGCATTATAGAAAGAGTAATTTTGCAAGTAAAACAAACATTTCAGGTTATATTCGTTGTCTGTTTCTGAATCGGATATTTTACAGTAACACAAAAGCAAATATGAAAAAAGAATGCAACAAAAAATACTGGGCAAATAATGTATTCTATTAATATATAACTGAGGGTCTCTTGAAGTCTCTTTACAATTTCAAAATGCTGGCTTTTTTTTTTTAAATGAGAAAAGAAATAGGATTTTTCAAAATTATACGCTGCAAAAATATCGGTACAATTTTTTGTCTCGATTATGATGCATAATTCAGCGTAATGAGCGGCTAAAATATGACACTATTAGAATATTTTAATGATTTTGAAATACATTCAATAAAATTCGATAGAACTCACCACAATTAAGCATTTTGGCCACTTCATCTATAGAATAGTTTGGAAACTTTCCTTGCAGTAGATTGAACTTAGTGTAAAGGATCAAATTTATCCAATCTAACACAGTTTCCATGTTTTCATGCTGAAGATAGGTGTAAGTGATACCATTGGCATGTTGTTTCCCACCTTATAAATATTAAACAGAAATTAATTAAGGAAATAAATACTCAAAACATTCGGATATCTCAAGTAGCTTATTCAGTTGATTCAACATCATAATTTCAGAAAATATTTTTGGGTACAAACAATTATACAAATATATACTTTATATGTATACATATCTATGTATTACACAAAATACAATTATATACTTTTTTCTGCATTATATTGCACTTTTGGGAAAAATAAAATTGAGATGACTCGTTTAATAAGAATTCCGAAATTTTTAATAATTCAGAATATGTATGACGAAAGATTTTACTTTTAACAGAATTTTAAATAATACCGGTAAGCTAAGCGTTATTTTAAAATGGTGTTTACAATTTTAAATAATTGATAACTGGCATATATTTTGACTTATATATATAACAATAGTTAAAACCAAAACAAACTCCCTTGAAAAATGTCAGAAGCGACCAATTAGGATAAAAAATTCTTCAACAGACCTTCAATAAATTAATTAAGCTATATATAAGTAAGAATAACATAGAATCAGTGCTTGATATATTAATCTTATATGCAAAGAATTAAAAGAAATTGCACAAAAAAGGCTTGAAATGATGAATTTCAATTACAGGAGATTGAGGCAGAAATGGATAGAGCAAGGCTCATAAATTATCGAAAATTTCCAGGAAAGAGGTGGTTGCCATTTGTTTTAACAGTTTGAATATAGTAGATTATAGCGAACCAAATATCCAGCCCTCACTGTACAATATATTCCTATAGGTTAAAAATACAATTTTAGTTAATTATTAACACATTGCGCCGAATCTAAATTTCAAGCTTATGATGACATTGTTTGACCCCTCATTGAGTGAATTAGAGATAGTCATTTACAAGTTGACTTTTGACAAGGCTGAGCTGTTAAAGTGTGAGCAGTATTTTATATTCTTACTAATTTTGACGAGAGCTTAATATGCATAGATTAATCGTCATAATCATTGGTTTTTTATTTAATAACGTGAATGATTGTTATTAAGCTAAATTTCCCTATTCTATTTATAAAAATTGTTCATATCAGCATTATGACAGGTTAAATCGCAGCATCATGGAATAATCTACAACACCAAAAGGTAATTTTAAAATGATAAACTTATGTGAACTTTTTATTCAGTTTCGTTTTCAACATGAAACACAACTCAGAGTTGGGATAAAATGAAGGCCAACTAGATTATTTAAAATATCAACTTCTTGACCTCATTTAATAATATTATGCCTTCATTAAGGAGATCAATAATAAGAATTATTACCAGTGCTGGCACTGCTTGTTCGATAAGTTAATTGGACGCCATTTTCTCTTCCTATGCGTTTTGAATTGAACAAGACTGTTTCAATATTCTCGATGTGAATTTCTTCATTTTTAGCATCGGACGTCAAGTAGAGTTTATCATTCTGAAGAACGGCGCAGCATGGAAAACTACCTGTTATGATAACACACGAAAAAATTGATTTTGCAGTCTCGCAGATACAAAAATAGAACGCAATACACATCAGAGATTATGAATCACACAATTCAAATAGTCAAGGTAAATACCCATTAAGGTTTATTCCCTAGAATGTAACAATTTTATTTCCCTATATATTTCCTCATTATTGCGCTATGGGGAAATAATGACGAAACTATGGTGAAACAGATCATCATCTGAATAACTTGATACTCCAAATATTTAAAACGAACAATTGGATACTTCTAAAAATAGCAGAAAATATTCAACAAGTCCTATGCTTTCCTAACAATAATAACGAATTGAGCTAACATTCATTCATGTTCCCAAGTTAAATTCGATGTACATATACTTAAAAGGTTATCCTAGGATAGGATCGAATTTTCATAAGGGAGAGAAAAGCCAACAAGGCAGTGTAATCAAATGGCAAACCACTGTATCTTGTCCAGATACCAGTTCATGTCGGGTATTGGATTATTCAGCCAGTTATCATGTTGCATGGACTTGAATGCTTGTGAATAAAAAAAATTACCTTTTGGCATAGGTCTGGCGAATTGAATTCCGATAAAAGATTTTCCAGCAGTTTTGGGAATTTCTTCTCCGACACCAGAACCTTTTCCATATTTATAATTGATCCAGTATTCCTTTGAAAATAATTATTACATAAAACAGTTTATTTATAAACCGTTCCCAGGTGGGCAAACGGTGAAAAACACAATACTGATCATTAGCAAAACATGACTTAAAAAAGTTTGTATACAACAATAGAAATAAATTTAGTAAAATAATACTGAATACAAAAGAACACATGATAAAAATAGGCTAAATCAAAGTGAGGCAATAACACATTTTACAAATTGAAAATGACCATGAATGTAACATGATTCCACAATATATAAATAATTAACTTGAAATATTCAAAAATATATTGAATTTAATAAAACATCATAATTAAACCCTTGAATGAACCAAGGCACGACACAACATATCAGCATCTCACTTTGTGTTTTATGCCATCACTGGCAGTTGGCCTATATTGCCATGCTGGAACATTGCTGAGTAATTTTTGATTGACTTTTTCATTTCCATGAATTCGCATCTGCTCGAAATCTTTTTCTTCCCAACGCTGGTACATACTTGTTGACAGAATTCCTAAAACATTTATAGTTATCTAGTTTTTTAAAAAAATCACAAGCACAAACATACATGGCTATCAAAAGGTTCAGAGCTATATCAAAAATTGCAAAAAAGTACGCTTTACATAGAAATAAAATAAACAACATGTCACGAGTGAATCAAATTTGTTTCTTCACGTGTCATGTTCGAACTGCCAATATACCAAAATTTGATTGAAATTAGTTGGCCATAACCAACTACAAATTATTCTTGTTATATACACCATACATTGCAGACCAAAGAGATGAAAACCTAATCCATAAAACAAGGACTCTGGGAAATGTGTTCCACAAATAACCAATATAAACAAAACAAACACGAGAATTCACACAGAAGTTGAAATATACTCAAATTTGAATTTATTGAAATCGAATTTATTGAGATGAAAGGCATTCCAGTGTAAGTTATTAAAGAAAATATATATTGGTAATAATATTTAAATGCTTGATGCTGAAACAAATATGTACATCGAGTAAATGTAAATTACTTCGTATTAAGAAAAAATTAACTAACCTGTGACTGTGCTCTCTGGATTAGTGGACTGATCAAGCGCCTTACAGTGGTTTTCTTGCTCAATGTGAACAAGTTTGCAATCGTCACAAACAAATATCCCATATGACAATACTGCCCATGCAGTTTCAATGCTAAGTTGCATTCCACAGTCGGCACAGAGGCCATTTTTATTCACTAGCAGTAACTCTTCTATTTTGGCTTGGGTGTTGTTTGGATGTAAACCAAAATTCATGATCACCTCCTCACAATATCTGTGGCATCAAATATGCTACCAGTATCAAGAATCTAAGAATATTAATAATGAAAATATAATAAATTTGGAAAAAGTTCTGCTCAACGGGGAATTTTAAAAACTAAAAGGACCTTGGTCTACTACTAAAATATGACAACATAAGCTTCATGTAGTGAACGAATCCCAGATACCTATAAACTTAAAATTGCATCACATTAATGTAATGACAGTGTTTTACTGTTCAATTTAAGATAGCTTTCAATTTATGTCAATAACATAGCTTAAAAAGGTCGCTTGTATAAAATTTCTCGAGTGCTGAACTTTAAAAAGTAGAAGGGCACACATCACACTATTACATCCTCATCCCTATGAATCTCCTGTTAGAATGGTTTCTTCTATAAAGCTATTCATAATCAAGCGTGAAGGTTTTTAAAACTATAGTATTGTGGGAAATTGCATATTTGGTATTTTATCAAAATTGAGCATAAAATTGCAGTATAAAATCAGTTTTACAGTGCATGACGCTCTTTAAAAGGAGTGAGACTGTGGATGATGTCTTATTGAGTGCACCAGATTCAAGTATCAAGCAAGTTTATTAATAGTGGATTAAAATACCATTGCATAAACACTATAATTATTAAAAAATTCATTCTACTCATAGAATAATTGACTAGTTCACAACTGCTCTTACAGCAAACAACAATACACTTTCTTAACTGGAGAAATTCTTTGAATAGCTATCAAGACCTAACAAGATTAAATAAATAAATTCTTCAGTATGTATTGGCAAAAGTGTTACATTCACAACTATCACGCCAATCAACACTTGATTCACTGTATGTCACCTTGAGAACAGTGTACATGTACTCGACTGAACCAAATATTTTTTTATATAAACATGAGAATCTCCAAATTGCATCCTTTTGTTCAGTATCGAGGTTTAGTTGGTGATATTATTGCCGTAATCATATACCAAATTATATCATGGTATAAGATGTAAGAGTTGTGAATAAAGCAAGTATTATTATTGGCACATTTAGGAAAGATGTGCGGAATTAAGCTCAAAAAATGATTGATATTCGATAATTAATATGATCCAGCTAGAAGAAAAAATTCAAGCGTTTTTCACTATTTTTGATTTAAATTGCTTCATTCGACATAAGACTCAAGAAGAGACAAATAAAAATAAATACTCGAAGAAAACAATAAGCTTCAAAGAAAATTGCAGTATTGCACAGTAAAAACTTTCGAGATTACATGAAAAAGAAGGTAAACAGCATACTCTATTATTGATAGGTTGAGTGGAGAATAATATCGTCTTTTTATTCGAGTTCTGTCAATCTACTGTTCTCTGGAAAAAAAATCTAATATAATTCACTACAGGCCAATTAATAATTAAATATAAACATATATTTTACAAAATATAGTGGTTACATATACTTCGGTAAATATTATCTAGACAAGATCTGAACTAGCTAAGAGACATTTGTGAATGTAGACATGCACGACAAATGTAAGTTTGACCGCATATTTCTGACACCTGGAAAATGATATAGCAAACCTATACCGGTATACATTTAATATATTTACCAATTTGTTTTGCCAGATACAAGATTCGCCTGCTGGTTCAGCCCTTGTTTAACCTTTTTGCATGGCAACATGGGGTAATTGCATCAAATTTTATAAGGATTTTTTCAGTATTTCTTATAAAAGATTTACCATTCAACAATTGCTGCATTCAATATAGACCTACTTCTGTTATTAAACATGGAAAGACTTTCAATGCCAATTCGAAAAATCTTCAAGTTTAGGCTATACAGCTATACTGATATATGTATGTATGTCAATATTTCAATGTGCAATGCCACATTCTGATTTTCAGCAGTTCAGATATCTGGATATTGATGTACTAATGTATTTAAGGGTGGAGTCAATTCTGCAATTTGCAAGAAGAGTCGCATTCATTACACGTATACAAGACCTACTAATTCTATCAATGCACTAAAAATTTTACTAGCAAACCAGTATCCTGAAACATTCTCATCCTGAAAATATTCTTACGTTTATCTGCCTTCGGGCAGTCTGGTAATGAACTTCAGAAACGCTCTTGAAGCGGTGCGTCGCCAAAGGGTTTTCTCGGGAACGCATCGCATAAGTTCGGGTCGAATAATTGATGCTTATTGGACGAAAAATATTGCTGACGCAGCTTTATTGTTGTAAAACGATTTATTGATAGGAAAGAAAAACATTTCGCGGATCTATAGAAAGTACTGGAAACTAAATACCAAGCAGAAAACGGAACGGAAAGGCATGGCAACCCAAACAAAGCAGTGCGCATGCGTACAATAAAGCCTCAGAATCGCAACAAACCAACGCAACGCCCAAAGAACTAAACGACGGTTGGTGGAAATGGCAGACGGTACGTGATGGTGTGGGGTCACGTGACTAACAATATTTGCGTTGGCTTTGAAGAGAGCAATCTCAGTGATTGAACAAAGGCATATTTGCTGATTCGTCTCCGCTGCGTCATCGTACGTGTGTCTTCGATGTCCTTTTTTAATTTTGCGTCGCTATCACGCAATAAAGATGTGTTATGATAACCTGGGTTTACGGTCAATGTGCGGTGCTTGAAACGCGCATCTAACTATCCTAGTAATATATTGTTTCAAATCTTGTAACCCACACGTTCTTACTATTTTCGGTATAAACAAATGGGTCAGACTTTAGTTTAGACTAGACATTTTAATTTTCTTTCGATTGTGTGATCAATCTTAAGTTTGTATTTACACTGTTATGTCCTACGAGTTCTGCAAAATCGTCAGGGACCATAAAAACGCATTGTATCCTTTTGCTTTGCCTTTATTAACTAATTTAGTTAATGAGCAGTGATTCCCAAAGTGGGCGATATCGCCCCCCAGTGGGCGAAAACGATACAGAAGGGGGCGAAAAAGTCTGAGGGGGCGATTTCGCAAAAGCTGTTTTATGTTCGGCGCACTTAATTCTGTACTTTGTGGGCATTCGCAGACTTGAATCCTGTGGGCGATATTCACACGCGAAAGGATTACGAGCCTACAATTTAATTATAACTAGACAAATGGAAACACGCAGAAAAGTTGATGCTGAGTGCAGGGGTTCAATAGCGCAGTAAATATTCGAATATATTGCAAAGCAATAAGGAAATAAAATTCATATTCATATTCGGAAGATTCATCATGCTTGATTTTTGTAAGAATGTATCTTCTTAAAGAAAATATATATTTATCAAAATTTCACAAATCGTGCGAAAATATTCACTTCGATGTTTGGAAGTACATATTTGTGCAAACCATTATTTTCGAAAATGAACATTACAAAGAACAAGCAAAGAAGTGGGTTTGGTGATGCCCATTTAGAAAATGTTTCAATCTTGGCGTCGTAAAGCTATCCAGCGTGATTCAGCAACAAGACAGTGTCACATTAAATGTCATTGTAAAATTTTTTTAATAAGACGACTGAGTTGAGTTCACGATTGTCGCAGTTTTCGCGTATGTTCCGTTTTTAACTCTCAAAAAATATATGCGACCCGCAAAAGACTAGCAACCCTGACTTTTGTCCTGCGATCGACATAAAATTTGCCGACCCCTGGGCCGTAGCCGATAGTCAGTCACGGCTTCTTCCACATCCGAGTCCATGAATCCAAAAAAATGGCTGGTTAATTATGGACTGGAGGCCGTGATAGGATGAGGAATCGGGGATTTTTCCGAAATATTTTGGTGCAGGTCATCAGGCTGTACGAATGAATGAAATGTACGAAAATCATTATTATAAGTTTGGAAAATTAACTTTGTTCTTATTATTTTAATGTGAAATGGGGTGAATTTAGGAAGTGAAATGCTATAAGGCAAGAGTACACGGCGGTTTTTGAGGAGGTAGGACCCTGGATTCTTTCATTTCCGACCTATTATATGGTGAAAAAGAGGTTTTCAGCCGTGCTACTATTGCTATTAAAACAATGAAATCCTTTTTCCATCAGTAAATGGGGTAATTTTAGATATAAAAAAAAACTCGCTGAAGAACACCAAGCTCATCTATCTCATTAAAAAACACTATAAACTATGATTTGTCTTCTTATTTGGTCTGTAATAAATTCGTTTCTGACTTTATATTTTTTTGTAGTGCAGGGGGGCGATGAAGTTGTATAAACTACTTTAGGGGGGCGATGGTCAAAAAAGTTTGGGAACCACTGAGAGTACAAGAAAATCTAATTGAATCAAATGACGATATTAATTTTCAGAATTTTGTTATAATAATAAATGTTGAAGTACAAGTTTGTTCATCATCAAACTAAAGTGTTTCTCACATTTGATATGGCTGCTTCTCAATACTTAAGAATATTTCTAATATGATACACTTTCGATGCGTCGTGTAGAAGGCGCTATTTAGTTGACGTTGCAATTAATTTTGGTGCCTGAATATTTTTTTTTGATTTTAGAATATTCTAAAATCTAAATGACTGGCGCCCCCTTTGCGCCCTCCTCTGTACCGTTGTAGTTCTGTTTTTGTCTTTACGTGAGTTGGATGATTTATGATGGTGCCTTTGAATTGTCATGTTAGATTTTACAAATATAAAGAAATTGCAGAATTTGATTTTAAACGCTGTCTGCAGCCTGTGGGTTCCCCCGAGTTGGTGAAAAACATTTCGACTTCGTGTTATTACAAAAAGTTTGACCAATGGCATCAGATTGGAGCAAAATGCCGGCGTGACCCGGCTTCTGACCCCAGACTAAAGTTAGATGCCGTCCCGTTCCCAACTTTCGATATCGACAACATTTTTAAAGGCGAACTTGGCGTCGGCATTCGACTGACCTTTCCCGTATGGTACATTGTTGAAATTCAACATGTTTATAAATTTAATTGGAAGAAACACTGAATGCCGTGTAGCACACTCCTATTTGATGAAGGCTACTAAAAATAATAATTTGTGAACAAAAAATAATGCGAGATAATATCCGAATTGGGATTTTTTGGTTTAGATGTATATATATAATATATCTGAAATAGGTTAATGAATCACATGTTCGAAATTTGATTGACGTAATTGGAAATAATGCAGATGCAACAACGTTGTCAAATTCAATCATAATAAAACTGTTTA